GGCATAGATATAAAGTTTAGTTTCTGTACTTAACAGAACATCTTTGCTTGTTTTAAAGAGATACAAGCGAGAAAATGATACACAAAATGTAAAATACCATTTCTTGGCATATAAGGCAAGTAGGTACTAAAGAGGGTTAACAACACAGAGTGCACAGTGCACTCATCTCTCCGCTCTGCTCGACTGCCAGTTTAAGTGCCCAGACAGGCAGGGCATGGTGGGAAAATCACAGTCCGACACCTGTGTGCATCGACCTCTTCGTGTCTGAACAGCGAGAGTGTTTTAGCACCGCTCTGTGAGATGTCGCCATGCTATAAACCTCGCACACTCTCGTTCATGACTAATTCAGACCCTCTTTAAAGCTCTTCCATGTTTCAGAGCCGTCTGACAACACATACTGACACGGTGTGTGGAGCTCAGGAGGTGTGCTGCCCTTGCTGGAGGCACGAACTAAAACGGCCAGGTTCAGTCACTGGGCAACAGTGCGTTAGCTCACTGCTCTGATCACATAGCCATGCAAGCCCACAGCCATCTATGCACATCAGCCTAAACGTATTCTGCTTCACATTTTCTTCTTCTGCCTCTGCTGGCAATGCACTCAGGCAAAAAGGCCTAAATCATGCAGAAAATGCATGACTGCTTTACATAATCGTATATATGCTACTCCCTCAGCCGTCTCAGACACGAGCAAGTGGTAAACGAATCAATTAACATAGCAAATATCAAGCATTACTCATTTCAGTTGTGGGTTCTTGTACTATTATATGGAGTATTTGTTGCTTACTGTAATGAATATATTTTATCAGCAGTATGTAAGACTACATTTACTTAGAGAGACGAATAATAATTATAATTATAATGTAAACATCTATGTACACATGGCCTGTGTCCCAGAATGTACTATCCTTGGGGTGTGGTAACAAATGCCATGTGTTTCTGCTTGGGAAAGAGTGGCTGTCTCCCCAAAAACACTGGTCAGAAACTCAAAGGCTAGAAGATAGGCGGGGAACTAAAGGCCAAGGTGCCACACACATGTATGATATAATTCATTTTCATAATGTATTCATAGTCTGACAGCTGTGCTATACTATTTCAGGCTCATAAAGAAACAAAGAGAAGAGAAATCAAGACACGGAGACCAAACTGTCATTCAGGGATGTGAGGATGGACACACCTCTTGTATTGTGTTGGGGATGTGTGGCTCTATCTGCGTGTTCTGTGTAAAGACGAGGCAGGACAGCAGGGCGGCGCTCTCCTCTGGGGCTAAAGGACTCAGAGTGTTTTCAAACAGCAGCTCGGTCAGCAGCAGCTCATGACTACTGATCTGGCAAGCCACTCGGCCTTTCAGCTGCACTGCATCGCTCTCATCGATGTACTTCAGTTCCTTCAGCACCTGTTGGGTCACACAAAATATTCACAGAACATAAACATAATCAATAGATTACTACCTCTCACCACTCAGCTGGACAGCCCTTGATAGCCCATTTACTCAGGTGTGTCTGAGAGCAGCCAGTACAGTGATAATAACTGCAGAATTTTAAGAATTTTAACTTATCTTGTTATCTCAGTACTGTACAAGTCATAGTCATATGCAAAAGTTTAGGCACCCCTGGTCACATGACATTTTTCTGATTTTCTAAGTGAAAATAAGTTAACACACCCTCTACAGAGAACACAGTTCTGTACATTTTAATGCACAATTACTGTTTGCTTAATTTAACATATTTAGCATACAAAAATAAGAAACACAAGATGTTAAACTCAGCAAGTAAGCTAAAGTTATGCACTAAAACTAACAGAAACACACCTTTTTAAGCGCATTCCCTGTAGAGGATGTGTTCACTTACAAAATCGACATGTAATTTGACCAGGGGTGTTCAAACTTTTGCATACAACTCTACCTGCATACTGGTAGGAACTCACCAAAAAAAAAGTTCAGTTTTAATTGTTATATATTAATTTCATTTATATGAATTTGCTCTAGCATTATAGTAAACAACTTACATATATTACATAGAAACAAGAAGGTGGTCTAACAAAGTATGCAGAGAAACAGATGGACTACAGTCTGTAACTGTAGAACTACAAAGTGCACCTATATAGTAAGTGGAGCTGATAAAATGGACAATGAGCGTAGAAACAAGGAGGTGGTCATAATGTTATGCCTGATCAGTGTATGCACAAACATACACCTACTGATTGGTTAAGAGTAGGGCTGCAAGGACTAGCTGACAAAGTCGACACTTGTTAATTATGAAAAATAATGTGGATTTCTTTTATTGTTGATACACTGTTTACCTGAAAAATAAGAACACGATGTTATCGATGCAAAGCGCCACTTTTATGAAGCACCAAAAATGAAATTAGTGCTAAACACGCCTCCTTGTGGAGAATCTTCAGCTTGCTAAACTTTAGAGCACTGTCCCAGAAATAGTAAGCAGTGTTTAACCAGCACCAGGGAGATGGCAACAAAACACTTTGATGTGATGCTGAAACCAACTACATACAGTAAAGTATCGTCATATTTTCCGCTAAAGTGACTTGATGTTTAAAAAAAAGCTGCGGCATGATGTTTTTTTTAATGTTGCGTTTATGTCACATTTATTCTGTGAGTTTATCAGCCAGTTGCAAAGCAGAAATTCTATTACTGCTTGACTTACACAGACCTGGAGTTTTCCCTTTATCTGATTACCCCAGTGCATATAAACTCATTGAACGAACTACTGACAAAATTTGATTTTCTGCAGTTCTTAGATCATTACACGCATCCCAATGCACTCAGTGTCACTTATCTATTGCTCCTTGACTGATCTACTGCTTGAGCCTTGATTTTTATGACCTAGAGGATACAGGCATGCATGTTGTAATTTGGAGAGCGTAAGGGCACTGACCTTAATCCTCTGATTGTACTCAGGCAGCAGAGTGAGGGACAGATCAGAGACCAAAAACAGCAGCCTATCCAGTTCCTCCTGTAGACTCATCCTCTCCTGCACACGGGCAAACTGAGACAAGACAGAGAGCTGTTGTGAGGCACACCGTCCCCTGCTAATTTGCTGTTCATTGCTTCCTGTGCAACTTAACACAGAAGAGTGGCAGAGAAATGAGTTTCATCTTTTTTCTCTGCTTCAGACTGAACATGATGAACAGAAGCTAATGAGACAGGCTCTCATCCAGCCCCGTCACTCAGACCCTGAACAGATGTCCTATCAGGCTGGGCTAGCAGAGAACCATAGAACTTATGAAATTATTAATACAGAGCGCTGATCACTATAGGGAGGTTTGAAAACATTCACAGTACATGTTATACAGCAACTATACTGTAACAGACCTGATTAAGTACATGGACGTTTTCTCTGATACGTAGACAAATATGTGCCTGTCAAAACTTTGGGAACACTTTATCAGCTAAAACTGATAAATTTTCAATTAACTAAGAAAAAATACCCGCAAATGTTTTATTTTGCAGTCGTTATGTATATTTTGCATCATGCTCACCAAACAGCAGGTTTTGCATAAATCATGATTTCACAAATTATTCTTAAAAGCACATATTGAAACTCATTAGGCCCAAAAGTGGTTTAAACACCTGAAAGGTTTGAGTGCTGATGAGAGCTGACATCACAAGAGGATACAATGCACAGCCTCTGGATTTATTCCCCAGGCAGCACTGTCACTATCACTAATATTTACATGCATGATATTGTTTTCCCCCCAATAAACCTGATCTGACCTTCATAGGTTAAAGGTGATGTTAGGGATGTAACGATTTTCATACAGTATGAAAAATCTCTGAAAACAAATGCCCGAAATTTAAAACTGTATTGCCATTACACCCCTCAGCCTCTTCTGGGGGTCTTTCATTTGCCATGCTACTTTATAATATTTTATTTGAAAGATAAAATTTGTACACTAAGACAAACCAATCAATTGAAGCCCATTCCTACCAGGCAAGGGGGAAAAAAATATCACATCATTTTTTTTCCTTTTCAGTTGCATGCCAAATTTTTGACCTAATAATGACTTATTTTGTGTCATTATATTGACTCAGAATTATAACATAGTTTCTTGAAACTTAGAAATGTGACAGAAATTTGTCTTGATAATTAAAAATCAAATCAATAATAATTAAAAACAAATCAAAATCCCTAAAAATAAGTAATTATTTTGAAGTACCCTGTCAAATTGTTGAAATAAGAAGACATTACTTAAGAAATCAAAATGTAGTTAAAACAGGTAATTATTTCAAGACACTAAGTCAAAATTATGAGAAAATAGGACATTTTGAGACACTAAGTGATTTTTGTAAAATATAAGTATTTATTTCAAGATACTAAGTCAAAATTCAGGAAAAAAAATCAATCCTTATTGCAAAATGTTGAGAAAATAAGCCATTATTTCGACATACTAAGTAAAAAAGCGGGCTTTTTTCTCCTTTACCTAGCAGGAACAGGCCTTCATACTAACCTGTATTGTATATAATTAGAGCTCTGTAGAAAGAAGGTATTTAACCTGTAAAATACTGAAAATCTAAATAAATTCTGACCTCAGAATTGAAAATTGAACTGACTTACATAACCCTAGTGGATGGAATCTGACAATAAATACATGTTCTTTTGTATTAAACGCATTTATAAAATGTATTTGTCCCCAAAAGATTGGCAGGCAGTGAAAGAGAAAGTAGAGAAAGAGAGTGAAAGAGAGAAACCGTGTATTAGAACACAGCAGGGAAAGGTGAGGGAAAACCCAGGCAGCTGAACCTGCTCAGTGAAGGTTGGCGAGTGAGTGCAGTGGAAGTCCTTCAGGCTGTCCTGGAGCACTCGCTGCCTCATCACTCCCTCCACCACATCCACACCCTTCAGGTGAAGGTCATTGACAGGGTCAAGGGTCGCAATGCCATCTGGGTTGGCCTCAGCCAATCGCAGAAGCTCCTGGGTTGCCGTGGAAATGGCCTGGCCAGGTGGGTCCATTCTAGAAAAGAGCAGGGGAACTTAAGATAAAGTTGAACAAATGTGAGCAAATTTATGTCCATGTGCACAAACTAGTCCTGCTAAATGGGCTCAGAAATGACATGTAAATTTCCTCCACTGTGTTTGTAAATTTTATAATACATTTCAAATACATTGTTATTTGTAGAACATAACTGCAGTAAATGACATTTGTAAGATGATGTAATGTGTCTTAAATCTGTAAGCAACAAATATCAAGCATTCCCAAAAGCTCAGTGTACTGAGTATATTGTGGTTGCGTGAATAAAAGCATGCACGCACGAGTTAAGGTAAAGAATTTTGCAAATGTGGTTTTGCAAACAGCTAAAGCATTATGTGTATAAAAGTTCTGTGATTATTAGCTTACTGTGCTATTAAGTGTCTGCATTCAGAATGTTAATTCAGAGTGGCTGAGTCACTAAAGAGCTGGCAGATGTTTACAAATAAAACACAATGCTTCTGTGTGTTTGATAGCTGTCATGCATGACTAACTGGCTTAAACTGGCATGCTAGGAGTTGCTGCAGAGGTAGCTTTAGACATTCTAATAAACTTTTTCTACATTTGAATGTCAAATTTTACTGACCTGAAGCGGGGCTGCTGTCTCTTGTTATAGTTGTCAATGATCCTCTCTGGAATGACCTTCAGGGTTTTAACAGTGATGGATGTGATATCCTGAGCCTTCAGCTTCTGCACTGTGTGACTGCAGGGACCTGCACACGCACACACACACACACACACACACACACACACACACACACACACACACACACAGACAGATAGACAGACAGACAGACAGACACATGCGCACACGCACCATTTCTCTTAGTTCATTCATCATGAATTTTACATACAATGTGTAAATGTGTCATGCTTAAATTATGCAAAAAATGAAAAACAACTAAAAATGGAGATGAATGATCTTACAATAATCTTACAACAGACTCATGATGAGAAATATTAGATATATTGACTAGATTTAAGATGTTTTTACTGGCTAAGATATCATTTTTGCAGTGTAGGACATTCTAACACCATAAAGTTAAGTTTCAGACATCGGACAAAACAGCTTCAGTTCCAGGAAAAACGCATGAGTAAAATCACATGTCTGCCCTCGTAGATGAGATAAAATGGGCCATTTCAAATGGCCTCAGGTGAAAAGGCTTCAGAGCATAAAAGCTAACACAAGCAGCCTCAGACAGTAAAATCTGTGTGACAACCATAATTCTGTTATTTATTACTTAAATTCTGTTATTTATTACTTAATTAAAGTTTTGTAGCCAAATGAAAAATGACAGTATATTATAATCACAACTTTTACTGAACTGTGCGTTTATTATGTTCTTTTATTTGACAAAGATTAAGCTTCAACTCATAGGCTAACACTATGTTTGCTCCTGTGTGGGTTAGGAACCGTCTCAAAATTACCAGAAAAAAAAATTTTGCTTTCATTATTATTATAATTAGTAATAGTATCTCTGTAACAGTTGCACAGCTAATAATCATAATAATAATAATAAGAAGAATAATAACAATAATAACAATAATAATAATAATAATCATAATAATAATCATCATAATAATAATAATAATAATAATAATAATAATCATAATAATAATAATAATAATAATCATCATCATAACAACAACAACAACAACTATAATAATAACAACAACAACAACAACAACAACTACAACAACAGCAACACTTCCAGTCATTTCAGGACGGCCCCTAACTCTAAAGCAGACGCGGAAACAAACAGTAATAACGTGCAAGTTGCGGCTTCAGCGTCGTCAAATAAAAGGTAAAGAAAAGGAAAAAAGATGAATGAATCTGACCCTCAGGAATGAAAAGGCTGGTGTTGTGGAGGTGTTTGAAGTCCCTGTTTGTCTGAGCAGCTCCTGATGGCTCCTCATTCCCTTTTTCACATATGATGAGGACAGTAAATGTCCGATTCACAGAATCATTGGATACCTGAGAGTGAGAGAAGAGAGGGATGAGGAATAAAGGTTAGTGGTAAATTTCATTATAGCCATCAGGTAATACAGCTCTCAAACTGATCATGCAAGCTCAGTGTGACATAAAAAACAGAAAGATCTTTGGACAAAACATTCCTCTAAATATCTTTCCTTTTTTATTTCACACTGAAATAAATCACTGAGCTTGCATGATCACTGTAAGATGAAAACTAAAGAAGCAAACTTCAGACACCAAATGTGTCTAAGACACGTTTAGTATCCAAAGTTTGCTTCTTCAGTTTTGCACTGGAGCTATGAGGCTAATGTAGCTACAATTAATGGAAACTTAATTAGCACTGGCACCAAAACAAATTGTGCAACCTGCATACCTACATCACACACTTACCCTTAGTCTTCTCATTACGCTAGTGTGGTTTCTGACTCTTATGACTTACTGTGATCTTGAAAAATAAGCTACAGTATGTTGTACAGCTAAAAACAGTAGTAGAAGCCATTCTAAAGTCATAACATACATATTAATTTTTTTTTTTTTTTTTACACGAAACTATTCTTTTAATGCATAACAGCAGCACTTCTCCATCCACAGGTGATGTTTACACCTAGCATCAGCATTTCTGGCGATCATATTACGGATCGTATTTCACTTAACTAAAGGAAAAGACTGATGTAAACACACCCAGGGCGCGCTATGATCAGATCACTCAAATCATATTCGGAGATGGATCTTCACCATATTCAGCACAAGCATACATGGCATGCATTTTCTTTATCGGCATACAATGACTTCTCTTGCGTCCAAAATGTCCTCTGGACAGTAATGGCGCTGACCATTGCATCACAGCAGCTACAAGGCAAAGCCGCCTCATGTACTCACACAAATGATTCGTTGCCTGTTTTAAATGGTTTCTTCTGATATTTTCCGCTGCATAATACACTGGAAGTAACTAGTGAGAAACCATGTTTACAGTAGGTTACTACAAGTAAAACAAGAACAATGTACAGGTTGATGTAGTTTTTTATGGGCAAGTAAAACCAGATCTCCTCTGGTCACCCTGGGGATGCATTTTAGTGAAAAGTGTTAAAGTGAAAAGAGTACATCCAGATACGATCCGGACATGAAACGTGTTAATGCAAGGTGAAAACGAGCTCACAGTTACACACCGACCTGTAAGATGACAGACAGGGCGTTGAAATGCTGGGCGTTGTTGATAATGACTACTCGCCCCACAGACAGAGCCTTCAGTCCGTTCACCGACTCCATCACTGCTTGCTATAAGGAAGGAAAAGTCAAAGAAAAAATATGTTTGGCTTACATAACAACAAGAAAGCTTTTATTTATGTGATTAGATGTACAGTACTGTGCAAAAGTCTATGACATCTGAGAAAATAATCTGCAAAGCTATTTATCCCAAGCTGTAGACATTTATTGGTCCAAAAGAACCCCAAAACACTAAAATAAAAATAAAGTAACAACTCCTTGTGATCTGATGTGTAAATGTTAGCATAACCATTTCAAAATCTCTCATTGAAGAAGTCCAGTATTTACAGTTACCATCCAATACCTAGTTTATCCAACCAATCCCTCATTAAGTTAAATCAGCTGCTGTTGATGGGGTTTTATGGTATTTATGTTTATTGTATTTATTCTAATGTTATATAGGTTTTTACACCAGAAATACACTTTCTGTTCAGATAAATCATTTTAAACAACAATGCTTTTAAATTTCTGGACACTGTGTGACCTGTGTGACCTGTGTGGGGCAGCCTTAAGACTTCTGCACAGGGCCATATATGTAGAAGTAAGTATATATCAGTATCAGTCGTTGTTCATGTCTTTGTACATCATGCAGAGGATATGTAGCACAGTGACGGTGTGATGGTGTGAAGGTGTGTGCGCACCTGCAGGGCTTCTGTTGTGATGCGCAGTTCGTTAACAGTGTGGTAATAAGACAGTAAGTCAGATAACTGACCCTCCGTGTCCAGAGGAGGGAGGGAGGAGAGCAGGGTTCTCAACTCAGCTATCCTCCTCTCATGAGCCTGGCAGAGGGAGAGGGAGAGACAGAGAGTGAGAGAGAGAGAGAGAGAGAGAGAGAGAGAGAGAGAGAGAGAGAGAGAGAGAGAGAGGGTGGAAGAGAAAAAACAGAAGAAGAGGGAGGGAGGGAGGGAGGGAGAGAGAAAGATGGAGAAGGAGAGGGAGGGAGAAAGAGGGGGGAAGCAGAGAGAGGGAGGGAGAGGGGAGAGAGGTGGAGAGAGGGAGACAGAGGGAGAGGGAGGAAGACAGGGAGACAGAGGGAGAGAGAGAGAAAGACAGAGAGAGATAGAGAGATGGAAAGAGAGAGGGAGAGAGTGAGAGGGAGAGAGGGAGAAGGGTAGAAAGAGGGAAAGAGAGGGAAGGAGAGGGAGGGAGAGAGGGAGAGGGAGAGAGAAAGACAGAGGGGAAGGAGGGAGAGAGAAAGACAGAGGGAGAGGGAGAGAGAGACAAAGACAGAGGAAGAGGGAGAGAGAAAGAGGGAGAGAGGGAGGGAGGGAGAAAGATGGAGAAGGAGAGGGAGGGAGAAAGAGGGGGGAAGCAGAGAGAGGGAAGGAGAGGGGAGAGAGGTGGGGAGAGAGGGAGACAGAGGGAGAGGGAGGAAGACAGGGAGACAGAGGGAGAGAGAGAGAAAGACAGAGAGAGATAGAGAGATGGAAAGAGAGAGGGAGAGAGTGAGAGGGAGAGAGGGAGAAGGGTAGAAAGAGAGAAAGAGAGGGAAGGAGAGGGAGGGAGAGAGAAAGACAGAGGGGGAAGGAGGGAGAGAGAAAGACAGAGGGAGAGGGAGAGAGAGACAAAGACAGAGGGAGAGGGAGAGAGAGACAAAGACAGAGGAAGAGGGAGAGAGAAAGAGGGAGAGAGGGAGAGAGAAAGACAGAGAGAAAGACAGAGGGAGAGAGACAGAGAGAGAGAGAGAGAGATAGAGAGAGAGAGGGAGAGAGAGAGACATTTATTTAGCTTCCTTTCATGAAAAAGCGCTGCAACTGACATCAGTTTGCTCACATGCCCGTCATAATGATCTCCGCCCACAAACTAGCAATGCGAATCAATGCGGATATCAAAATGTTTTGTGAACGTAGCCTATCAGATCTTTGCTTTGAGCTGCAATCCAACGATTCTCACAATTTCCGCCCTTTATCTCTAAATGTACTGGATCAGCCAAAACAAGTTTATCTCTTCAGTTTTGCACTTAGGTTTAACTGCACCTGTTAGCACTGTGCAAACTGAATGCCTAAGTTGTCACATATAAGTCTCAAACTGTGCCGAGTTGTTAAGTAATCACAAACTTGCTTATGTTCGCTGAAGTATGCACAAAAATGCACAAGAGTATGTTGCACAGCTAAGAACAGTATCCTTTATCAATAGCTCCAGTGCAAAACTGAAAAAGCAAACTTCAGACACCAAACATGTCTCTGCTGACAGGCTATGTGTGGGAGGGGGTGTATAAATTAGATTTTTGTCTGAACTATAAGTCTAATTAAAAACCAAAAACACTCATAGGAGCTCTTTTAAAGGTGCCATAATACTAAATCTAATGTGAGCTGGAAGAGGAACCCAATGGCTATTTTGTGAATGGCAACATTCTCAGGGGCTTATGGGAAACGTAGTTACTTGTGTGTCCCTGTGGTTCTCCGAGAAGCTCCTGCGCATCATGTCAGTCACTCTGAGGGCCTCCACGCGCAACAGGTTGAGGATCATGGTGTAGGTCAGCCTGAACTGAGACTGCAGAACGGTCGGTTTGCCCTGTCAACACAGAAATGGGTTAATAGTCTTGTATAATCTCCAGTTCTTTCTCTGTGTCTATTCATCAAAGTTACACACAGTCAAGTCTTATTATAAAATGAGTGCACACGAACTGCACAGACAGTTTTGTTATTCATCAGTTTCATCTTTAGCATATCTGTACTACCAAACTCACGTCTGGTAGAAGGGTGTGCAAATCTGAGTATAATATTTCAACAGTCTGCAGATTTTTGCTTGAGTTGCAGTTAAAAAAGCAAAGTTATAATCAATATTGTCAATAATATCAGCAATAACAATAAAAAAAGAAAATAATGACACTACTAATAACTTTGAACGCAGCAATCCTTGTACTGGTTTTGTATGAGCACATCGATGTAAAGAAATGCTGCGACAATATGTTTCATGTAAAATTTTTTGCTAAAATACAAAACACAGCTTACTTAGTACAGTAGAACCCTCTTTATATTCTGCAGTATTACTGCTCAGCCAGTGTTTTATGGAAATAATCATACCACCGTCACAACACTTTACTATCTGAAAAACAGCTACAACATTTTGTTCACTTCACTTTTTATTCTTTTAAATCACTGAAATTTGAATACTATAAAGCTACTTTAGCTCTGGCCAGTAGAGGGGGGGGTGCCCTTCCCGCTTGACCCCAGACTATTAAAACTAGGGCTGAAAGATTAATCATTTTTATATCGAAATCGCAATTTGAAAGAGTGCAATTTTCAAATCGCAAGAGCTGCTATTTTTATTATGATCTTATAGTCTGTTATCAACAACATTGATACACTGTAAGTTTTAAATGTAGGAAATTTAATCTAATAACTTGTAAACTGCTTTTAGATTAACTTGACTAATCAGAAGCAACAAAACATCCATGTGCTGTGACATCACAACCACAACTGTGGCAGGCTGTTGTGTTGTGGCAGGCTGTTGTGGCAGGCTGTTGTGTTGTGGCAGGCTGTTGTGGCAGGCTGTTGTGTTGTGGCAGGCTGTTGTGTTGTGGCAGGCTGTTGTGGCAGGCTGTTGTGGCAGGCTGTTGTGTTGTGGCAGGCTGTTACGTAGATATTGTGTTAACATTAACTTAGCTATTGTGTTAAGCCTACAAGCCTCAAGCCAACAAAAAGTATATGCTGGTCTTCTTAGCCCAAAGGCCCATACCTTAATATACACAAAACAATCACAATTACAAAAATAATTGCAATATCGGTCAGAAAAATTGCAATTAGATATTTATCCAAAATCGTTAAGCCTTAATTAAAAACTGCTCACTACTGAAATCTGCATGAACCAGGGTGTGCTTCACGTAAATTATATGCATGCATGTTGCAAATATTATGTGATATGTAAATAAGGTACTCATGCACCAGCGCTTGTTTTCACACACTGAAGTTGCTCCATCAATTGTGCTGAAATCACAGCTTGTTATTCTATTAGCAGCATTAATATTAATTATACAAGAGAATCAGATTTGGACAGAAATGGGAATATTTTAGCTTTGATCTGTGTTACAGTCATTAACCTTTAGCACAGAAAAATATATTGAACTGTTAATTATTACAAAATTATCACAAAAAGCTGCATTATGCAAATGACCCTTCCAACCAATCACAACATTTTTACTGTAAAATATAGATTTACTGTATGCTATGAGCATCTTGAGTAGTCATACTGTGAATGTTCAAGCTATTCATGGAATCAAACAAATGCAACTTGCGCACCAGGGATGCACCAATTAAGATTACGATTAAGTGACCCTTATTAGTCCCACAACAGGGGGAAATTTCACCTCCGCATTTAAACCATCCATGCAGTGAAACACCACATACACACTAGTGAGCACACACACTGGAGGCAGTGAGCACGCTTGCCCTGGGCGGTGGGCAGCCCTATCCACGGCGCCCGGGGACAGTTGGGGGGGGTTGGGGGTTGGGTGCCTGGCTCAAGAACGCTCCAGTCACGTAGTGTCAGCTCAGGGGATCGAACCGGCGACCTTCAGGTCACAAGGCTGGTTCCCTATATTTAACCAATATTTAATATATTGGTTCCCAATATTTAACCATGCGACAATGATTCATCAGTGCATTTTAATATATTGTAAGTCATATGGCAGTTGCATTATGTAGCAATATAATCACAAAACTAGTATTTTGTCCCTATCATCGACATCAAAACAGGCTCCCATAACAACATATATGGGTGACAATATGGCAATACCTATTAAACGTTCAGCTTTACATCAGCGCTATTTGTGATTTGTGCAGTTTTAAAAGAATGAGGGAGAAAACTGGAGTTCTCTTTACAACCTGCTGAGACTAATTACATCCCTCAGTCCATCACTGCTGCTGTTGCCATGGAGCAGCGGCCTACAGGAGCCTCCGGAGCCACCAGCGACACAGAGCTGATTAGCATTCAGATTAGAGCCGGATAAGAACCTGACAGCCCCCAAACACACACACACACACACACACACACACACACACACACACACACACACTCGCTCTCTACTAACTCTCACTTGCAACAACGAGATCAGACACATTCCACTGGCAGTGAATTTTTAGATCCTTATGGTGTAATACAGATGGAGTCAGTCACAATGAGGGGCTAAAAGCATATTAGCCTACACAGCGCCGTACTGTTTCAATGAATCATGAAGCAGACGAGATGACGATCATGGGAGGTGATGGCCTATTTTTGTTTTATAGCCTCCTTTAGAACTGTAGTACTGATCAGGAACAGAGAAGCCATTTTAAAGTGGAATTCCACTTGATTACATCACAAGGATTAAATTTAGCAGAACTTATGAAACACTGGTAGAGCTGACATTTAAAGCTGCACTATGTAAAATCGGAGGATTTGGCGACCTCTCTGGTGGAAATGTGCAATTGCAAGCAATGTGCAGAACATCATTCTGTAACGTGGGTTGTGCTTCGGACCCGTTCCTGGAGCGGATGAATCTGATTATTGTGAGTACGTTGAAGGAGTATTGAAAGAGAACTCGGTCAAAATTTGTTGAAGGGCGTGTCTTCCGAGGATGTTGTTCAGGGTCTTGTTCAGACAGGCAGCTCAAATTCGATTTTTCGGCCTATCCGATTTGAGTAGGACAGATTTTTTGCTGTCTGAATGGCAAAAAGCCAAATCTGACTTTTTCTAAACTGACTCAAGCTCATCTGAGACCGTTTTCAAACATGGTCCCTGACTAAATAAACAAAATAAACAAAACTTTGATATCAGTTCATCCATTAAATATGCCAACATTATATCAAAGGACAGTGCCTTTTGGAGAAAATAGGTAAAATACATGATAACAGCAATAAATTCACACAGATCAAAGAGGTAGGCAACACAAGAACACGCTGTGAGACCATTACGCTAATATTTATCTCAACATGCGCTACATTTACTGTAAAACCAACCTGCACCATCGTGACAGAACTGAGCAGAGAAAGCAACGTGTTTTCTAGAAGTCATTATGCACCATAATACAACAAACAGCTGATTAACCCAGGCATGATTAAGGGCTAAAACAATGTAGCTCAAACCAATTTTCCGGCATATCTGATTTGAGTAGGACAGATTTTCTGCAGTCTGAATGGCAAAAAGCCAAATCTGACTTATTCTAATCTGATTCAAGCCACATTTGTAGGTGGTTTCGAATCAGATTCAAAATGGATTTCTGGATCTGTGAATATCACGGCAACAGCCTGTAGCTCGTTAGCCGTCTGTTGACCAGGTCAACCTATACTAATTTAATGTTCTGTTCATGCTGTAGCTAATAAAAAGTGAAACGCTGTTGTGAAATACGGCACCGTTGTTTTGTTCAGCTAGTTATCGTTGTTGGCTTTGCTAAGTTTTGCCCCTACCTGGTCAGTGTATGCACACATGTGTAGATACTATGGCAACCACTGTGGATATGCAAGCAAATGCAACCCTAGTCTGACTAGGTCTGAATGATTTGGGGAAAAATCTAACTGTGATTTTTCTGACTAATACTGCGACTGCAATTTAAAATGCGATTATTTTCTATAAGGTTCAGGCCTGTTTTCTGTGGCCAAGAAGTTTAGAATATCCACCTTTTCTGTCTGGAGGCTTGACTCTTGAACATAGTGTGCCAGTAAGTTGTGGTTGTGATGTCACAACACATGGAGGTTTGGTTGCCTCTAATTGGTCTAGTCATCTACAGCTACAAGCTCTGTGTTATTAGGTTAAATTTCCCCACTTAAAACTTAAGACAATATTATTGACAATGTAGGCGTTAAAAAACTGCAGCTCTTGCGATTTGAAAACTGCACTGTCTTAAATTGCGATTTCGATATTAAAATGATTAACCTGGCCGTACAAATATGATTCGCTCATTTGTAACTTGAATTCTGAACAGTCAGTCCAAAAAAATCAGACACAAGCAACAAATCCGATTTGCCATGCAGTGTAAACAAAGCCCGAGTGAATTAGCCACTAGTGTCCTCATATCTTGACCAATATTATGTTTATTTTGCATGTGAGACCTAAACATCGAGCTGGACCTTCTTTTTGAGACTGTGCGTGTGATGTTAATACGTAATGATGTGTGACACGGTCCAGAAAACTCCTGCAAAATCCATGTCGACAGCTCTGACTTTTAAAAGATTATTTCAGGCTTTACAGGGCAACTCGCTTGATTCACCTGATTCACTTGAAGCAGCTTTAAAAAATAATCCTCTCAAAACTACCAAATATCACAAGAAGATCAAATATCTGATTATTATGCATCCTTCTTCCACCTTCATGAGTAAAACACTATCAATAAGGCCTCGTTCTTGCAGCCTGGAAATGAACAAGCGCAAAGCATCTTGTCTTATCTGAGACTAAAGCTTTTAAACATGGTCCCTTAAAAAAATAAACATGATAAACTAAACTGCGATACCAGTTTATCCATTAAATACTTGGAGAAATCCATTAAATATTTGGAGAAAACAGGTAAAAATACATGACAACAGCAATGAATCCACACAGATCATAGACGCAGGCAACACAACGATACACTCTGAGATGTTTATGCTACCATTTGTCTCAACATTTACTGTGAAACCAACCTACATCATCGTGACAGAACTGAGTAGAGACAGCAAGGTTTTTTTAGAAGTCATTATGCACCTTAATACAACAAACAGCTGATAAACACAGACATGATTAAGAGCTAAAACAACACAGTGTTAATGACTAAGCTTATAAAGTGCTTATGCAATCACCGTCATTACTCAAAATGCCCAGCAAAATGAATGTTGAATAATGATGGATTATGACTGGAATATGGCCGACAGCTCAGACTGAACATCATACTCCACTCTTGGGCTGCACAATGTAGACAAAATATCATAATGAAACTATTATTACCACATACTACAACTGTGATGTGCCTTTCTCAATTAACCTCCTAAAACCCAAGTTTGGTACACCCTATTATTCACTATCTATGTGGACTACATGGGTTATTCAATAGTTAAACGTGAATAAAAAAAAACTCTCAGCAACTCATCATCTCATCAGCAATGCCTGGTCTTTTAAGAGGTTAATAAAGCAAAGGTAACTATTGTGTTTATAAAAAGGAGGCCAAAATAAAATATGATAAATCAACACTTTTTAAGAAAATAATTTTTGTTATTATTAATAATAATGGTCGTACACCAGTATTCCGCCAAGAAATGTAGCTCCTTCAGAGTATGGTATTGCTGCCAAGCAACCATGGGCCGCTGAATGAGGAGATGTTTGTGTTTGTGTTGAGGTCATTCCATGATTTTTTTTCGCTTTTTGTCATGTAACAATGGAAATATGATAATATTTCAGCACTGTTTAATGCAAAAACTTTTTGGTCACCAATTTACCATAGCGAGTCTTATTTATCACCAATCTAGCGGTGCCCTCTTCTCACACTGGGGCTGAATCTCAAACGGCTCCCTGCTCCCTACATAGTGCACTACGTAGGAGTTTAAATACTGGATCCTGCAACTCAACAGAGCAAAATACAGCTAAGAAATAGTCATTTGGGACTCAGACACATCCACACTCGATAAATGAGGCACTGTTTGGCTGTAGAGTCTAGAAGTCTAGAGTAGAGTCTTCTAAACTTTCATAGCTAGAACACTATTTAGGGAGTACGGAGCCGTTTGGGATTCAGCCTGGGTTTGACGCGACTGCTGACAAACACGATTATTTGAAGTGTGTAATCCATCAGTTTACCTTATTTAAACAATATGATTATATGGGACTTTTATTATGATAGCAGTGATATCGATGAACTGAAAAAATGCATATATCTGCATATTGTAGTCTGATGTCAGTTTTGTAGAAGCCCATAATGTGACAGTGTTAAACAAATGATATACTGTCCCAGCAGTTTCTGCTAACAGATCAGTGCGAGGCTCAGTGACAATTACTCTCACACAACCTCCCCAACAGCACCGCCAAAATGAAACAAACAAGGCTGAAACGGAGCTGCTGACAGTAGAACGTCGCTCCAATGAAGAGTGGCCTATTTTTAACCACACTCCACTGACAGTGTGAGGAAAAAAAAAAGGTTCAGTATGAAAACAAAATCTTCAACTGGTGTACCTGACCCAGGGGTCTGCACACCTGATCACATCACACTGAGCAAGACAAAGAGACAGAAAGAAGCCTGACAGCAACAGAGAGGGAGAGCGAGAGAGAGAGAGAGCGAGAGAGAGAGAGAGAGAGAGAGAGAGAGAGAGAGAGAGAGAGAGAGAGACCTGAAAGAGGCAGACAACACTGAATGCGACAAAAATAGCTCAAATTACTGATTCAGATTCTGTGGCTGCAGAATTTAATGCAAAAATCAGCCTCATAAATTATACAAAGCCTTACAAGTTTCATCATTAAAGCTCCAGGGTCTGGGTTTAATCACTTGTAAAATGCTCCAATTAAATAACATTAAGAATTAATTACATGAGATGTATGTCTGATACTATGCATGTATGAATTATATCAGTATTCATGTGTGAAGCAGATGATGGTCCTGATATCCAAAAATGTTTGGATGTGTGTTACGGTGTTGTTGGGCTTCGCTAGGGTAGTCCAGGTGTTCGTTAAGGTGTTGCTAGGCCTTTGCTGTGGTAGTCCAAGTGGTTGCTAAGGTACTGCTAGGCTATACTATGATATGATATTTAATCCCATTCTGTAGCTTCAACTTCGCTACTGTTTATTGTTGACTTACAGAGATTTTACTGAACCCAAAACCCAAACTGTGAATCCTGTATGTTATTGTGTGAAAATACATATTTAAAAGTGAAGGAGTTGAACAGGAACGGCTGCAGCACTCACCAGCATCATGGCATGCAGGTCACCCATGTCATGGACTCCACTCTTACAGAGGATGATGACTGTGCCTGTAGCGTCCAGCCCTCTTCTGCCAGCTCTCCCTGCCATCTGAATGTACTCACCTGCACAAACATTCGAACATGCATGTTATGTATATGATAAAATAACCTTGACACTAGACTTTGACCTTAACTACTAACAGCAGGGGTCACCAATCGTCTCAGCAAAGGGCCACTGAGGCTGCAGATTTTCATTTTAACCAAGCAGAAGCTCCCCTTACAGAACTGGACAGTTTATTGAAGAGGACTGTTTGACTGGAATGAAAACCTGCAGACACAGCAGCCCTTTGTGGATAAGACTGGACACCCCTGACTTAGAGGGGGGAAAAAGAAAATTTGTGTTTTTTTTTCTTTGGAAAGAGCAAAATTTCTGTAAATAGAACTGCTTTACTTAATTAACTTCTTCTATTTCTATTTTTATTTATTTGACAGGAGCAATACAGATAAATATTCTACCCTAAAATGCAACATATGTAACATATGAAGGGCATCTAGCCAAGGCTAAGCTAAGACACCTAGGGGGGACCTAAATACAAATCCATTTCAATATTTTACGTTACAATAATTTAGTTGTTTGTCTCTTCTTTTAACTCAAACAAGCAGAAAAAGGAAGGTGATTCCCCTCACCCAGCACAAACACATCCACATCAAAGACCTCCCGCTATCATTCATATCTCTTTATATTAAATTTATTTACAAGAGGTTGCGCATCTGTGTTGTTTTAGCATAATGATGTTTCCTAATTCATCAGTCTGTTAATCCTTCAACACCTGGCTAAACATAATGAGCGTTCGCATCATCAAACAGCTGTTTGGTCTCAGCCCTCCCACTAATGAGCTTCAAAACAGTCTTTGTAAACACACTGACCAACATACGGGCATTAAAAAAAGTGACAAACCATTATAAACCAATATCCCCACGAATGCACCCCCTCCTCACGTTAACGGAAGCAGCTTAAAGAGAATGAATATTCGGAGTACAGTGTGCTACCAAAGGGGCTGCTATTTTTTCAAGCTATGGACAAAAGATTTAAAGGTGCTTTAAAACCTTTAATTCATAGCCATGAAGTTATAAAAGTTTCCTTATTTTTCAGAAAAGTCCCATGGAAATTATTTTTTTTTTTTGGTTGTTTTTTTTTTTGGTTTGTTTTTTTGTTTACCAGGCAGGAGATTCCTGAAGCCAGTTCCATCATGCTTGCGGATGCTGTCGAATACCACTGTCCGGGCAGGCATGTTTACACCCATGGCAAAAGTCTCTGTGGCAAACAAGACCTAAAAGTGGGAGTACAGTCCTGTGGTCATTTAATAGTAGTGCTAATAGTAATAAAAGTACTAAAAATTGTGAGAATGAGAAAAAAATATACATTCTGGGATTGGAATGACACATACTTTAATTCATCGACCAGGAAACAAGCCACATTTTCAAATCCGGGAGTCCTTGTTATTGTTATTATTATTATTATTATTATGATTATTGATGATCATATTGAATCTAACTGTATTGCAGCATCTCGTATCATACTGTACTGTTGTATTGTGACTAGCACATTAGCACGTTTGCATGTTGTGGCTGGGACAATGTTTATTTCACACACTCCACTGTTATGTTGAGTTGAGTACTGTACTAAATAATAGAAACATTAACATTTTAACATAAGACACATATGCAATTCTTTTGTTGCATCAAAAAATAATAATAGTGAATTCAGACACTATTCACAGTATTGAATCAAATTCTGAATTCTGTGAATTGTTACACTCCTAATTATTATTATTATTATTATTATTATTATTTATTATCAGTTTGTATTTTAATAAGTTAGATAGTTCACCAGTTGTGAACTGTAGTTTTGGAAGAAAGTGCAACAAGGAGTTAAAATTGTATCAAAAGAATAGAATGTGAAAGAAAAATGGGTGACTGTAACATCATGATATTAGCCAGCAAACTGAGGCACATGCCAAGTAATTTGACTTATGTTATTTCACATACAACCTTAACTACAGCCAAAAATAAAAAAGGAAATAATACTGCATTGCTTTGCATCAAAACACCAACACTGGAGATGTACCTTCACAAGCCCTCTCGAGAAGAGCATTTCAATGACCTCTTTGAGAATTGGCAGGATGCCACTGTGGTGCACTCCGATTCCTCTCTTCAGCAAGTCCCTCATCAGCAGTATCTGAAGGCCAAAGAGCAGCAAACATTACTTACACTGTCACGTGGCTGTAAGAGCAGCATGTGCTCAAACCAGAAACAACAAGAAGCAAAACTGATCACCAAAAAATGCATTTATACAATCGTCTACTTATCCCAGCCAAGACATGTTTGTTTCTTTAGATTTGCACTGGAGCTATGAGGCTAATGTAGCTAACATGTAATAGAAACATATACCCCACCAATTAGCATTATGTTAACTGCATGCTGCAGTTAACATAATGCTAATGCTGCATGTGTCAAACTAGGCCTATGATGCTATCAAAGTCCTCTGATTTGGGAAACTGTGTGAAATATAACCACCGTAACCAGCTAAACCAGGTTGGGGGGAAACCGCGGAATTGAAAAATAAAATGACAAAATAAATCAATAAATGAAACACGACACAGTGTGACACACTGTTACCTATAAACATGGATAAAGGAACAGACACTCAACAAGCTTGTGCAAACATGTGCTCTCTTATTACTAACAAACAGACAAGCGGAGCAGCTTGTTGCTGCTGTTGTTTACACCGACACAGCACAAAAGCATCAGCTAAAACATATTTAGATGAGATTGTGGAGGTAAAGACAATCAATTTGGTACTGTTTAGAGTTTCTGACGCACGTGCACTCAGCCGTACCTGTGCCTTAAACTCAGTTCATTATAAAGCTTAGCATGTGAGCCCCCAGCATTTTTTCATTCACTTAATGTATTCACTTCTTTCACACTATGGATACAGTACTAGAGCTCATGGGGAGTTGGGCCGAAAAAAAAACAAACAAACAAAGGCTACGTTCACATTACCAGCTTGAAGTGGCACAAATCCGATATTGTGCACTAATGTGACTCAGATCTGATGTTTTCAGAGCTGTGTGGACACACAAATCTGATCTTTTCAAATCTGACCTGAGTCACTTTCATATGTGGTCCTAGATTGGATACGTATCCGATCTGTGGCCATGCAACGTTCACGACGCTCAGATCGGAACTCACGTGCTTTTTTCTCACCGCGCATGTGCCATCATTCAGCGTTACCATGGCAGCAGCGCCGGGCAGAAGTTAAAGCCTGTAAACAATGGAAAAGAAGTACATCTCACCTTTTCCTTCCTCGTGTCGCTCTAATAATGAAGCTGAGAGCTGATCAGAGTTAATTATCTTCTCAGCGAAGCTCGTTCTGCTCGTTAGTTTGTGCTGATGATGCACGTGATTCATTCACATGACGTTACTGAGTAGGATGTGTTCATGCGGGTCATTTCAGGAGGCCGGTTTGTTCACATTAAAGAAAGATGTGAATCACTTACCTAAACGAGTGTGAACCATCGTGTCAGAGAGCTCAGATTTGAGCAAAAAAATCAGATTTGAGAAATGAGGCTTGTAATGTGAACATAGCTAAATAAATGCTTGATATACTCCGACCGGTCTGAAGCTCAGAGTCTGTGCCCGTCGCACACTGCTCAATCCCAAAATCTGCAGACTAGAGTCAACCAGCACAGGCCAGACTGAGTCTCAGGGTTAAAACCGCAGTGTAACTTGTGTAGTGTAAGCCCGACTATTGGATATCAAGAACAAAAACACTGCAGTACCTGTGGGAGCTGTCGGTCTCCTCCTCGGAGCCGGCTTAGGCTCTTCTGGAAAAAGGAGTGGATCTCGTTCTTCTCCACAGAATTGGTCAGGTCCAAAGAAGTCAGCGAGCGAGCGTTATCATCACAGCGTGTGCGGGAGAAGGTAAAGGCCACCACTGGCGTCTGCTGCCTCTGAGACAGATAGTTCAGCAGTGTCTGCCATATGGCGCGGTCCTAACACACAGAGAGGGGTAACAGGGGTCAGTGCCTCATTAGGACATGACAAATAAACACAGTCAAACCAACTATTCTAAAATGTCGAAAAATCTTGAATGAGTGCCATTTTTATATCTTCCCATTCTTTTATTATTGTTATTGTTTGTATTGCATTTTATCCTTTGACAGTATGGATGCACGCTTACACTGGTTTCTACAGATAACTGGTTAAAAACAAAATAACCACTTTGAGATGTTTAGATTTGGCTACTGTTTCTAACCAATATTTGACATATTTTTTGTACTCTAGAACAGTAGAACATTTAGGCCAACATTTGTGCTACATTGTCTTAATTTCCCTCATTTTACTACATTTGTAACTCCATACAAGTAAATATTATAGTTCTCTGTACAGGTAATCCAGGTAAATGTTATCCTAATTTCTACATTTTATAAGTGTTTATTTTTCAGCATTGACATATGTGTTTATATGCGCATCATCCTACAGTTCCCGTATCAGTGCATCCCTGTTTGAAACACTGCATATTCTATTTGTTTTATTTTTGTAAAAGGGTCCTTACGTCCAAGAAAAGTCTTAAGTAAATAAAACGTTGTTGTCTTAACTAGCAAAAAATACAAACAGTGCACAAAACTAATTGCACAAAAATGGAAAGAAATCAGCCACATATTATTATTACCATTATTATTACTAATTATTATTATTGTTGTTGTTGTTACTAACATTAGCGTTCTCATTCATTAAATGGTAATTACACCAAATTTACAAATCACTGCATAATTTAATGTATTGTTATTAAACTACTATTAATAATAATGATTCAATTTACAGAAACTTACCATCCCAGATTTCTTTACAGTGGTGGTGATAGGAACCGGGGATCACAATGTCTAACACAATTACAGCCATTGTATGTACTATCCAAAACTACCAGTGAACCTGCATGTCTTCTGAGTTTTAACACGTAATGTTATTGATGGTGGTGCAGCGGGTAGTGCTGTCCTTTCTGTGTGGAGTCTGTATGTTCTCCTCGTGTCTCTGTGGGTTTCCTCCCACAGTCCAAAGACATGCAGTCAGGCCATTTGGAGATGTTAAAAAAAGTGAATTTGATGTTTGTGTGTCTGCCCTGTGATGGACTGGCGACCTGCCCAGGGTGTTTCCTGCCTTCTGCCCATCGACCGCTGGGATAGGCTCCAGCGACCCAGGAAGATAAGTGGCTTAGAAAATGTGTTTGTGTGTATGTTGTTGATGGTAAAACAGTAGAAAATCTAAAAATAGAAGTTTTCTTTGGGAACTATTTTGCATGTAACTCTCCACCACAAATGTATTTTGAAAAACACATTTTAGGCCAAAAGCCTAAATGGTGGAATTCTCCTTTGAAGAGAGACAAAGACCAACACACTCACGACATTTCAGCAAAGAAATATGAACACACCTGGGTGGGTGTGGTGTTCTGTGATGCGTTCTTTGCGCCAAATGACTGAGCGTGTTTACTGGTGCGCTCCTTTTTGGCCTCCACAGCAGCATAGTACCTGAACACAGATCACAGCTGGAGTCAAGTAATCAGTGATACATACTCAATCATTATTATGTGTTATAATAATAATAATAATAATCTCTTGATTGTACCCTTTGGTAAGGAAGGCTCCGGTGGCGTCCAGCAGCAGAAAGAGCTCTTTCTGAGTCTTGGTGCTGTTTCCTGTGTAGAGGTGATGCTCAAGGGGCACTGGCCTCTTCACTGTACTGATCACATATATAGGCCTCTTCTTAATCCGCCTGATAGGAGAGAGAAAGAGTGAATGAGAGAGAATACTGACTGTTAGAAGGCTCACTTAAGAAAATTATAAGCTACAAGGTGTAAACTAATGAATTAACTAGCAATAGTTATACTGAATATTCAACAAGGAACAAATTTATTGCAAGAATTACAATCCAGGTCCATGAGGTGTTTTGCATCTAAAAAATGCGCCATATTTTGCATACTGTTAAAATCAGCAAATAAACAGTAATTTTTGCATAAAAACATGCAGAAGTGTTTTTGCAGAGGATGTGTTTTGACCTGGGAGATATACCGGAATATAAATGTATGTATCCTTTCAAATGTCTGAGCTTAAATAAACATAATAAATATGATATGAAACACTTGTCTTGGTTGTTTTAATTAAAAAAATGATCTTTAAATATCCTTATTACCTTAAAACTGAATGGCGTTAAGATAAGCCATTTAGAAATAAAACTGGTAGGCTAAGACGTTCATTTGAATCTAGAGGCGATTATTACACTAGTATAAACTTCACTTTTTAAATATTTACCTCATTTGGCTGTTTCTCTTGCTTTCAGGCAACATGTCACTGGAACTGACAGTATATTTCCCCAATAAAGTATGATCAGTTTGCATTTTCTTTTCCTCTATGAATTTAAAGGGTTTGAATTTAAAGTTTTAAAGGGAGGTACTCACACAAAGACAGAATGTGTACGCTTGGAAAGCTCTACAGAAGAAAAAAGCTGCCAACCACAGAGGCGTGAACTGCATGCAGGTCATTTCAGAATGCGCTGCCCAGAAAATCAACCTAAGTGCTTGTGTAGCTTGTCTGAATATGGAGTCTGAATACGCAAAACTATTCCCATCTATCAACTGAGCAGTTGACTTAAGTCATCAACTTTGAACACAGCTGTAAACAAACAGTAACTGGTGTTGACATAAAATATGTACCAGAATGAGAGAAGCGTAAGAAAAGCTTTAGAAACATACACCTACCCGATCCACTCGCTGAACTCCACTGCGTTAGGCACTGTAGCACTGAGCAAAATGATGCTAACATGTTCAGGCAACATAATTAGGACCTCCTCCCATACTACACCCCTCTGGGGAGGACAGAGAGAGAAGGGGGGGTCAGTTGTGATATTTACATACAGCCATTTGGCTACTTCACTGGATAGATTTTGTGTACCTCTGCATCATTGATGTAATGAACCTCGTCAAATATGACCCACTCCAGATCCCGAATGACCTCTGAGCCATTATAGAGCATAGACCTGAGTGAGACAGAGACAGAGACAGAGAGAGAGAGAGAGAGAGAGAGAGAGAGAGAGAGAGAGAGAGAGAGAGAGAGAGAGATGTCATCATGGAAAGAAGCTTAATATATTTTATAATCATAATATAATAATATAAATCATTAAAATATATTATCAATATATGTTTTAAATGTTCAAGGTTCAGAATATGACCAACTAACATCACTCTCTTCTTCCAAATCTGACCAAAGGATGGACTCTAGGTCAAACCATATCTTTTCTAATCAATCGTAAATAGTGCCACTTGTTTATACACCCAAGCATACTGCACAACTGTTAACATATGTTATTGTTTACAGTGTTTAGTCTTGTGGTTCATTCACTGGACGTGACATGCACAACTGCATTGTCACCTGCATAATATTTATGCGACTTGTTTTTGTACCGCACATTATATTTTATGGTTCTTTTAGTATATTTCATTATATATTTTTACTTCTATTTCTGCATCTGTATCATAGCTCACGGCAATACTTTTGCTCTTGTTCTGCTTATTACTGTACTTTGTGCTGCTGTAATAGACGACTATCCCTCTGGAATTAATACAGTGATCGATCGATCGATCTATCTATCCATCCATCTAGTGAGCAGCAGCTCAGAGTTAAGCGGTCACTGCCGTTAATTATCAACCAGTGATAAGTGAAAAACAGTGCTTGTATAAGATACAATATCACAAGTAAAACACTTTTCAACCAATCTGATTGTGTGGTTGTGACTAACTTGTATAATACCTCAATATCTCTGTGGTCATAATGAGACAGGAGGCCTCTGGGTTCAACTGGACATCTCCGGTCAAAAGGCCCACATCCCCAAAGGTGTTCTTAAAATCTCTGAACTTCTGATTGGACAAAGCTTTAATGGGAGAGGTATAGATGGTCCTGTCAGAGAAAAACAGACAAGAAAGAAGTTACACAATAAGACACTGAACCCTACAGAGACTGATTTCATTAAAAACATATGAACTCAAACTCACAGACTGACCTGGTCATGTGCTTTTGGGAAAGAGCGATGGCGTACTCGGCCACCACGGTCTTGCCAGCTGAGGTGTGAGCAGCAACAAACACAGAGTCATGAGCCTCCAGCCTGAGGATGGCCTGCTTCTGAAAGACGTCCAGCTCAAACGGATACTGAAAAACAGTAAGACCAAGCAACAAATGACATAATACCAAAGAGGTTGCACAACTATTCATTTTCACTAGTCAACTAGCCATTCAGTAGTTTGCTAACTGACTAATCATCATTAGGGCTGCACAATGAATCATTTTTATATTTAAGTCAATTTGAAAGAGTGCAATTTTAATTGCATTCTACAATATTCAACTCAGTCTTAAATGGGGAAATTTAAAGGGTCTATATTCTACATCTTTGTAGTATTTCATTCCACCCCCCACACCCCCCAGATATATAGTAAATGATTTTGTGACAGCACCAAAGCAATGAATTTAAAACTAGCTGTTTTTGTAGCTTGGTTTCCATACATTGACTAAACAGGCTGAGGAGTGAAAAGGACTGCCTTCTACACTGTAGACTGGGGTTCAATCCCCACCTTGGTAAGAACCCTACACCATACCAATAAGAGTCCTTGGGCAAGACTCCAAACACTACCTTCACCTACCTGTGTAAAATGATCAAATTGTAAGTCGCTCTGGATAAGAGCGTCTGCCAAATGTCGTAAATGTAAATTTTATTGCCAAAAAGCAAGGAAAACTAGGTTTCGGGTAATATAGGCCCTTTAACCTAACAACGCAGAACTCATGAACTGTCAGTATGACATACTACATGAAAACAGAAAATAATCACATATAAATCACGATTGCAATATTGGTCAGAAAAATCACAATTAGATATCCCCCCCTAATCTTTCAGCCCTGTCATTACCACATAAAAATGAGACATCAGTGAAAAGTATTTAGTTAGTAATGTGTTAAAAGGGGCTGGCCTTACACTGTTAGAAATAAAGGTTGTGTGTAGGTACATTTTTCGTTCATTAAAGTACAAACAGTGTAAATGTTCCCTCAAAGGTACAACAGTGGTCAAACTATGTACCATAAATAAGTTTTCCAGGTGAAAAGTACAGATTTGTATCTTTTCATAACCGAATGTTTTAAAACAGAACAATAAAATAAAAAGCCTGGAGACGAGACGGGGTGTGTGGAGTCAGTACAACTTATAAAACATAATTTCACTGGATTATGGTTCAGTTATGTTACCTGACTAAAGGTACTGAGATGTACCCTTGAGGGTCCCACCCCAGTGACAGTTTAGTACCTTTATTTCTGAGAGTGTAGCAGCAAATGTCATGGTTTGAGGTGTGAGATGTGCAGAGCTGAGGAGTGTTTTGTTGAATTTCAGTATTTTTCAGTTTCACTCTGCACACAGAAATATACAGACTGCATGCTAAAATCACCACATCTCTCAGAACCTCACCTCCCACAGAGAATTTAAACTGGCCCTGCCGATTCATGTGTCCGCGCACTAGTCTTCTCAGTCCGAAACAAATGATTTCCCAGCCATAAGTCTAACAGCAAGCAGCTGCATCTCTGCTCACCAGTGAGCCTTTCAGAGCGAGATGTAGCCCCAATCGCTGAACCAGGAAATCTCCCATTTTAAGAAGTTATTATTGTGTTTGAAACTGTAGACAGTAAGTAAACGAGATATCCTCGTGCAGAGCCTCTTGACTTGACTCATTTGCAGACCGGTACTCCACTTTCTTTAATAGAATAGTCTTCATTGTGCATATGCCATGCTAAATGGTCTGCAGTCCTGTAAACCCATCCAATCTGACTCATAAGCCTGTATTTCAGCGCAGTCTTACACAGCTTGCAGTCGAACTGGTTTAATCTTGTGTTGTATTTGCATGCTAATAAAGAACTGTAGCATCCCCTGCTGCTGTCGAGAGGCTCTAGAGGCGAGGCCACGCAGAGGGCCATGTAAAGAGGCTCATGGAAGGTGTGCATCGTCCAGAAAAGGGACTTGTTTATGTTGTTGTCTGTTAGTTAAAAGATGTGTTGCGTTTTGTTTGTGTTATTTTGTGTCTGGGGTTCGGGCTGTTTGTGTGTTGGGGGAGTCAGTGTGAGGTGAAAGCGCCTATGGCTACTGGCTCTTATGTTATATGCCTTTCTGCTTATTTTTTTAATATAAGAGCATCAGAATCATGACCTCTCCTGCGTCTCCTTCTACGCCAACACCAAAGTACTTTTGACTTTGACTCAAACTGTTTGCAGAAAACCTGATTTCTGTTTTCTCCTCCTGCCTCTTCGTTGCAGTTTTTACCGTTGCTCTATTTCAGGCACCGTCCTCAACTGCTGCCCACAGCACCAAGCAGTGGATTTATTAGTTGACTAGTTTATGCAAACCCTAAGCAGCAACATATAGACATTTGAAATCCAATGACTAAACAAAATTTTATTATCCTGTTATTGATTTTGTTCCTTGCTCTTGATGTCATGTTTTAAGTGCAACCTTTTAAAACCTTTTAAAGTGATAGTTTGGTGAAAAATCAAATGCACAATGCTGGCCCTGACAAAACTCTTAGCAAAAAGGGTTATACATACATTATACTGAAAAACCTTCTTTAAACTGGAACAGTAGTGGAACCTATTTTGGTGCTATACAGAATTAAGGGTCAGTGATATGAAAAAAAAATGTATATCATGATCCTTAAAGACATTTTCACAATATTTTGACACACAAGTAATCAACTATGGAAATAATGACTATTATTTAACATTTCAGATACAATGCTGCACAAAATCCAATTAAATGAGTCAAAATATACTCTCTTTGTAATGAAACATGCAGCTAGTCAGGTCAGTGCTCTTTAATTACTGAGAATATCCTTGGTTTGCTCATAAAAGCATATTATCAATCACTATTTTATTTAACTTTATTTTATTTTTACAAAAAATGTATCATGATAACGATAAAATATCAGCATATCGCCCACCATTATATCAGACCATTGTTAAAAGGGTTAACAAACTTTCTGGTGATACTCAGTTGATTATCAACATCATTAAGGTTAGGGTTAGGTCTAGGAGTAGGTGTAGGTTTTGCCTTGAGGTTAAGGTTCGATTTAACAGAAACTTTTACACATAACTTAAAGTTCAGCTGCATTTCATAAGTATTTAGTTGAATGTTAGTTAAAGATAGAATGAGCATCTACAAAGCATCTACAGTGGATTGTCCGAATAAAGTGTTGCCTAAAGAACCATGCACAACTGTTTTTCATCATAGAGAAGAACCATCTGACCATGCAATAAATCATTTAAGCATTTAACTGAGTCTTTGAGGGTTCATGGTTCTATATGGAACCACTGCCTTTATTAAAGAACCATTTGTTTGAACCAAATCATTTGTTTAAGAGTGTACCTTAAAAGCAGGATCAGGAATCCGTTTGTAGAAATCATCACAGGGGGAAGTGATATCCACAGGCACCGCCCACTTCTTCTCTTTCTTCTCTTCTTTGTCTTTTTTCTTTGCTTCATCTGTTTTGTCTGCTGCTGAGGCTTCAGGTGGAGCAGGGGAGGGCACTGTGTCCTGGAAAGAGAAACAAGAGACATAAAACAAATAAAATTAAGGACATTTAACTTTAACCGGACTTTTGACTTACAAAATGCATATTTTACATACCGGACATTTTACTGACGTTTTAATGTGATTATCTGAGCTGATATTGATTTGATTGCTTTCATGCTTTTACCTTGATGCCCAGATCCTCAAGGCTGTTGGTTCTGGGAAGTTTTGATGACTCTCCACTTTCTGAGGTTTTCTCTTTTTCTTCAGGTGTTTGATCAATTATGTCATCAAAAGTGGACAGGAGTGACAGCAGGTTCACTTCACCTTTCGTGGTTTTGGCTTGAATTAAATATTATACAGAAACAGGGTGAGATGTGAGCTTTTGCAATGTGCATACCAAAGAGGGCTACAGCATGCCAATGATTACATAATTAGAGCACAGACTAATCACAGATATTGTCTGATGAGTGTTCTGTGAAAGCTTTGATGAACAAACACATCCTCATGATACAATACATGTAAATAATTTCAGTAAAAATACTGCAGGCCATCCAGTGGTGATGATACAGCTCATAGGTTACAGTGGTATCTCAATAGCAAAAATAAGGAGTGGCTGAAAATGTGCCTTAAATTAATATGCTAATGTTTCTATTTTCTGCTTATTACAGTTTATTAGAGTATTCAATATTCTAAAAGTACACATTTTGAAACAAAATCTGCATTTTACAGTGTCCCAATCTAATACTTTAGCCACAAGCTAGGTAATCATGCTACAACGACACAATACAATACGAGAGAATTCAAAACAATTCAATATGTTATGTCTTGTTACATCTCTAAAGGCATATCACAACTATAACTACATATTTCTGTCCATGTCATGCAGTCCTGGCTGGAAAGGACAAAAGCAACTGCGGATCAAACCTTTGTCACTGAAGTCCATGCCGGCTTTAAACCCTGGAGGCACTGTCAGTAAATCTAGAACAAGAAGAAAACAGCCATTTCTGTGCATAAGCAATTCTGTAACATCCATAAACATTCTCAACATCCGAATGACGCTAACTTTGTGCAAATGTCTTAAATTTTATTTTAAACTGTCTGTCTTTCTCAGAAATACGCACGTCATTGCCAGTAAAGCCCTACACAAATACATAGAAATACAGAAACTCACAATTTTTGTTTTAAAACATTCTAAGAACATAGTTAGAAAAACTAAAAACTCTCAGTCTGTATGTAATAGTCCATAAATCTGATTGGATGCTGCATGTTCATATTTAAATGACACATACTCGTACTAAAACCTAGCTGCATACAGAATGTCAAGCAAGATGCTGTTAAAAAAGGACAAAATATAATCATACCATGTTCAAAGTCAATGTCTTCCTCCAGCTCAGATTTTTTCTTTATCTGTTCCAATGTCAGCTCCTCCATACCAGCTAAGAATGGGGGTCAAATAAGACAAAACAACAATGAATTAACCGAGAGACATACAGTGCATCAAAAATCGAAAGGGTTTCCATAATAATAGCAACAAATCATTAGATTAGGAGCTGTTCTCCTCCTGACCAGCTCATTCAGCTAAAAATACTTATAAAAATATATAACATGGAAGCTATCTCTAGCACCACTGCCCATTCCCAATGCCACGATAGGTGTGCTCAGGTGTATGATATACTCAGAAACACATACTGTGACATAACACAAAACCAATAAAGTGTCATCATATTGCCCACCACCAATGATACGCTTTTGGGAGTACACTAAAGGTCTCATCAGTACTTCTACAACACTGAACATAAAAAAAATACAAATTATACAGTAATCGTAATCAACAACAGCTAGTGAAGAGTCACTTCATTAATGATAATAATAATAATAATAATGATAATAGCTATAATATTAATGTGTAATTTATATGATGCCTTTCTCATACACAAAGTTGCTTTACAAAGGCTTCACAATCACATAATTAATATTCCAACAGCCATTTGCATTTGTAATGTGAATGTGTGATGTCATTACTATTTCCATGTTGTCATCACTGTGTTTGCTAAACAAAGCCTGTAATTTTGTACAGGGTAAGTCACTCGAAAGAGGCCCCGAATATTCTGTAATAACGAAGCAATCTGAACAAAACAGCGTGCAATGTGCTCCTCAGTATATGGAGCTTCGAACAAGCTGGGATGCCCCTGCGTTGGAGTGATGAGGTAGGTGCCGGACAGCCATCGCAACGTTTAACCTCTGTTTGCAGCTTCCGGGTGCATACCCCCGTACCCCTTCATGTGTCTGGCAGAAAAACGGAGATCATCCAGCATCGCATGTAATGCAATCGATTACACATACGTCAAGGTATGTTGTGTATTTTTTTGGTTCAGGTTGCTTCACCCTGACAGGAGTTACAACAGAATATTCGGGGCCTCTTTCGAGTGAATCTCTCTGTATGTATAAGTTACACTGTAGTGACTAATATATTTACGTTTGTGTATGATAAGTTGAAGTCATAAGTTTACATACATCTCAGCCACATTCATTTAAACGTTTTTCACAATTCCTGACATTTAATCCTAGTACACATTCCCTCTCTTAGGTGAGTTAGGATCAGTACTACATTTTAAGAATGTGAAATGTCAGAATAATAATAGAGACAATGAGTCATTTCAGCTTTTATATCTTCCATCACATTTCCAGTGGCTCAGAAGTTTACATGCACAGGGTTAGTATTTGTTAGCATTACCTTTAAATTCTTTAACTTGGGTCAAACATTTCAGGTAGCTGTCCACAAGCTTCTCACAATAAGTCGCTGGAATTTTGGCCCAGTCCTCTCGACAGAACTGGTGTAGCTGAGTCATGTTTGCAGGCCTTCTTGCTCGTGCAAGCTTTTTCGGTTCTGCTCATAGATTTTCTATGGGATGGAGGTCAGGGCTGTGTGATGGCCACTCCATTACTTTCACTTTGTTGTCCTTAAGACATTTTCCCACAACTATGGAAGAACGCTTGGGGGCATTATCCATTTGGAAGACCCATTTGTGCCCATGCTTTAACTTCCTAGCTGATGTCTTGGGATGTTGCTTCAATATCTCCACACAATTTTCCGTCCTCATAAAGCCATCTACTTTGTGAAGTTCACCAGTCCCTCCTGCACCAAAGCACCCCCACAACATGTGATGCTGCCACCCCCATGCTTCACGGTAGGGATGGTCATTCTGGCCAAACTGTTTCATTTTTGTGTCATCAAGCCAGAGGGCATTTCTCCAAAAAGTAAGACCTTTGTCCCCATGTGCATCTAATAACTGCAACCTGGCTTACTTCTGGCAGCTTTGGAGCAGTGACTTCTTCCTTGCTGAGCGGCATTTCAGGTCACATCAATACCTTTTACTGTTGATATACATACTTCTGTACCTGTTTTTCTCCAGCATCTTCACAAGGCCATTTGCTGTTCTTCTTGGATTGATTTGTACTTTTTGCACTGTACGTTCAAGTATGTTCATCTCCAGGAGACTGAACACGTCTCTTTCCTGAATGGTATTGTGGTCCCATGGTGATTTTCCCCTGATGTCAAGCAAAGAGGCAAGTAGGCCTTTAAGGTAGGCCTTAAAACACTGCCACAGGTACATCTCTAATTAACTTAAATGATGTCAATTAGCCTATCAGAAGCTTCTAAAACCATGATATCATTTTCCAGAATTCAAGATTTAAAGGCACAGTCAACGTGGTGTATGTGAACCTATGACCCATTGGAATTCTGACATAGTGAATAATAAGTGAAATAATCTATTTGCAAACATTTGTTGGAACAATCGCCAATTGCTTGTGTCATGTACAAAGCAGATCCTAAACAACTTGCTAAAACTATAGTTTGCTGGTATGGAATCTGTGGAGGGGATAAATATGAATTGTAATGACTTCATCCTAAGTGTATGTAAACTTATGACTTCAACTGTAAGTTACTGTATATGCCATAAGGCCAACTTTGTAAACACTTGTAAATTAAATCCATCCATCCATCATCTAAACCGCTTATCCTTCTGGGTCGCGGTGGGGTGCTGGAGCCTATCCCAGCTGTCATTGGGCGGAAGGCAGGATACACCCTGGACAGGTCGCCAGTCTATCGCAGGGCTTGTAAATTACATGTTTATTTTAAACAAAAATGGAGCAACTGTGCTTTTTGGCATAGTTTTTACCTTTTATCGTACATACTGAACTCTGGGGTGAGTGGCATTTTACACTTTACAGTATTGGAACAGCTGAATTTCCCTTCAGGGATTAGTAAAGATTATCATATCTTCTTTAAAGGAAAAGAAATATCAAGAGGACAAATTCAACAATAACAACTGTAGAGAAGAACAGAGACTATATTAACTGGGGGAGAGTGAAGAACAGAGATCAAGAAAGACTGTGGTCACTTTCCCCATAATTTATGAGCCATGACACCGAGTAACTGATTGCATGTCAGTCTTAGCATGCCACACGCCATCTTAATTTATTTTTAACAACTGCTGTTCCTTCTAAAAACGTTGCTATGTATGTTTTGGGGATTTGATGGAAATGTGTAATTGCATGCAATGTGCAGAAGAACACACTGCACTGCTGGCTGTACTTTGGACTCCCATAAATGATCGTTAATTTTTACACTATGTGAGACTGTTAATCTTACATAGTGTAAAAAAAAAGTCATTGCTCTTGATGTGTAAATGTGGTGGCATTGTTTCACTGGTGCATTGTGTTTGTTCCACCTTTGTGGTAAACCTCAGAAAAACTAAATATTGTTTCATGTACCATGAAAACGTCTTTGAGTACCGTGATGTACTTTGCCATATCGCTCACCCCTAGCTCTATATAAAGTCTACACAGAGAGCTGCCCGCCAACCGAGGGCATATGTTATACAGACAGAACAAAGCAGAGCAGTTCCTCAAAAGCACACTGAGCTGTTCTATGCTGATGTGTGGGCAGCAGTTTGAAAAAAAATTGCATCAGCTGGTTTCATGTACAGTGGAAGAGGCACGTTAGTCTTCACCTCTCCAGGCTGGTAGCTCCCACACTGAGACAGCGGAGAGCTACAGACTATGACTAACACTAGGAGCAAGCTGAGAGAGAAAAAGTGGCTATGACTAATACTGGGAGGACAAAGAGCAGCAGTCAGAAGTGTTGTACCTGGCAAAAAGGGGTAGTTTGTGTTACTCCCTCGGAGGCTCTCAGCTGGAGGTCCTGGCTGCCTTTGCAATGATAAAGAATTCTTTGCTGATAAGCCGGTGTGTTCCAGTAACACCTTTAAGAGACGAAAACATGAACAGTAAATAAACGAAAAATGTAGCACCTCTGAAATAATAATGTTACAGGAGAAAGAAAAACTGTTCTTGACTAAGTCTATGTAAGAGAAAAGGGTGTATAAAGCTAACTATTTATCTGGGCAGTACATATTCCATTTCCAAAGCTCTACTGGACAAAGTCTAGTATTTACAATATCATTCAACAGCTATTTTTTAACCAACCTTTCATAAATTAAATCAGGTGCTGCTGATGTAATTGAACAAATCCATGCAATTACTGGAGTCCAGCAAAAAAACAGGAACCAAACATGTGTTCTTGTTCTTCTAACCAATCTATCAATAACTTTACTGAAAACAAGAAATTCTTGTTATTATTTTACTGGTGTCAAAGTGAAAACCATAATAACATATTAATGCAATAAATTATTTACACCACTCACTACAGACGTCCAGAGAGGCCATAAAGTAGTTTTAATTTCTGGATTGTTATCTTGAGATAACAAGTTAATTATCTTGTTATCTGGAGATAACAAAAGTTGTTATCTTGACATAATAAGCTAATTATCTTGTTATGTCAAGATAAAGTTGTTATTCTGAAATAACTGGTTAGTTATCTTGTTATCTGGAGATAAGAGAAGTTGTTATTTTGAGATAATAAGTTAATTATCCTGTGATGTCAAAATAACAAAGTTATTATCTTGAGATAAAAAGTTAATTAACTCGTTATCTCAAGATAACGATCCAGAAAATTATAGCAATAACTTATGGCCTCTCCGGACTTCCGTATTTTTTGCACCATTAGTGCATTTTCTTAGTTTGCCCCTTTGAACCATCCAAAGTTCCAGCCTACTGAAGCCCAGCTGCTCGCTATGCTGTGGCTACGACTCTGTGACTGTAGCCGTCTCATTCAAATACAGCTTTTAAACTCCATTCGTAACGAAGTTATTTCCAGCTACTGCCAAGGTGAATTTATTTACCACTGAAGGATGTCAAGTCTAAAGTAAGCAAAATACAGAGTTGACGCTGACAATATCAGTAATGTTAGCACCGAAGGACAACCTCAGCAGACCACAGTGAACAGCACTCATAGGAGAACTACGGATAACTCAAAAAGCAGCCAACTGCTCCCGAGTGGCGCAACCGTCTAAGCGTTGGCCCTGTCATCAGGAGATCGCGAGTTCGATCCCTGGTGATGCTACAGCCGTCCGTAGCCGGGAGTCCAAGAGAGCACAATTGGCCTCGCTCTCTCTGGGTGGGTGGGATGGCTGCCCTTCTCCCCCCATCACTCACTCAGCGCGATGCTAGTCAGCGCAGGCGTCTGTTAGCTGACGTAACAGATCTGGCGGTTGGCGTTTTCCTCCGAGCGCGTTCGGCTGTCCAGTGACGTTGCGTGAGCGCCAACTCGAAAAGAAGCGGTGGTTGGCTTCACAGGTCTCGGAGGAAGCCTGTGTTAGCCTTCACCCTCCTAGCGTTGATAGCATCGTGTGTGATTGGGGGAGTCCTAACTAGCGGGTGGAATTGGAGACGACTAAATTGGGGATAAAATCGGGTAAAAAAAAATATATATATGTGATAGATACACACGGTACATGAAAATTCACTCTGTGGAAATTTTATGTGATTTTTACTGTTTGGTTCACCTGAACCCTGCGCTCACAGCACAAAAATAATGTTACTGAATTACTGAACTACATCTGAATGAAGCTTAAGTAGGGATGTCCTGCTCCGACCCAGTAGACTGGGATCAGAGCTGATCCAGTCATATTAGAATGGAACAGGTATAAGATATTCTGATTCTGATATTTTGTACGTATAGCTATAACAAAATGCGCTGCTTTTTAAATGGCAAAAAAATCTTTTGTTAATGTCAAATTTGAGCAAATACGACAAATGCAATGAACCGTGATCAACTACACAAAATAACAATTGTGATTAACTATTTTAATTGTTTGAATTCCACCATTTTTCAAAATTTCTATATAGTTCAGTTGATTTGATGTAAACAAAGTCTTTCAGCGCAAATTAATGTGAATTGGGGCATTGTAACAAGACTTATACACAGTCTATGCTTAAGAAAATAATGTCAATACAGATAAAACACAAAATTGACACAGATAAAAGGCAGGAAAGTAACAGTGACTCCATGTGACACTCATTGCATGGTGCCAGGTGTGATTTCTCACTATTTTGCTTAGCCTAAATACACGCAAAACATTTTCTTGCATTTTACACCATCCAAACGTTGTTTTGGTCTTTGCGGCTGAATGTGTGGCAGTATGGTGGGTCTGGAAGCTGTTGTGCTGTGCAGTGGAGGCTTGCAAGGGCATGCTCTAGGTCAGTGGTGCGTCTAAAAAAAAAGTCTAAACATGCGTCCAAAAACGTCTAAACATAATAATATATATTCAAACATAACAGGGAAAAGTTATGGACTGTCCTATTAACAAATACAGTGTTTCCATCTTTCTGTTTGACGTACAGTATCCCTCAGCCACTGGGTGAGTACTTTGCTTTGAAGTGCTGAGCTTAAAGTGTTACCTCAGTGAAGTCCAGCAGCATGCCGGTGGTGGGGTCTCTCACTACAGACAGGCCGGAGTGCAGAGGAGTGAGGGAACAGTGCAACAATGAGTCCACCTGTCTGTCCCGCTTACTCAACCTAAGACATAAAACAGCATTTAATAGTGATGCAAATGACATTACAAATCAATCAATTCTAACTGATTAAAAACAGCTTTAAAAGATGCTTCACTGAGCAAAAAGTCCCTGAAATACAGTGCAGTCCAGTGGCACAACTTCTGTTGTTTTGGCTTGGTACTCCAGCATCCTCAATCAGAAATGAGACAATAATTATGAGGATAAAGTGCAGAAGCTTTACTGTGAGGGTATTTACATCTATCCTACCATTCGGAAGTCTGGAATCCCAGTTTTCAATAATAAAAAAAACAGTTTGGTTGCAGAGAAATGTGTTTAAAATGGTTTCTAAAATGTTCGTCCTGTAAAACTTCACAGCTTCAGATCATTCATAGGACGCTAGGAAGCTGTGAATAAAACATGAAATGTTTGATGTGTCCAGAATAATGATTAGAGCTGCAGAAGATTCTAAAATGACACACTGCAAATCAAATTATAACAACATGAATATCCAGAATTCATCAATTTTCATAAGTGGAGATCAAATTTCAATGTAGATAACTTGACTCCCAAAAGTAATATGAACTGATAATTACAGTACATTATCCATCATTTTGTTCATTTGTTATGATTTTTCTTGAAATACTGAATAAAACATCTAAAATACCCTCTGGTGAACAGTTTGCAACATTTAAAACTACACTGTATAAGTTATTATTGTGGACAAAATAATAAAAAGTGTCAATGAGGCAAACTTTGGAAAGGTGGTGCAGACTGGGACGACAATATAACAATCACAGCCCTTCTTACACCCACTGACCATTTCAAGGCAACATTAGTAATTAGACAAATTAATATTATCCTAAAAAACTGTCAAGTTTAGTTTGCAAATCCTTTGCTTTTGATGACCACATAAAATTTGCTATCTGGACAAACAGCTGTTAATATGTACTTTAGCGAACATTAAACACAGAGCGGTCTTAGCCAAAAGGGTTCTACATAGCACCAGAAAAAGGTTTAATGACTTGTAATGACAAAGGAACCCCTTTTTGGTGCAATACAGAACCCTTCGTAAAAAGTTCGTTAAATGGCCCATACCATACTTTTTTCCAAAAAAAAGAGATTATTGTAGTTTGTAAACACTGTTCAAGTTTTAAAACATACCATTCACTCAGTCCATTCATGGAAACTAAGCTGCAAAAACTTTCTTTTTGAATTCATTGTTTCTGTGATGTCGTAAAAAAAACAAAAAAAAACAAATTAATTAGTTTACATATATCTACCTACTCAGCCTACAGCCGTTTAGCCCCGCCCCCTTACACTGAGATTATACAGAGTGTTGCAGTCTGGACTGCTTTTAGCACAAAACAGGGCTGCCAAGTAGAGCAGAGCTCATTTACATACGTCAGTCTTAGAGGCACATTAACGCAAACAGCCTGTTTAATTCTAAGGAATAAAAACAGGTATGAATATGGTCATGTAAAAATGATCTGGTGTTGGTACATAATCTTACACAAATGTTATAAGTGGACCTCGGGGACAAAAACGAAATATAAGAAAAATGCAGAATATGGGCCCTTTAAAGAACCATATACAACAGGTTCTCCATCCTAGAGAAGAACCATTTAACCATCCAAAGATCTATATGGTCATATGTAAAAGTCTGGGTGAAAACAAAGGCGCAGCCTCTACAGAGAACACATTTCTGCACATTTTAAAAGCACAGCTACTGCTTTCTTGTTGAATTCAAAATATTGGGAAAAGAAATAAACATAAATTGTGGCCTGTGCAAAAGTTATGGCACATTAAATATTTTATGCTTTCCCTAATACGTTACACTCAGCAGAAACTGTGCAGTAAAAAGCCACATTTATATGTGTTCTCTATACAGGATACACACTGTATAACTTTCAAGACCTTCAAGACATTAAAGACTTTAAAGGTGTGTGTTTGAAGGCTGTAGTCATTCAGGAGATGCTTTCATACTTCAGAAACTTCTGGAATGCATCAGTGGTGTCGTGTAAGGGCATCCATGCAGGATCCCGCAGGAAGCGCTTCTCCACCTCCATCTTCAGGTCTAGACTGGTGGGAGGAAGCCCATGAGGAAGCTAAAGGGAGAGGAACAATGTATGAAATGAGGTCAAAGAATTCTGGTCAATGTGGAATGATACATATAGGGTAAATTAGGGGAAGAAGGCCCCCAGGGAAATATGCTCCCCAACTTCATTTCCTCTGCTGATCAAATGAAGGGCCCAAATCTGATCTCGACACATTTACTGAGAGACTGTGGTCTAATTAATTCAGAAATTTCATCTTGATGACCACATTTTTGGGATGTATTCTCCCTGGAAGCTTTTTGGGGTCAGCTGATAAATTTGTCATTGAAAAACAGTGATTTAGGAACTTAATAAAGCACATTATACACATGCATAGTTTTGAGGGTGTTATTTAGAGGGGGTGTTATTGTTCCTGCCACCCGATTTGCCTGTAATTATAAAGTCATAAAAAAGTTGTTTTGTTATACCAATCTAATATTCTGTCGTGTCTGATAATAATTTATACTGACCATTAAATGTGAAAAACACAAATTCAACATTGAGGACTACTGCTTTGGTATAGTATTTGTAATAACAATAATAATAGTAGTCGATACTGATCTTACAGAAGAACAAATCCCAAATAAGAAAACACCACTGAATGTCAGATTCTCTGTAAGAACTGCCTAAAGCAGGTTTAGATTAGATTTCATCTAAAGAACGGTTGGCGAATGAGGCCCAATGTCATGAATTTACACAAACTAATTATGCAACTACTATAAATCACAAAAACTATTTAATTAATTAACAAAATTCACATTCAAGTGTTTCTGTCTTACGAGCAATTTTCTTTTTGTCACAGCTTATTAAAATATAGTGGAATCACTCAAACATAAACTGATAAAAATCTCAGCTTTAATTCAGAATACAATCTTTTCATGTTACTCTTTGATTGGTTGTTTTGGAAAAATGTAAAGACTTGTACATCTTGCATCAATTTATCATCATGTTTTACAGAATGGATAATTTATATGTTAAATTTTGTAAAACTTCTAAATTTCTAAAAACACTATTGAGGCAAGATTTTCTTTCTTCTTTCTTTCTATATGAAATGTGGTTCAAACTGTGTTTAGGTTTATTGATCATCATCCCCATACATAGATATGGCTTAGATTTAAAGTAAAAGGGCACTGCTCTTAAGGGGGGCATTTTTCACCCATTTTCCTCCACCTTCAGGTTTGAAACGATTTTCTATGCTAAAATCAAGCTTTTAGATCTTGTATGAGTTATGTAAATGCTTTGATTCTACTCAAATTATATACTACACAGAGTGTTTTGGCTCAGAAAAAAAATATTTAAGTACACACGCAAAAGTAGGATGTCTTTGTGCGAAATACTAACCTCATAAAACAGTGCAATCGAGTTATAAACAATACAAAAACAGACAGGATGGACGAAGATGCCTTTTTTTTAATTGACAAGACTGGCAAATTAGAGATGGTGGGAGTGGTACAACAGGACTGATGTCCAGTACTCACTGTGCCCTGTGGATGTAGAGCCTTATTGCTGGGCAGTGGATGTGTGAGCAGCTCAAATCTCCCTGAACAGCCCATCTCCAATAAGGAGAGAGGCAGGTCATCCGGGCCAGGTGGGGGCAAATCTACACAGACAGTATTTGCAATATGATTGTTATGACATGGAACTGACAGCCAACTGCCGACAGCTGCAAATGTGCAGATGACAACACAGTAACTAGAAAATATTAAAGGGGAGTCCAACCAATTTTTCAAATTTTGAATAATTCAGTCCTTGAGATGTAAACAGGGTCATTCAGAGTGGTTCATCGTAAATAAAGACATCTCTACAGTGGTGGTGATAGGAACCAGGGGTCACAATAGCTACAACACATAGATAGCCATTTTATTTACTATCCAAAACCTCCAGTGAACCTGCATGAGCCTTCTGCGCTTTTTTATGGAATGTGGATTTACTAAGATGCATTTTTCAAAATAAAAGTCCTCATTTTCACTGAAAATGAGGACTTTTATTTTGAAAAATGTCTCAGCGAAATGACATAGTAGTCCATATTAGTATCATGTAAAACATGTATACTTTATAAATGTTGATTTATAAATTCATTAACATGTTATGCAGTGCTTAGTAGACAACCTTCAAGTAAAGCGTTACCAACAATTCTGACTGAGCATTTCAAACCAAACCCCTCTGAATGACTTTGTTTACATCTTAAAGATTTAACTGCGTAGAACTTGTGAAAAATCGGTGGAGTTCCCCTTTAAGCTTTACACAAATCAAGTCGATTAACTTACTGGGAATTATGTTTAACAAAATAAGTTTAAAAAGTCAATCATTTGACCATATAAAAGGTAGCTTAGTCCCACTGAACAGAACATTAGTTTGGTGTTTTTGTGCTCCAATTTACTATTCAGCTCGTTCCCGAGCCTTTCATGGGGCCAAAACGGGTTTTTTTTAAAGCTGGAAAAAATAATAAAATACGCAGTAAGGAGGAGCAAGACCAGGGCGAAGCTGTCAGCTTCTTCTTGCTCGAATTTTCACGTTCCACCTTAAATCGTGCAGCAGCTAGCTACATTCAGCATCCATTTAAGGTGGAACGGGAAAATTCGAACAAGAAACTGGCGAAGAAGAAGCTGATTCAGCCTCACAGGACCAACTTAGACAACTCTGCATTAAATTAAACCTAGACGTCCTGCTTAATTGAGCTAGCTGGCAAAGTTGTCTACCACCATTTAAGCTAACCTAGTTTTTTAGCGGAGGAAGAAAAACAGACACGCAGAAAAACTACTTTAACTGAACACTTAGATAAAGAAACAGGGTCCACTCACCTGTCTTATCCATCTCAGTCCTCAGACTCAGATGTGTGTTTCACTTGATTCCCTGAAGCTGCACAAACTAGCAGCACACAGACAGCAGGAAGTTACGAGTCGGAATGTCGTGGACTGCCGGCCGGTTCCATTCGGAGTACACGCGGCCTACTTAGGGCACTAAGAAGGGAGCACACTCACCGCCATTTTGTAGTGTTGTTCAAACCCGAAGGCGGTGTTCCGATCGATCAGGTATAGCTCTGAGCTTCCACGACAAACCTGGACAGAAAATTACGGAGCCCCGCTGGTGACATCCTGTACAAATAAAAATAATGCGTGGCCACGACTTAGTAAGGCGTGGGATTGAGATGATTAAGTCGTGGCCACGACTTAGTAAAGCGTGGCCACAACTTAATCATCTCATTTCCCACGCCTCACTTAGTCGTGGCCAAGCATTAGGATCTCGTTCCCACGCATTAATGAGGCGTGGCCACGCATTATTTTTATTTATACAGGATGTCACCAGCGGGGCTCCGTGTTGATCAGAATTTTCTATACAGATAAACTATTTGAATTTCCGTTCCATCTTAAATGCTGCAGTTACATGTGCAGGAACTAGAATGGAACGGCTGCACCTTTCCAAAGGGGAACTCCAGCGACTTTCCAAATTCCTGCATATTTAAATGGTTAAGATGTAAACACATCGGTCAGAATCGTCCACAGTGGTGGTGATAGGAACCAGACGTCCACCTGTAAAAGTTCCTTACAGGAAGCTGTAACGTGAAAGGGTTATGAATGCGTATTATGTCTAAACGTTGCTTTACATCAGTTTTATCATAAAGGGTTTAAGTCTAAAATGTATTTTAATCAGTTTACTTTAATCCAGTCATGGTGGAAGGAGTTTTAAGACATGGTGTTTTAAGACAAAATAGTCCCCAAAGGAAACTTATTCTTTCAGATTTCCCACTGTTTTATCATCATCATCAACATTAAAACCCAGAGGGAACGGTGGTTTTGGATAGCAAATAAAATGACTGTATTTGGATTATAGACATCTGGTCTCCTGGTTCCTCTCACCACCACCACTGTAAAGAAATCTGAGTCAGTAAGTTTCTCTACAGTGAACCATTTCACATCAAACCACTCTGAATGTTTATGTCTCAACCACTGAATTGTGCAGAAATTGTGAAAAATCGGTGGAATTCCCCTTTAAGGTACTTCCGACGCCAAGTTATCTTGAAGGTATAGCTCTGAGGTTACACGACAAACCTGGTAAGAGGCGATACGAGGCTCAAGTTGGCTTGATATTCACCATCTTTTTACCTAGATCAGAATTTTCTATACGGCGAAGTCATTCTTGGACCGTTCAAACGCGCCATCTACAGGCGCAGGAATGTAACTGCAGTATGATTTAAAGGGGAACTCCACCGATTTTTCAAACATTCTGCAGAATTCAGCGGTGGAGATGTAAACAAAGTCATTCAGAGTGGCCTACTCAGATTTCTTTACAGTGGTGGTGAAAGGAACCGGGGTCGCAATGTGTACAACACCAATTTAACCATTTTATTTACAATCCAAAACCACCAGTGAGTCTACACGCGTCGTCTGGGTTTTAGTATGGTAATGCTGACCATGAAACGATAGTGGGAAATTCTCAAGTTTTCTTTGGGGGCATAAATAGGTTTTTAAAATCGTGTTTTTGGCCAAATCCTTAGAGCAAAACTACTGTAAAAGCTCACACAGCATATTCGTAACCATTTCATGTAACAGCTTTCTGTGTCACAGCTTTCAGATGCGCTAAATGCTTCGGACGTCTGGTTGCTATTACTACTATTCTGAGAAACTCTGTAGGTTTCACATGAACATTTAATTTTCATCTTAATGATTGAATTATGTAGAAATTTTGAACATTTGGTGGAGTACCCCTTTGGGCTTTTCGAATAAGAAGCCAACTTCAGCTTCGTAGAAACAGTGTAGAGTGAAACACTGCCCACACGGGTGGGAAGACCGATATTTTAACATCCTTTTTAGAATTGATCCTGACAGTAAAGCTTCAGGCTTCTTTTTTGGGAAACTGAATGTGTATTTGACGCTTACAAAATAAAAATAAAAACTCTGTATTGCAAAAATACTGTACATATATTAATATTCATTTAATACTAATAACAAAGTTACTGATTTTGACTGTAGAAATCACAGATTTCCCCCTTTTTACAGGTCAATAAATATTTAGTCTAATAAAAGTATAATTGCTGGTATTGGTATTGGGGTTTTAGCCTTGGTGACCGCCAGATGTCCCTCATGTAGCACAATATACGCCAAATATATACATACATCAGCCAATACGCTTTTTGAAGGAAATGTTCCCTCTTCTGTCCAATCGTAAGTATGGAGCCCCGCCGGTGACATCTTGCGCAAATAAAAATAATGCATGGCCACGACTTAGTAAGGCGTGGGAATGAGACGATTAAGTCGTGGCCACGACTTAGTAAGGCTTCGGAACGAGATCACGGCTTACTAAGTCGTAGCCACGCATTAGGATCTCGTTCCCATGCGTTTCAAAGGCATGGCCACGCATTATTTTTATTCACACAGGATGTCATCATCAGGGTATGGAGCCCCGCTGGTGACATCCTGTACAAATAAAAATAAATTGCCACGACTTAGTAACACGTGAGTACCACACCGTATTAAGTCATGGCCACGACTTAATCATCTCATTCCCACGCCTTAATATGTCGTGGCCACGCATTAGGATATCGTTCCCACGCATTAATAAGGCGTGGCCACGCATTATTTTTATTTATACAAAGTGTCACCAGCGGGGCTCCGTACGTAGGTGCAATGTTTTGTACGAGCCATTAGGTGGCAGTACAGCGGCGGCCAGCAGTCTGCGGATTAACGAAGAAGAAACGATAACAGACTTTTTGTTGTGCGCGTAAAATACAGGATTAATTGGATATTTTTTTGGGGTAAAAACATTTTTTTTGTATTGGAAAAATTGGTGTAACTGTTACACGCAAACGCAGGACATGTTTACAGCTGAATAACATTGTAATAGCACTGTATTTAACCTTTCGGCGTAGCAACAAACGGCTGTGTAGCATAAATGAGCCGCAACTAGCCAAAATCTGCACAGCGCTGTTTGAGCTCTGTCAGTTACGGTTACAGTTACGGTTACAGTGGCTGAGCTGTGGTTAAACAGTGTTTAAGTCACCTCCTCTAGTCCTGCACTACCAGCCTGAAGACGGTTTGCTGTTCGCCAGCTTCGTGCTCGAATTTCCGTTCCACCTTAAATGCTGCAGCTACATGTGCAGGAACTAGAATGGAACGGCTGCACCTTTCCAAAGGGGAACTCCAGCGACTTTCCAAATTCCTGCACAATTAAATGGTTAAGATGTAAACACATCGGTCAGAATCGTCCACAGTGGTGGTGATAGGAACCAGACGTCCACCTGTAAAAGTTCCGTACAGGAAGCTGTAACGCGAAAGGGTTATGAATGCGTATCATGTCTGAGACGTTGCCTTACATCAGTTTTATCATAAAGGGTTTAAGTCTAAAATGTATTTTAATCAGTTTACTTTAATCCGGTCATGGTGGAAGGATACAGGAAGGGTGTTTTAAGACAAAATAGTCCCCAAAGGAAACGTATTCTTTCAGATATTTTATCATCATCATCATCAACATTAAAACCCAGAGGGAACGGTGGTTTTGGATAGCAAATAAAATGACTGTATTTGGATTATAGACATCTGGTCTCCTGGTTCTTCTCACCACCACCACTGTAAAAAAAAATCTGAGTCAGTAAGTTTCTCTACAGTGAACCATTTCACATCAAACCACTCTGAATGTTTATATCTCAACCACTGAATTGTGCAGAAATTGTGAAAAATTGGTGGAATTCCCCTTTGAGGTGGAATGAAGCATTCTAAAGAGTGTTTCTCCTGTTCACAACCTCATTCAGCTCCAGAAGGACTTGAGTGGCTGCTGATGTAACTTAGGTGCAGAGAAAAGACAAAACTGTGCAGGAGGTTTGCAGCACTGAAAGTACTGATTTATTTAATCCAGACTGAATGTATGAATTAAAGGTAGCATTTCACCTCCTTTAGATCACCTGCGCTGTACAGGTTCGTGTCTGAGTCTCACTACAAGTTAATGATCTAGTCCCTCTGGAGCTAAATCAGGTCTGTTAGAACAGGAGAAACACTTACATCTGCAGTGGAGGTAGAATAGAGGAGGAGTGGAACTGTGAAACTCTGGGCTAAAGCATGTTAAACCAAGTATAAAATAGCATAAAGTGACTGATGGTCGGAAAGCTCTGACTTCTCATCTCTTTCCTGCAGCTCTACTGCGATGGCTGTGTTTCCAAGCGCGCTGACCGAAGAGGAGGAATCATTACAGAAAAAATATGCAAAGTTAAAGAAAAAGGTAGAATAAGGGAGTAACTATCACTGAAGCACTGCAGTGCAGCGGTGCATATTGTAAGGCTGTTATAGAGGGTTTAGAAACTCATGCATAGTCAAATATAAAGTCCACTTTTTTTTATTCAGTCAATGTCCAAACATCACTGTTCTCATCTTAAAAACACACTTCTTATTAGCAAACTACCAGCACCATCTTAGGCCTTATCTTTCGTTAACAGTATACATTTATGTGAATCTATTGTTTTTTTGCTCTGCTTCCTCAGAAAAAGGCTCTACTGGCACTTAAGAAGCAGAGTTCCAGCAATCAGACAAGCCAGGCTGGACTGAAGCGCAGTAAGTTTCTGTCCTGTTTACTTCTGTGTCTAAAATGGACCAAAAAAGTGTGTGTGTGTTTGAAATTTGAGATGTATTATTAAAGAGGAATTCCATACATTTTTATAAATGTTTGCATAGTTCGGTCATTGAAATATAAAACAAACACAGAGTGGTTTGATGTGAAATAGTGCATTGTAGAGAGATTTGTGTAGAAGCGATTTCTTTACAGTGGTGTTGATCAAAAGCAGGGGTCACAATGTGAGACACAGATATATCTATTTTATGTACTCTCCAAAACCATCAGTGAACCTTCTGAGTTTTTGTGTGTAATGTTAATAAACTGTGGTAAAACAGGGGTAAATTTAAGGGGAAAAAAGGTTTTATTTGGCCACTGTTTTGCCATAGAATGCCCTGCATGTACCTCTCCAGCATGAATGTATTAAAAAAGTGTGTGTGTGTGTGTATGTATATATATATATATATATATATATATATATATATATATATATATATATATATACACACGTTTTGTAGAGTCAGAATTGTTCATAGTGGTGTTGAAAGCTATATCAATATCCAATGATACCAAAACAGACACTCTCCAGCATCAGCATTGATTAAGAAGTCATTTAAAATTCTCACAAGCGCTGTCTCTGTGCTGCGTTTCTGCCTAAAACCTGATTGAAACTTCTCAAAGACACAGTTTTCTTCTAGCAGAACTAACAGCTGTTTTTCAACCACTTTGAAGGCAACTCTGAAAGGGTCTGTAATTCACGCAATCCATAGTGTTAAGACCAGGTTGCACCATCGCCAGCTTAAAACAATCTGGGACACTTAAAAAATGTAGCTATTAAAAAGGTAACCAGAAGAAGTAAAGGGACACAAACAGTATACTATCTTTTTTAATTCCTCCAGGGAGATGGGAGAAAATCGGTTTAATATTTCAGCTCCGCTACTCTGAGGAACCACTTGAAATGAAATATTATTCCTAAGATCTGTGATTTTATCCAGGAAGAACTTGAAAAACTGTTCTACATCAGTCATAGAACTGGGTGTGCTCTGGGCAACCCCATTTACTAGGGAGTCTATCCTAGAAAATAAAAACCCTGGGTTGTGTATATTTACAGTTAAATCATTAAAATATTTAATGGCTCTAGCATCCCTACCTCTTTTATTAAAAACAGACCACAAATCCTTCAGGTATAAATAATAAACCTGAAGCCAAGACTTTTTCTGTTCTTACTCTACACTTAGGTTTTGTCCTTAATCTGACAGGGGCAGCCTTATCTAAGACTGCTAGCAAGGTCATTAACATTAGTACAGAGAAACAACTGCTCACTAAACCCTGTAAACACATCTGAACATTGTGATTTTGATTCATCGTTAAAAAAGCATGACTGTACACAGTGTTTGGAACCAGGCTTAATAATGAACAGGGGCACATTAAAAGTAATACAATTATGATCTGATACAAATAAATTCACCACAGAGACAGAATGGGGAGGCAAGCCTAAAATGAACACCCGATCCAGTGTGTGACTCCGATTATGAGTCAGGCCAACCTTGCAACCATGCTGAACAAAATGGTGTTTAAAAATTTTGTAGCAGACCCATCACAGACATTGTCAATATGAATACTGTGGGTGTGGGTGTGGGGGGGGGCAGTTTGACATTTATAGGAATTTTTAAAAATAACAGCCAGACCTCCACCAAGTCCTGATGTCCTTGGAGAATTGAAGCATGAATAATTTGGGGGACACAGAAAACCGTTCTCATCGTTTTTGAGCCAAGTCTCTATTAGAAACAAAAAATCGATCCCACACGAAAGATACAAATTCTTGCATAACAAACGCCTTGTTTGAGAAGGACCCAACATTGAGAAGTGCTATCTTAGCATCTCGTATCCAAAGGCGAAAGGCAGGGATTTCACATAGATTATTAACGTCCACCCCACCAAGCCTAACTACGAGTTTCCCAGTGTGCGCACAAGGAGGTAATCCTGGAAAATGCTGCACTCCTCCAATGAACGTCGCAAAGGGAGATTAAGCTTTTTCAGTATAAGCTCCTAAAAAAAGGCTTTTGTAAGCTTTAGCCTTTGAGGTTGGACATAGTAAATGTTCTCTCTTTGTGTTGTTTGTGGATGAAGCTGCGCTGTATTTTATTTTGTTTGTTTTATTATTTTATCTGCTTTATCTCACTGTTGTGAAGCACTTTGCAGCCTGACTCAGAAAAGTGTTGTATGAATAAATGTTTAAATAGTGGTGGTGAAAGAAACCAATTGTCTTTATCATTTAATTCCCCTAAAATACATCGTAGGAAGCTGTTACAAATACATGCCTGAGATTTCTAACTGGTTTATGATAGTTTTGAGAGAAGATTTTGGCCTAAGTTTCACTAGAAGCATTTCACATTAAACTACTCTATATGACTTTGTTTACATTTTAGTGATTTAATTATGCAGAAATTCAGGAATTCCTCTTCAAAAGTCCTGAAAATTTAGCAGTACAGTGATTTGAAAGCGTATTTAGTGTTTTTTCATTGGGTTTGTGGATCATCTAAGTAACTCAGTGATGATGATTTAAAGGAAGTGCCTACCGTACGTTCTTCATGTGAAAGTTGAGTTTTGCTGTGGAAGTGGGCAATATGGCAATACTTATTGTTATTGTGCTAAATTATGTCATAATATGTCACAATAAGCTTTTCTGAGCATATTATGGATATTGTTAGCACTTACAAACACTTTCCAAAGGCAGGTTTGATTACAAAAAATCATAATTAGTATTGTTTAATTAAATATAGTGTAGTATGTGAAATGTTAAATACAATTAAACTGGATTCATAGTTTTTATAGTATTTTTAAAGGGGCCACTACTTTGTCTGTTCCAACTTACCAGATGACAGCAAAAATAAATATTATTGTATCATGAAAACTTATGATATTATGTTTATTTTACAGTCATGGTTATATTGCAGTTTGCCAAATCGCACACCTCTATTTGATTGTATCCTGTATCTCTTAAGCTTTGTCAGACCAGCCTGTGGTGGACACGGCAACAGCCACTGAACAGGCCAAAATGCTCATCAAATCTGGTGCTATTAGCGCCATCAAATCAGAGAACAAGAACTCAGGGTTCAAGCGGTCAAGAACACTTGAGGGGAAATTAAAGGTACGTCTTCAACACAGACAAAATAGCCGGCATTTTGAACTTTTTAGGTGGTCACTACATGGATTTAAATTAAGATACATGTGACGTCTATCATAATTAGTAACTAAATACTGTATTTTATTTAATCTCAGGACCCAGAAAAAGGTCCCGTTCCAGCATTCCTCCCATTTCAGAGAAGCGTTTCCACAGATGAGGATCCTGCTGAGGTAATGCTGATCGCCACTCTTTAGCATTAATACTTTTGTGCATTACCCAGTAATGTTCATTTACCAGTGTCAAACCATGACTGTTAAAACTAGGCCTTGAGTTTGGCCCATAAATGTTAAAGGCTAAAAAAGAAGGAAAGAAAAAACCCACCCTTTTAATAATTCTAATGCGAAGGTTTCTAATAGTATGTTAAGCTAATGCTGGTGCTCATGAACTCTTTCTGGACTTTCTAGGTTAAACACAGACATTTGGAGGTTTTAAAAGGCATTCCACATTTTTATTTTATACTTTTAGCAGACATTATATTATATACTTGACCTTGTATGTAGCGGTTTTACAGCTGCCACTGTTTTCCGTTTCTAACAGCTGACTAAAACCTGGTTAGATTATGGTTCATGTTCAGTCAGTGATGTTTCTAGAACCTCCATAAAGCCCAAAGTGACGTTTCTTTTTTTACAAAATTGGTCACAGTGGGAAATCAAAATGTGATTGGTTGATCCTGTCGCTTCCTAATTATGTTGGTATTGAATCTAATGTGTAAGGCCTTCTGTCCAGCTCCTGAAGTCCTAACCCACTGTATCTGCTTAAATACCACAGGAAAAAGAATCCTGATTGGACAATTTTTTAGTGGGTGCTTCAAGATTTTAACCCTTTTGTTTTCTACCAAAACTTGACAGTGAAAAAGGAGTAGTACAACAATATTTGCAGAGACAATCATGATGATTCTTTTAAATAACAATGAACGATTACAAACGTGTTTTTTAAAGTCTCAAAAATCATTCGTTTCTGAGGGTTCCCCACTTTTATCAGTTCCTCCTGTTTGATCAAGATGGGTAAAATAAGTTGTTCTTAACATTCTGTAAAGTTGTCAACATGTTTCTTTCTCTTTTTGCAGTCTGCTAAACGATCTCACAGAAAGAGTCTGTACGAGAGGTAAGCGTCAGTGAAACTATCACAGCATCATTATAAAGCCAACCAGTATTTGAATATGATCTAATCCACCTGCTCTTTTCTCTTGCCACTGCAGTTTCGTCAGCTCTGGAGAACGTTCTCGCGACGATGATGACGGAGGAGGAATGTCGTCCAGCCGTGACTTTGATCGTGAACGCGAAAGAGAGCTGGACAGAGACCGAGAACGAGAGAGGGACCGTGAGAGGGACCGTGAAAGAGAGCGAGACCGCGATCGGGACAGGGAGAGGGAGCGCGAGCGCGAGCGCGAATGGAGCCGGGACAGAGAGAGAGATCGCGAGCGGGACAGAGAGAGAGACAGAGACAGGAGCCGGGACAGAGAACGAGACCGGGACAGGGACCGCGAGAGAGACAGAGAGAGGGAGCGAGACAGAGATGGACCATTTAGACGTAAATACCTTTATCCCTTTACCTCTCTATATAAATATACAGTTTCCAGTGTAATAAGGTACACCTACCGCTTACCTACACTCATTGGCCAGTTTATTGGAAACACATATAGGTGCACTTGGTAGGTTTCATCAGGCAATCATAGCACCATATAATCATCATATAATCCATCCATCGGTGGAAAGGGACCACCATAGGACCACTGCTGACCAGATATTATTTAGGTGGTGGTCCATTCTCAGTACAGCAGTGACACTGACATGGTAGTGTGTTGGTGCTGGTGCGAGTGTATCAGAGAGTTTTTACACATATCAGTGCCAATGTTGAGAGTGGACCACCACACAAAAATACCCAGACAAAAGCGGCTCTGTGGTCAGAAACTGACCATTGATGATGGATAAGAGTAACACAAACTGCATCAACAAATGAGCTACAGTCTCTAACTGTACACCAGCAAGGTGGAGCTACAAAGTAGGGGTTTCTAGTAAGAGGTAAATGTACAGTAGTTTTTTTTTTTGTTTTTTTTTTTCAAGTTATTTTCAAGTATAATCGAAGTTGCTTATTCTTGTATATGCATAACTATATCCTACAGATTTTAAGATTTACTTTAAGTATTAAGTGGCTGCAGATTGTAACTGTCCTTTGTGGCTGTGCAGGCTCAGACTCGTACCCGGAGCGGCGCAGTGTGCGGAAGGGAAACACAGTGTATGTGTACGGTTCAGGACTCGTGGAGGACAGCCTGCGGGCAGCTTTTGCTCAGCATGGCAACATCATCGACCTGTCCATGGATTCCCCACGCAAGTATGATGACATTTATCATGAGGTTTATGTTGCTGCTATTTTATTAAATGTTAATATTCATTAATACACTGGTTATATCATGGCTGTGCATATCCTATGGTAATTCTGTACTGACAGTAAAATTAAGTCCAAAATTGGGCTTAGAAAAACCAAGAAAAACAGGCACTTAATGAGCAGAATTGAGTGTGTAACCCTGAGTGCATTTACATGCACTTAATAATCCAATCATAATTGGATTTCTGCAGTTGTCTGATTATTCAGATGGTCACGTAAACAGCATATTGTGATTTCTTAGATCAGAGTAAGGTCTAGAAATCTGATAGAGGCTGGATTTTAGCTCAGTAATCAGATTTCTCAGTGCATGTGAACTCTTACTCTGATTTCTTTCGGATTTCTCAGTCTGCGCATGTGCGAAAACAGACAGTGGTACCGTAAATAAGTGAGCAGCGTCGCCACGAGACGCAGCAAAACACTTTTGGAGCGACACTGAAACCAAATACATGCTTAGCGAAATGAAGGATTTAAATACTCTTCATCTTCTAGATGATGTATGTTCATATTTTTTACGTAAAGTGGTGGAATGTTTTAAAAAAAAAAAAAAGCTGCAGCATTAAGTTTGAGTTTTACATTACGTTTACATCACGTCTTCTTCTGTGAGTTTATTGGCTGGTTGCAAAGCAGAAATCTGAGTTTCCCCATTATCTGATTACTCAAGTGCACGTAAACGCGTTGATCAGATTACTGACAAAATCTGCTTTTCTGCAGTTATCAGATTATTAAGTGCACGTAAACACACTCACTGTGACAAATACCCAAACAGCACAACCCTCAGCTGCTCCACCGACTATGCTCTGTGCTTCAGAGTCCCCAGAATGCTTGATTTATGAAGAAAAGCACAGGCTAAGCTGATCTTTCTGTGTGTATAGAGTTTAATTTTTTTTTCACTCTGTTTCTCTTTCAAGCTGTGCTTTTGTCACATTTGAGAAGATGGAGTCAGCAGATCAGGCTGTAGCAGAGGTCAGTCCAGTTTACTCCTTTATTTTTGGTCTCTCAAAACAATAGGCTTCAATACGTTTACTCACTGTCACTAAGATTTTGCAGTTCCATTTTTTTATTAGACACTACATTAAATTTGATTCACTTTTCTAAAATTAATAAAAACTCTTAATAATGAAAATGTATCTCGTTTAACATTTAAAGCACTACCTTGTTCTTAGCAGTTTTCTGCTTAGACATTGTTTTAATTACCTTGAGTTTTATCACTTGATTGTAAAGAACTTGCAGCTTCTACTTGTATGAAAAGCACTTTATGATATTATACATTAACATTATATGTTAATTGTTATACATTAGGCTAGTATGCACAATATATTATATACAGCGCCCTCCATAATGGGAAAAGGCATGTATATTTTATTTGTCTCTGTACTCCAGTTTTAAATTTGTTCTCAAACAGTTCACATATGGTTGAAAGGCACAGTCAGATTTTAATAAATAATAAAAGGTGTGCTGAATTGCTAGTTAGACTCTAGATTTAGATTTTCTATTTTTGAACACTTTTTCTCAAAAAACAGAATGAGGTATGATTAATTGTAAAGCAGTAGAGATGCTGTCATCAGACAATGAAATTAAACACAAAAACAGGACTTGGAACCAAATCTTAATTACTATGATAGTAGTAGTAAAACATAGATTCTTTTCCCTACAAATATATTAACAGTATAAGTATTATGATTTAAAAATACTCAGGAAATCTATTAAAATCACTTGATTTTTTCGAGTACATGCGGTTAATTAGTAAAAGTAACTAGTTACTACCAACTGCTGGTTATTTTACTAGGGTGTACACTTCATTAAATTGGCTGAAAAAGGTTTAGATTCTGTAATGTCTACAGGAGATTGAGTTCTATCTTAATACCCTTTGTAGCTGAACGGCGCCACAGTGGGAGACGTTACTATCAAAGTTAGCATCGCTAGGAAGCAGCCAATGCTGGATGCAGCTACCGGCAAGTCTGTGTGGGCTTCTCTGGGTGAGTAACAGGGCTGAGCACGAAAGACTGTCAGGCTGAGTGTTGATTCTCGATTAAGCCATTTACCTTTCCTTACTTTTGTTTCTCCTTCCACTTCTTCAATTTTGCAGCTGTTCAAAACAGTGCCAAGGGTTCATACAGGGACAAGCGAAATCAGGTTGTCTACAGCGAAGATTTCCTCTGAGGACCTCTGTTGGACTCTATGTCGAAGACAAACTGTTTCGACTCAACATCAGTGTATTTTTTTTCTAAGTGCTGTATTTTCAAGTGAATCAGACTCATAAAATATGTATTTCTTCAACAACTTTTTCCCCTTAATGTAGCTTGCTGTTTAGCTCAACTCTGCTTTGCTTTGTTGCACTCAATAAAGTTGCTTCTAGATGTGACATTAGGATCCTGATTCTGTTGCTGCTGTCTCTCTCACTGAGGACCAAAGAAGAAAAATTAAGCTCCTGTGAACTTGTCAATTGCAAATAACCAGATACGATAGCGCTGGCGTGTCCAGTCCTATCCACAGAGCGCTGATGTGGATGCAGGTTTTCATTCCAAAAAAGCAGAAGCACTCGTGATCAGTTGTGAGTGTTTAGAATGGAATCAAACGTGCTTCTGCTTATTTGAAATGAAATGAAAAAGGGCTGCAGGTTAAGATTGCAAACCTCTGCAGTAGGTGATGATTTAGGAACACCTTCAGTTCTAGAGAAAAAGCTATCCAGGATGTACACAGTGTCCAAGACCACCAGAGGAGAATACTTTAGAAAAATGTACATAAAGTCTGTAAAGTTCTGAGACAGATGAAGGTACTACACCAAAGTGATGGAAACATGAAAGAATAAAACAACAAAAAGTGAAATTTTGTTCAGCTCTGACTGAAACCCCTCTGAGCAGCTTTTCACTAAGGCACAGACTGAAGACAAAAGCCAATACCTGGCAGAACAGACAAGATACCCAGGCTTAATCTTACATGTCCCCCTACTCCTTATATAGTGCAGTATGTACATTACAAAATTTTGACCTCTACACCCAAGCAGTGCACCATATGTGTAGTAGGGAACTGTGCACATGTGATTGAATCTTAAATGGTTCTTTGTTAGACAAGCACTATATTTAATTACTCAGTTCAGGTGTTTCAGCCACACCTATTGCTGACAGTTGTATAAACTCAAGCACAACATCTCCATAGACAAACACTGGCAGTAGAATAGGTCGTACTGAAGAGCTCAGCGACTTTGAACATGGCTCTGGTATAGGATGCCACCTATGCAACAAGTCAGTGAAATTTCTGCCCTGCTAGATCTGCCCCGGTCAACTGTGCTATTTGAAACAGAAGCTTCTGTAAGCAGCTATAAAGCAGTTGACCAGACACACTAACAGAGCAGGGCTGCTAAGTGCTGAAGGCCAGCGGTATCCAGTCCCATCTGGAAAGGGCCGGCGAATGCCACTATACACTCCACAGAATGTATAGTGCCAACTGTAAAGTTTGGTGGAGGAGGGATAATGGTCTGGGGCCGTTTTTCAGGGTTTGGGCCCCTTAGTTCCAGTGACGGGCAATGTTAATGCTACAGCAAACAAAGCCATTTTATATAATTATATCCTTCCAACTTTGCAATTCAATATTGTGTGATGGTCACATCTCTACATACTTTGGCCATATAAATGATTAAGTGACCCTTATTAGTCCCACAATGGGGAGATTTTACCTCTGCATTTAACCCATCCATACAGTGAGACACCACACACACACTAGGGGGCAGTAAGCACACATGCCCAGTGCAGTGGGCAGCCCTATCCGCAGTGCCCAGGGAGCAGTTGGGGGTTAGGTGCCTTGCTCAAGGGCACTTTAGTCACGTACTGCCGGCTCAGGGGATCGAACCGGCAACCTTGCAGTCACAGGGCTGGTTCCCTAACCTCTAGCCCAAAGCTGCCCCATGCACATATAGGGAGCTTTTAATTTAAGGCACAGGACAAAATACAAGTCACAAACGGATATTCGAAAATCATAGTTTATCGATTTAATGTTTTAATGGCAGAAAGGGAATGGGCGAGAAATGGATTGAACTTGCCTGCTTTTAATTCATCACTGGTCAGGACATGCTTGAATTCTAAACATACAGCATGAAACAAGTCTAAAACCATGGGACATGAATACTCAACTACAACAGTACCGACTTGTTATTAACTAGTTTATTGAATTGCCACACAGGCTAGTTACTGGATACATACATACACATACACTGCAATTAAACTGACACAGAGTTTGTTCTTGTTTTCATTGTTCCCCCCCCCATACTATAGTCCGTTAACATAGTGTTTTCTAATTCATTCAGTGATGAGGCACAGATATACTTAAGTTTGTGACCAGCTTCTCCTAAATATTCGAGAGCATGGCCAACATAAGAGTCAACACCACTGAACTTGCCTACAAAGCCAGGTCTAGATCCTGACACCCAGGTGCTTTTCCCATGCAAATTTCAACCCGTGAGTGCGACTTAAGTATACATGTGGGCTTTAAGCAGTTGGTTCAGGACTAGGGCATGCCTCACTAATACATGTTGAGCAGATCCTGACCTGGCATGCATGTCATTTTTGTCTTAAACCCTGAAAAAGGTAGACTAAGTCTAGCTCTGCTCTTATTCTGTGGTATTACAACTGTTTACGTAAGTGATTTAGCGTTATCACTGATAGGTTGGCCAAGTTGTGGATACCGTTTGGCAAGAAGTGCATGAGAGGTGAGTAAAGTAGGGCTGCACAATACATTGTCTGTTAATCGTCATCACAATATTGGCTTTGCAATGCTATCACATAACCAATGAACCACCGTAGAGGTTCATCAATATGCTCGAGCAGTTGCAAGTTGTATCGTAGTTGCAATATGTAGCATATAACTAGTGTATCAGTATAATATATTGTCCATATCGTGCAGCCCTAGTGTAAACTGTCCTAGCAGAACTTAAGCACTCTGTGTCAGGATCTTCCCTTTAAACCTCAACAAACTGAGAGGCGCATAAGGCCTCTACGTAATCTATCTGTTCCTCTCTAAGGCTACTTAATATTCCATTCCAGCTAAACCGTAGTCACCTTAAACCTCTCCTCCAACCACTCCCTCACTCTCTCGCTGGATCTCCATGTAATTTTGCGCGGTGGTCTTGCCGTGCTGTTCCTTCAGGTGGCGCCGCAGGGCGGGCTTGTGGGCGAAGCAGACGTGGCAGAAGGCGCAGACGTGCGGCCGCTCGCCGCTGTGCATGTTCATGTGGTCGCACAGCGTGGACTTCTGCGTGAAGGTCTTGTGGCACAGGGGGCAGGTGTGCAGTTTGGACGTGCGGTGGACCACCATGTGGCGGCTGAGGTTGCTGGAGTGGCTGAAGTGCTTGCCGCAGCACGGGCAGACGTACAGCAGGTGAGTGGAGCGCGAGTGGACGGCCAGGTCCTGCACCGAAGAGAAGGCTAGGCCACAGTGCTCACATGCTACTGTCCCTGTGACGCAAGATGTAGACCCTACGACGGCCACGGAGTCGTCCCCCCTACCTTCCTCGTCTGTGGGTAACGGCACCACTCCTAAATCTTCATCAGCGCCAGAGCCATCCAGATTAAAGTGGGCAGGCGCCGAGTCCGTGCCTGGTATGTTTCCTGGGCCTTCTGCCTGCTGGTACTCCACTGGTAGCGGACCATCTGTCATAGGCTGGGCTGACAGGTAATCTGGTCCGATATCCGCTCCGAAATTACCCATTATCTCTTCGGAGGTGGGAAAGCGCCAAGCTTGTTGAAAGTTACCCATAGGCCTCCGCTCATGGAAGGTGTAGCGCCTCCTGTGCTTGAAGCCCCGCCCCCTGCCTCTCCTCGGCTCACCATATCGCCGCCTCCAGTAGCGGACTCCAGCCCTCTGGCTGCTACCTGCAGCTCCACCTTCCTCCCTGCCCTGCTCCTCGCCACGTGTCGGCAGTCCCATCACCTCCATTGCCTCTCCAGCCTGCTCATGGACATCACCATTATCTTCTGGGTCTTGGTGGTCATCCTTAATGTGAACCTGAAATACGCTGAAGTCATTTCTCACCTCGTCCTCTTGAATACATCCAGAGGGATCTGGGGCTCTAACCTGTAACATATATGTGAAATATATTTGTCAACTATGTATAAAGAACTGGATACACAAAGCTAACGTTGCTGTTCATTTAAAGAGAAATCTACACAGACAAGCTGAAGGAAATTCACTCTGTAGTATTTAGTAAATACATCTTAACTGTACTGATTTCTGCTTCTGAGTGGCATTGAGTGAATTTACCGTGGCAATAAATCTGTTTATCGGCATAAAATGCAGACAAAACGATCACACACATCAGTTTTGTGGAAGTTCATGATAAGTTTTATGCAAATGTAAAAATACTTACTGAAACACTGTGTGCTTATGACTTCCTATTCATTTCAGTGGAGTGCTGCATAGCTACGGTGTAGCGAAATCTGCCTCGTCGTGAAAAGTTTCAGGAGATTTTTTCCTTTATTTGGCCATTTAAGACAGTGGACTGGTCATGGCCACAAGTGACAAACATTTAACTTTCTGTGAAGGTAGAGAAGGGCAATCTTCCTGAAATCTATGAGTCTTACATAATAATGAAAATTGGCTTTATACAACTGCTGACAGATATTTACCTGCAGAGATTTGGCAAAAAGATGTACCACTGAATGCAGTTTGAGCAGTGAGACAAATTTTAAAAATCTGATGAAGATAGCCAGCTTGCTAATGAGATTCAGCAACATACATTGCTGGCTTGTGTGAATGAGTTCATGTTCTGAAAATTCTAAAAGCATAAGGACACAAGTCTGCATGTTATTCTCACTGTAAGCTCTGATGTAACATTAAAACAAGAAAAAGCAAGCAGACTGTTTACTGCTCCGGATACTGTATGTTCGATGGGTTTACTTGTTCTTTTCCTTCACTTCTATAACAGAACACAGAAACGGCCACACAGCGACTGCAAGCGGACTGATGGTGGAACACAGCGACAAAAAGTGCAAGTGGGGAGTCCCCTCCCCACCCACCCATATATTCGTGAAAAACGAACACTAATCTGCATCTCCCCACCAGGAACAGTCATAGAAAGCTAGTGTCTGTCAAATCTACAGTATTGTTCAAAATTTTATACCTTCATTTTATTACCTATTCCTGAACAATACTTTTTTGGACACCTTTTAAATTACAAACAAAGTGAGTGTGGCTTAAACCAGTAATCGGGTGCCAGAAGTGGGTAGGATTCCTAACCATTCAAGAAGCGCTGATGTTCATAACATGCATACACAATGTAATTTAGCCAATCAGCAGTCTAGATTTTGGTTTATTGGTGCCAAGACTGACTGTTTAGGTATGAAATCTGTACTGAATGACAAAATTTTTGATACTCATTAGTACTGAAGTAATTCAGTTGGTACCTCAAAGCTATCGAATTTAGATACCCAGCCCTAATCGCTGGATCACACTGTTCTGAGAAGATCACTGAGGTATGGTTAACATTACCAAGTATGGCATGTACCTGTCGAATGGACAAATCCTCATCGTCTTCGTGCTGAACACCAGGGCCTTCCACATCAGTGGGCTGGGGATCCTCCTCTGAGCTGTGAGGCTGCAGTGATGACGTGTGATCAGAAGCAGCTGACGCACTTCCACTGACGATCACCGGTATGGACTGGGAATCCTCTGCTTTCATCTGAGTCCGTGCAAATTGGTCATGGAGAGACAGTGACAATGAAAAAGGAAGGAGGGGGAAAAATAATATAAGAAATTTGAAAATGAAAAAAGGCCAAAGAATGGAGAAAGAAAATGTCATTCTTTCCTCAGTATTGGAGAAAACTAATGATGACTTTTATTATCCATTAAATCTATAATTCAATTGAACTACTAACTGAACTAATGTCTTCTGCAGTTTTCTTTCGTTTTGCCTCATCACACCATCGCCATCACTGAGTGGATCTCATTACTCTAAATGATAGCATGTTTCTACGTCCTCCAACCCATGACCAGAGATCAATGAAAGCCTGCCGTCTTTAGGGATGTATTAATTCTTCAAAAGCTCTTGAAAGAACAGAGGATGCTGTGCTTGAGGTAGCTTTTTAATGTAGTGAGTGATGTAAGGCTATGGCAAAAATTCTCCACCCAGTGTAGTCACTGATCATTTACTGCAAGTAACGGGACGGAACAACGAAAGAATCACAAAAGTCAGTAAAACTGCTGATGAGGTTGGATATTATCGTGGATTTTTAACACTTGCTATTTACATCCAACCTGAGTGATTACAAGTGGCCAGCAAGATGTCTAGCTGTTTACACCTGGCATTTCCATGTGTCTGGAATGCATCAGGAGCAGGCATGTTAAATTGGTGACCTTCGGGTCAAAGTGCTATGGAGATTAGTGTTTAGCCTCTTCTAACGCTCTGAATTCAGCTCATGAAGACCTTACTAATTAGCTGATGAGCTGAATCAGGTGTGTTAAATGAGGCAGTGTGCTAAAGTCTGCAGTGTTTCAGGACTGGAGCCTGACATATGTGGTCTAGCGTGACCACTTACGATCGAATTCCATGACTGGAGATGAAGTACCATACATACAGTGGTGTGAAAAAGTGTTTGCCCCCTTCCTGATTTCTTATTCTTTTGCACGTTTGTAACACTTAAATGTTTCAGATCACTAAACTAATTTAAATATTAGACAAAGGTAACACAAGTAAACACAAAATGCAGTTTATAAATGAAGGTCTTTATTATTAAGGGAAAAAGAAATCCAAACCTACAGAGAATTTTTGCCATAGCCTTACATCACTCACTACATTAAAAAGCTACCTCAAGCACAGCATTCTCTGTTCTTTCAAGAGCTTTTAAAGAATTAATACATCCCTAAAGATGGCAGGCTTTCATTGATGTTGGTGTGAAAAAGTGACTGCCCCCAATACTCTGTAGACTGATGAGACAAAAGTTGAACTTTTTGGAAGGTGTATGTCCCATTACATCTGGCGTAGAAGTAACACAGCATTTCAGAAAAGGAACATCATACCAACAGTAAAATATGGTGGTGGTAGTGTGATGGTCTGGGGCTGTTTTGCTGCTTCAGGACCTGGAAGACTTGCTGTGGTAAATGGAACCATGAATTCTGCTGTCTACCAAAAAATCCTGAAGGAGAATGTCCGGCCATCTGTTTGTGACCTCAAGCTGAAGCACACTTGGGTTCTGCAGCAGGACAACGATCCAAAACACACTAGCAAGTCCACATCTGAATAGCTTAAGAAAAACAAAATTAAGACTTTGGAGTGGCCTAGTCAAAGTCCTGACCTGAATCTGATTAAGATGCTGTGGCACGACCTTAAAAAGGCGGTTCATGCTCGGAAACCCTCCAATGTGGCTGAATTACAACAATTCTGCAAAGATGAGTGGCCAAAATTCCTCCACAGCGCTGTAAAAGACTCATTGCCAGTTATCGCAAACGCTTGATTGCAGTTGTTGCTGCTAACGGTGGCCCAACCAGTTATTAGGTTTAGGGGGCAATCACTTTTTTTACACAGGGCCCTGTAGGTTTGGATCACTTTTTTCCTTAATAATAAAGACCTTCATTTATAAACTGCATTTTGTGTTTACTTGTGTTATCTTTGTCTAATATTTAAATTTGTTTGGTGATCTGAAACATTTAAGTGTGGCAAACATGCAAAAAAGAATAAGAAATCAGGAAGGGGGCAAACACTTTTTCACACCACTGTATTTACAACATCTGTTGCTACGTTTGTTACCAGACAAAAATGAGTCCTTGTTCATGTACATATATGGGCTGTTAGAAATGGTTAGATTGAACTGATTGCTAACCCAACTTAAATAAGAAAGGAGATGGAGGACGAAGCTATGCAGCTGCTTTTACCTCTGCTGTGATGTAGCAGCCCTCATGGAAGCTTAAACACTATGTAGAATAGGAAACGTGAAGTAGAGCACACTCACTCCTAGTGGACTGTCGTTCTTAGGCTGCAGGTACCGGCTCAGGGCGCCCCTGCATTTCTCCACCACATGCTCCATTTGGAGGTAGCTGGCTGCAGTCAGGTAATTTACAATCTCTTTGGCACTAAACTGCAGAATCCCTGTGTAACAGGACTGCAGGAGCTCCCGCATCACCGTTGAGCTGTGCAACACTGACACCTGCTGAAAAGATCAGAGGGTGTTTGTTACAAACAAGGACAGCCAGGAAGAAACTTTGTTCCTGTTAAAGGTTCTGCATTTTTCATGGGCCCGTTTCATATTTTTCCTTCGAGGTCCACTTATCACACGTGTGCAGTTTTGTGTACCAAAAACAGTCATGATTCATTTTCACATGATCATTTCCAATTTCTCTTTATCCTTCAGAATTAAACAGGCAGCTTTTGTTACTGTACCTTTAAGACTTACATACAGTCCCATACAAAACCTTGAACACCCCTAGTCAAATTACGTGTTTTGTTGATTTTCTAAGCAAAATAAGTCAACATATCTACGACATGAAACTTAAATGTGGCGTTTTCCTGCAAGTTTTACTGCACAACTTTTATTCATTTATTTATTTTATTATTATAGTTTAACACATAAAATGTTCCATAACTAAGCCATAAATATGCCACATTTTATGCTCCCCCAATATGTTAAATTAAGCAAAAACACAAAAATTGTGCATTCAGATGTGCAGATGTGTACGTATTTATACTTAAAAAAATCAACAAAACATTTCATTAAACCAGGGGTGCCCAAACGTTTGCACAGGACTATGTGTCTATTACCTCTGCTGTTACTTCTCGTTACTTTAATTTTAAAACAGGTCAGAAAAAAATTGTTTTCTATGATATGGGCCCTTTAATGCATGAGAAAAAAAATGTGAAAAGTAAAACTCAGAAAATAGCTCTCAGAAATGATGTACCCAGAAGCGAAAACTTCTCATACAATTTACAGGCTGGCTAGCTTCTTATTGGACGTTTAACTCTTATTAAGTCTCTTAAAGTTAGCACACATCTTGTGGGTGGTACCTGCAACTGTGCAGAGGGGTTCAGCAGAAACTGGTCCCTGAGAAAGGCGGAGCAGGCGGCTAGCACCACTTTATGACCACAGAACATCCTCTTGCCTCCAGCCATGATGGTGATATCGCAGAAGTGCAGCTGCTCCCGTAGAGAGTTCATGTTCCTCAGGGCAACGTCGCCGTGCCCAGGTAACCGGAAACACACCATATCCATCTCTGCAGGACAGGAAATGAAGTCAGGAATGAACTCCAGCAGCACTGCTGATTTTATAGATCACAAATGTTTGCAGCATCAACAAACAGTCTGCCAGGTGCAGTCATTCTTGGCTGAGCCACTAAAAGCAGGGCTGGGTTACAGCCTTAAATGACATTACAAACTAACCTGTAGACTTTAATAGCATAGTCGTAATAACTGTAATAACAGGCAATTTGTTTTAACAACAGTATTCAGTGGCGTCATCACAGTACTAGACACCAATGAGTCTAAACACTATAACCACTCGTGACCAAAAAACAGATTAAGTCAATAACATCTTGTTGTCCAGTATCAACGGCGCATGTCAAGGACTGGGATGTATTAGACAGTAAGCAAACAGTCGGATCTCACAGCTGATGAGCTGAAAGTGGAAACAATGGGCAGGTATGAAGACCTCAGCAACTTTGCAAGGAGCCAATTTATTATGGCCAGACGACAGAGTCGAAGCATCTCCAAAACTGCAAAGCTTGTGCTACAGAAACCTGAACAACTCTAGTTTTAGGTCAGAATGGCCCTTTAGGAGTTTGATATGGATATTAAAAAAGAAAAAGAGATATTGTTTCATCCTCTATATGATCTCTCTAAGTGACATGGTAATATAGTGAAATATTATAGTGAGATGACAAATTACTGTGGTAATTCCTTCCATAGCTCCCGAATAGGGGTTCTGCTTACAATGCAAGATTACATTTCAGAAAACTGCATTTTAGGCTCATCAGTATTAAGGCCTCACAATCTGTTCATTGTTGGACAGATTTGTTTGAGGCAGCTAGTTTGCTTTAAAATCAACGTAATGACCCCTACTTTTGACACTTACTGAACATATTTAAGAGAAAGAGAAAAGACATCAATATTAATTTACTAATGTTTCTCCTCCACACCTTTGTACTCTGGAGCGGCTGGGTTCCAAAAAACGCAGTGAAATATTAATATTCTAGGCACAGATGGTTAGCTAGTGTTTTGTCTAACCTGTTCTTGTAAAAAATATTATTTGATCTGATGAGTAATGAGACTCAAATGTAAAAATGTATATAAAAAATTGAATTTATACATCTTTATAAATATTTTAGAACAACATGAGCGCGCACTCACACATTTAGACTGATAAGGGCATTGAGGACATGAAGCAGGCACAGGTTCTCCAGCATCAAACATTCAAAGTCTTCCTCTTCTGAGAGGTTCCACTGCACGCAGCTGCAGCGAAACCACTCCTCACACTGGGGATAAAACACACTTGACACAATGGCGTCGTCCCCAGGGGGGCTGGAATGCTTGCACCCGCCACAAGTGTCCTTAACAGCGATTCAATCTCTAACTGAATAGTCAGTCACCTGTCTTCAGCGCCAGGGCTTTTCTCTTTTCACATGCAGGTTGAGAACATTTGAATTATCATTCATTTCACATTTTATACCATTAACTTTTGAAATCTCAGGGTAAGAGTGGTGAATTTATAATAACATTGTCACATCTCTCTTCTCCTGGGAGTGAGGAGGAAGAGAAAAAGGTGGAGGTGGTATTGGGACTGCTTCTGCAGCTGGGGGTTCTCCTGGATGTCACAGGAGGTCTTTTTTGGTGCTCCAGCGGTGGGGTCCTCGGTGATCTAGGCCCCTCTGCTCCTTTGCCTTTTAAGCCTTGTTGGCTTAGTCCTGCTTCTGCCACAGCAGTGTCTCATACTTCTCTCCAGTGATGTCCCAGGCCTCAACAAAGACTCTCCTAAAGGGACTGGGAGGGGCTGAGCGTCCTGGAGTGGGTGATGGGGAGAATGCAGAGATAGTGTTGTAAAGTCCTCCTTGAGTGTATGGGCTTATGGGAAAATGTTTTGTGCAAATAATCAATGGTGGAATGTCCTCCCCAGTTGCACTGAAGCAGGCCAATACAGACATGTGGTCTTGGGTGCCGGCGGCCTGCTGGTATGTATATGTCAGTACCTTGTACCTGCGATGTCTGGTCCCCCGGCATAGATGTCAGCAGGCTAAACTGCTGCCCAGGTCAATGCCGTCAGGGGTCCAAACGCTTAGTCCATCCGCATGCCTCCTTCTAAAACAGTGCCACCACTTCTTACACAGCAGTGGCACATCTTCACTGGGGTTCCTCTTCATCCCCACTGCATTGCCGTATGCCTACAGCTGCATCGTAGTGAGCAGGAACCCATGCTGCACACAGTATATTCAGTCCTACACTAGAGCCCTTTCATCCTCTGGTGCCAGTAACTATTAACGACCTGTGCAACAGCCATGGGTCACTTGCCCACTCACTCAGTCCTCCAAGGTGTTATGGGGGACACTGAAGAGCTTGGCTGCACTGTGTACAGCCATGCCAACAGAAACCTCCTCCTCCATACCACGTCCTCTTCCCTTCAAATTTTTCTCTTTGGCATTTTTCTGTGAATATAAGTATTGTATTTGTAGCTTCTGTGCGTTTTTACGACATTAATCCTACATTATTATTATTATTATTATTACTATTATTATTATTAGAAACAGTGGTATTATTATATAAAGTTAGATATGACGTTATTATTAGTAGGAGTAGTAGTAATATTACTGCTATGTCTGTAATAATGTTTGTTTTTATTTACATTACTTTGCTTGTTTGCAGCGTCCAGTTCTTTGAGTGTTTGATTGTGCCAGTCAAATGCGTTTCCACATCATTCTCACCAGACTCAATGGTTCACAACAAGATCACATTTGTCCTCTGCGGGCACCCTTACTCCATATATGTAACAATACTAGAGTCGATTTAAGGGGAGCCAGGCCATTTCCTATTTCTTTCTTTATCAAAAATATGACTGCAAAACGGTAGAGGGCACCCACAATTGAGTGAATGAGGATGAGAGGAGCTAAACATAAAAAAATAATAATAACAATAATAATAATAATAATAATAAAATAAAAAAAATAATTAAACTTGTTTTTAACCATTTGTATGGGATCTTCTTTTAATTTTGGAAAGTGGTATTTTATAAGAAAAAAATGAAAGAAAACTTTCTTTTTTCTTTCTGATTTTCTAGAGCAATCGTTCTAGATAATAGGAGGCGAGCATTACGGTTACTGAGGGCTGATTGGTTGGCATTACTGTTACTGAGGGCTGACTGGTTGGCATCACTGTTACTGAGGGCTGATTGGTTGGCATTACTGTTACTGAGGGCTGATTGGTTGGCATTACTGTTACCGAGGGCTGATTGGTTGGCGAGCTTACGAGCTCACTGGCTGAGTGAAGCAGTTCACTCTCATTGATGTTGTGAACGTACATCTGGCACTGTTAGAAGACCTATAACTGGAGTTCAAAAGTGCTTAGAAATAACAGCAGTGTTGAAATATTTTATGCTGTTCAGAAAATTGGTGCATGTTTAAGCCTTTACTATGATTTTACACAAAACTCCACAGCTCTTACACCTCCTATTTTCTACACAATACCACGGCAGCAAACTCTTCACCTCAGAGCGAAGAAAGCCAACCAGCAAGACTTTAATACCAAGACAAATGTTTATTGTGAAATGGAAATAGTGTTGTGTGTTCCACACAGTTTTGTACATGCAGAATTACATCTTCAGCACTACTTAAACACTGTTTTCTGGTGTGATTTTTTTTTTGTTGAAAGAATGAAGTTGAGGTTAAATGCCCTACTAAGGTGGGAGCTTGTGTTTTGTGAATTCCTTCACAGCAACTGGCAAAGTGAGGGGAAATACGCAATATGTGGAAGTGGCTAAAATTTGGGGGCATTCCTGCTGATTATTTCAACATCCAATTTAAATGGTATTAACTGTCAAATTGAAATAAAAGAAGCTGACAACAGCCCTAAAAGCATTATTTACAATTACAATTATTTACAATCATTTAAATGCTTACTGATAGTGATACGATCCCACTGAGCAAAGAGACAGCTGATCAAATAGACCAACCCATTTAGAATCTAGATTAAAAACATCTTAACACGTTCCTAAACATTAACGTTAAACTGTCATAAAAATCGGTAATTAATGTAAATACATACCAGATATGAAGTGTAAGGACTAAGTCAAACGGACGAGCTTAACCTGAGTCTGTAGAAATGACCAAGAAGCGCCAAGCAGATCTCTTCAGGGAACATAATTATTTTGACTATTTGCTTACACACACGTTGTGATCTAGCAAAAATAAATTTAAAGACTACATCGTGAGCTAGAATGAGAAAACTGAGTTTAATGCTCCTGAGTTTAACGCAAGCTCTGGTAGAAACAGTCATGCATCAACACAACAATTGCTTCCAAGCTTCATGCACACACACACACACACACACACACACACATGTATGGGATGTAAACCCCCAAAGCAGAGTAAGAAGGTGTTAGTATAACGTGAGGTTTCCAGACTGGATCAGGGTATGGCTGGAGTTACAATGCACATTTGCCCAAAACTAACAACCAATGTAAATAAACTATTATAACTGCAGTTCACATCAAGTTAAGACACCACGGAGAGACTCTGGCAATGTATGGGTTACAAAATGAAACAGGCTTCATACAAAACCAGAGAAAAAACAATTACACCAAATAAACATATCAATACCTAAACAAGGCACAAACATCACTACAATGCCATCTTTATATAATCCAATCCAACCTGTGCCATATTCTTCAAACAGTCTAATTCTGGACAGTACCTTTCCTAAACTGCTGTTCTGTAATTGTACTGAACGCAGTCCGGGAGCGATGCTGACCGCCCCACGATGGCAGTGCTGCGGACATGCCTGGCTGAACCCAAAGTGGCATCTGTGTATGTAAAATCCATAGGCGTGACACTACAGAGTTTGTGCCACTGAAAATGAAAAATATGGCCTACAATAACTTTCCATTTTAGTTATCGTTAGAGCTGGGTGATATGGCAAAAATATTATATTGTGATATTTAAGAACATTTCATGATAATCGAAATGTCACGATATTTTTTTTTCAGACATACGATCAGTTGGAACAAAGAAAAAATAAACAGTAGTGCCAAAAAAATACTATCAAAAACGATTAATTTTATTCAATATTTCGCATACTGTGTTGAACAAAAAGCAGTTAAACAGGACTAAAGATCTTCCTCCCTTTAAATTAGACAGGCAGTTGGTCAGGCTGATGATATCCATGATGTGTTTAGAAAAGCATACTGTATCGTATAGTGACATCATTTGTCATGATAACAATACACAGCCCTAATTATTGTGATATTTTTTTACTGTTTTATCATTTTTAAATCTTTTATTACAGTATTACGACACACTTTCCCGAGCATATCGTCCTCAGCACTATAACAAGACTGAACAAGTGCATGTTTCATTGGAAACAACCAGTCCTGTTTTACTGGATCGGTCCTGCTTACTGCTTTACTGGATGTGGCGCTGTGCTGTGTGTGAAACACTGAACAAGCATTTACTGTATTCATGGTTTCTGAAGCCTGTTTTTATATGAAGCCCCATCGGTGCGTTATGTCTGTGTTTAAATGTCGTGAGAGAGGTGAGTTCACTAAAACTGGACGCGAGGCCGACAGTGGCCCGCCATTCTAGCGGTATCAGCCTAAACAAAAGTCCACAAAAACCCCACAACTGAAAAAAATACGAAGCCCAAGTCGGCTTCTTATCCGCCATCCTCTTGTACGAATTTTCCCCATTCCACCTTAAATGATGCAGCAGTTGCATTCACGCTGCAGCATTTAAGGTGGAACGGGACAATTCGAACAAGAAGCTAGCGGATAAGTTCGTGTTAAGTTAGCTGTTAGCTTTACTCGCTGAATGACTTTAAGGCTATGACTGCAGCTCCAAGCTGAAAGACAGAAATCTGTCGAGGGTTGGATTTCCTAAGATATATAAATTATGCATCACACTGTATGTATTAATGTAAAAAAGAGGAACTGGTAGCTGTAGCATGCGTGCTAACGGCACTATCTATTGTCTCCGTTAGTGCTAATGCTAACTGCGCCCGCAATCGATGTTTAATTAACGTTGGCGCTACTGTAGCTAGTTTTCCCACGCCGTCCTGTCTTAAACTTACCTCTAACGTTGCGGCGAGCGATCCCTTCAGTCCCGAAAACGAAAATAAGCGCTTTAACGAAGCTGAATTAACTTCACGCCGCTACTGTTTACTTCCCCATTACAGTTGCCTCGACTACGGCAGCCGGGTTGAGACGCGTTTGAAAATACTGAAATGCCGAAAAAACCGAATTTTTAGCCCGGTGAAAGGAGAATTTTACGGAGGTCCAGAGAAGCCATGAGGTAGTTATAATGTCACAAGATTAATAAAATCACAAGAAAAATAATTCGTGATCTCGAGAAAAAACAACTTTTGTGATTTTGACATCACAGGACAATTAAGTCAGGATCTCAAGATAACAGTCCAGACAATTACAAGTACCTTATGGGCTCTCTGAATGGAACAGTACGGAGCCCCGCTGGTGACATCCTGTATAAACAGAAATAATGCGTGGCCACGCCTTATTAATGTATGGGAACGAGATCCTAATGCGTGGCCACGACTTAGTAAGGCGTGGGAATGAGATGATGAAGTCGTGGCTACGACTTAGTAAGGCGCCCACGCCTTACTAAGTCATGGCCACGACTTGATCATCTCATTCCCACACCTTACTAAGTCGTGGCTATGCATTATTTTTTTATTTACACAGGATGTCATCATCAGGGCTCCGTAGAACAGAGTCCTGCTGGTGATATCCTGTATAAATAAAAATAATGCGTGGCCACGACTTACTAAGGCGTGGGAAAGAGATCCTAATGCGTGGCTACGACTTAGTAAGGCATGGGAACGAGATCCTAATGCGTGGCTACGACTTCGTAAGGGAACAAGATCAGGGCTTACTAAGTCGTGACCACACATTAGGATCTCATTCCCACGCCTTACTAAGTCGTGGCCACGCATTATTTTTATTTATACAGGATGTCACCAGCGGGGCTCCGTATTAAGGCATGGGAATGAGATGATTAAGTCGTAGCTACGACCTAGTAAAGCGTGGGAACGAGATCCTAATGCGTGGCCATGACTTAGTAAGCCGTGATCTCGTTCCCACGCCTTACTAAGTCATGGCCACGCATTATTTTTTATTTACACAGGATGTCATCATCAGGGCTCCGTAGAACAGAGTCCTGCTGGTGATATCGTGTATAAATAAAATAATGCGTGGCCACGACTTACTAAGGCGTGGGAACGAGATCCTAATGTGTGACCACAACTTAGTAATGTGTGGGAATGAGATCACGGCTAACCTTGACCACAGCTTAATAAGGCACAATCTCATTCCCACACCTTACTAAGTTGTGGCCATGCATTAGGATCTCGTTTCCACGCATTAATAAGTCATGGCCATGCATTATTTTTATTCATACAGGATATCACCAGCAGGGCTCCGTATTCTCTGTACATAGAATTCCACTGATTTTTAGAAAATCACTTAACTCAACCGCTGAGCTGTAAACATCATCATTCAGAGTGGCTTGATGAGAAATAGTGTATTTCAAGCATGGTAACCAGGTGTCTACAGCGCAACCACAGCCATCCAAAATGACCAGTGAACCTGCACGATTCTCCTGATTTTATACAGGTAATTTTATAGGTTGTATAGGTTGCTGATAACGGTAAAATTACGGTAAAATTTTTTGATTGTAGACATCGTAACAACCATTCAGTCATGCAAATGGTTCTCTGAGTGTTCATGGTTCCATACAGGACCATTTTCTTTACTAAAGAAATCTTAGCCATCTTTTTAAGAGCAATTTCAGGAAACTGCAAAATGATCATTCCGTTTTTCCAACGTCATGAAAATGGGTCCAGCAAATCCTGAACTGTCCAATTCCAACACATTTATTTGGATAGTGCTTTTCACAACTGCCATTGTTACAAAGCAGTTTTGCAAAAATCAAAGGTCCAACACCCTAGTATGCAAACTAAGGGCGACTGTGGTAAGAAAAAACCCCCTAAGAGCAAGAGGAAGAAACCTTGGGAGGAACCAAGACTGAAAAGGGGAACCCGTCCTCATCTGGTCGACACCAGATAGCCAAACAATAACATAAAAGCAGTAAGAGTTATGAGAGTTGAAAAGGAGAAGACTGAGGAACATACAATAATAATTAATGGGAAAATAAGCGAGTCTGACCAAAGTGCAGAAATGTTTAGATTACCAACGACTATCAGAAGGTATTTAAAAAATGAGAATGAGAATAACATCCATGATTTCTGCAAGGACATGCAAGTTTGAACAATTAACGATTGTGGCGTGAGGCAGGTATACAATGTCTCAGAAGACTACAGACTAATGGTGACGAACTTGAAAACACCAAAACAGCCATTAAGTACAAACAATTCATTTTTCAGGAGATATTACTGATGAGATTAGATGTGAGATAATCCACTTGCATAAGGAAAATATGTGAAAAAAGTGCTGAGAATGATCCGCCTGGTCCTGTGGGGGTTCTGACCACTGAAAAACAGTGTAAAAGGGGGCTAACTAAGTATGCAGAGAAACTACAGTCTGTATATATGACAAGTGGACCTGACAAAATGCCCATTGGCCTTTACATTGTGTGAATTTCATTATGAATGGGCCAAAAGAAATGACAAAATTACTTGGGGGGAAAAAAGTCTGGTTCCATTGACTTCCATTAAAAGTAAAATATGTTTTTTCTTTCTCCTGTAAAGTTACTATTTTGGAGATACGAGGTTTTGTTCCGACAGCAGCAAGAATATATAGCAATACAAATACACACACACATAATTTTACACACACACACACACACACACACACACACACACACACACACACACACACACACATATACATATATATATATATACGCACACACACACACACACACACACACACACACACAGTGGGGTGGGAAAGTTTGGGCAGCCTTGTTAATTTTCCTGATTTACCTTTATAAATCATTGATTGTTTGGATAAAAAAATTCCGTTAAATATATCATATAGGGGACAAACACAGTGATACTTGAGAAGTGAAATGAAGTTTATATGAATTACAGAAAGTATGCAATAACTGGTTAAACAAAAGTAGGCAGGTGCATAAATTTGGGCACTGTTGTCATTTTATTGATTTCAAAACCTTTAGAACTAATTATTGGAACTCAAATTTGGTTTGGTAAGTTCAGTGACCCTTGACCTCCATACACAGGTGACTCCAATTATGAGAAAGGGTATTTAAGGGGGGCAATTGTAAGTTTTTCTCCTCTTTGCATCTTCTCTGAAGAGTCGCAGCATGGGAGTCTCAAAACAACTTTCAAATGACCTGAAAACAAAGATTGTTCACCGTCATGGTTTAGGGGAAGGATACAGAAAGCTATCTCAGAGATTTCAGCTTTCAGTCTCCACTGTGAGAAACACTGTGAGAAAATGGAAGACCACAGGCACAGTTCAAGTCAAGGCTCGAAGTGGCAGACCAAGAAAAATCTCGAATAAACAGAAGCGAAGGATGTTGAGAACAGTCAGAGTCAACCCACAGACCAGCACCAAAGACCTACAACATGATCTTGCTGCTGATGGAGTCACTGTGCATCGTTCAACTATTCGGCGCACTTTACACAAGGAGATGCTGTATGGGAGAGTGATGCAGAGGAAGCCTTTTCTCCGCCCACATCACAAACAGAGCCGCTTGAGGTATGCTAAAGCACATTTGGACAAGCCAGCTTCATTTTGGAATAAGGTGCTGTGGACTGATGAAACTAAAATAGAGTTATTTGGGCATAATAAGGGTCGTTATGCATGGAGGAAAAAGAACACAGCACTCCAAGAAAAACACCTGCTACCTACAGTAAAATTTGGTGGTGGTTCCATCATGCTGTGGGGCTGTGTGGCCAGTACAGGGACTGGGAATCTTGTTAAAGTTGAGGGACGCATGGATTCCAATCAATATCAGCAGATTCTGGAGATCAATGTCCAGGAATCAGTGACAAAGCTGAAGCTGCGCCGGGGCTGGATCTTCCAACAAGACAACGACCCTAAACACTGCTCAAAATCTACTAAGGTATTCATGCAGAGGAACAAGTACAACGTTCTGGAATGGCCATCTCAGTCCCCAGACCTGAATATTATTGAAAATCTGTGGTGTCACTTAAAGAGAGCTGTCCATGCTCGGAAACCATCAAACCTGAATGAACTAGAGATGTTTTGTAAAGAAGAATGGTCTAAAATACTTTCAGCCACAATCCAGACTCTCATTAGAAGCTATAGGAAGCGTTTAGAGGCTGTTATTTCTGCGAAAGGAGGATCTACTAAATATTGAGTTAAGGTTTTTTTTTTTGGTGCCCAAATTTATGCACCTGCCTAATTTTGTTTAGACAATTATTGCACACTTTCTGTAATTCATATAAACTTCATTTCACTTCTCAAGTATCACTGTGTTTGTCCCCTATATGATATATTTATTATTTTTTTATCCAAACAATCAATGATTTATAAAGGTAAATCAGGAAAATTAACAAGGCTGCCCAAACTTTCCCACCCCACTGTACATATATATATATATATATAAAAGAAATCTTGTCACATTATCCTCCATTACAAGTCAAGAATGTTTTTTCCTTCTCCTGTACAGTCACCATTTTGGAGGTGTTGTTCAGATACTGAATATAAACAAATACAAATAAACATGTTATGTTATATTTCTTTAATTTTTTTTATTTTATTGTCATTTTTGCACACTTTCAAAAAGGGTATAACATTAATGCATAAAAGTACAGCAGAAGAGTTGCCCTTTAGGCTACTGTGGAAGAATCCACCCAAATCCTAAAACTGCGAGAACTTCAGTGCGAAAGGGCAACTTCACCGACACCACACAGAGCAGTAACGTTGGGACAGGCAAAACTGTATAAATGTCATTTTTTGCTAAGAATTTCTGTGAGAGAAAATCAGAACCGCTTAATTATGATTCGTATCATTAAAGAACCACAACGTCAGAAACAAAGATTTCACAAGATTACAATTTATGTCTCTTAGATGAGAATTAACAATATCTGCTTAATAACGGTTATTATGTCTTTGAACCCACTGCCACTTTGTGAAGACTAACTGACACTTCTAATGATCCCACGCTTGGTTTAGAACAGATGTGAAGACTGAACCAAGACTGTGTGCTGATTGGAGAACTGACCATATCCGCAGTCCAGATTGCACATACAGTAATCAAACACTTTATTACAAAGTCGAGGCCTACACAACCTCTCTAAAATGATCAAGAAATGAGTTCACTTTCAGGAGAACAGTGACAAGTTTGATCAGGTCCAAAAATACAAATACCACATTGCCATGTTCCTTTACATTCATCCTCACTGCACGGTGAAGATCCCACCCCAGCTGCGAGCAGACATGTAAGAAAACTGCACGCTCGTTTAAAAGAGCACTGCTCCCTTTTGCTTAAAGAGGAATTCCACTTATTTTCCAAAATGTCTGCATAATTCAATGGATGAGATGTAAACAGTCATTCAGAATGGTTTGATGTGAAATGAGCTTTTATATATAATGTTGATGCTGGTAAAATAGTGGTAAATCTGTAAAAATCCATTTTCTTTGGCCACTATTTTGCCTTACAGCGCCCAGCATGTGTCTCTCCGCCAATAATATATTTTAAAAAAAAATGCTTTATGCCATAATCCTCTCAAAACTATCATTAAAACAATGACTCAGGCATCAGGCAACAAATTCATAAGCATTTCATGCAATAACTTTGTCAATAAACGCTTCAGACGACTGGTTCCTATCACCACCACTGTGAACAATTCTGACTTGTCTACAATGCACTACTGCACAACAAACCTCAAAGAATTTGTTTATATCCTAATCGCTTAATTATGCAGAAATTTTGGGAAAGAAATCTGCGGAATTCTCCTTTAACCCAGTAAGATGATCAGGTGCTGATTCTGTTATTGTAAACTATACAGTACAGTACATAATTACAATGTGATATTCAGAACAGACGTAAAATCTTTATTTATTCCAATGTACAATTTATAAATCACACCTTCTGAGGTCAAATAACTCGCTTTGTAAGCAGCTGTGCTACCAATGCATCTGACCACCTGGCTGCCGTTCTCATTGTGCAGTTTTCTAGCAGAGAAAGTGTTAAAAAGCTGTACTTTGATGAGCTTTATTAAAAAGTCACCAAACTAAAATAAGTCTGCCATATTAAATTTGAGTGTCCAGTATATCTGTGTGCATGTGCTTGCATTATTTCATCAAAACAGAGGGAAGACAAGAAAAAAACACTTGGAGTTCCACATTTTGCCAATCTAGTCCCAAACCACCTTTAGATTCTTTAAATTATGCCTTCATAGTCAATTTTAAGAAGCCTTATTAAACAGAATTTAATAGAAACTCTCTCCATCATCGCCCCCAAAGGAACCATTAAAACTTTCATTCCAGGATAAAGTTACTTGCCAAATATGCTTCCATATTATTAAATAGGAATAACAGAAAAGCGCAAAGGACAGGAAATCTGTAACATGACACGCAGTCAGACCTCAGCATCAACCATTTATATCATGAAGTGCAAATCTGCTCTCAGTATTCTACTGGCAATGGAAGAATAACACAGCAACCACAAAGAACAAACGATTAGGGAATGTGCTCATGCTCCTGGAATCTCTTTTAGTGTTGTGGTCCACGAATGGAAATCATTAGTAAAGTGCTGATGAAATTTACGTAAACCATTACCGAAACAGTGCGTTAAAAACTCCGCCCCTTCATAGCAGAGCCTCGGAAAGGAATGACTCCTCAAAAAAAATCAGATTTACACAATTTACACCTAATACAGTCAATCAGCCAGGACGTCTGTGGAGTGTGAAGATTGCTTCTTTAGTTTTGCACTGGAGCTACGAGGCTAATATAATAAATGTCAGTAACGATTTCGTTTACAGCCCCTAAGTTAACCAGTATGAGATACAAGCTCCAAAGTACTGTGTAGTTAGATTCAGCAAGGTAGTCTGACTAAATTACACTGAACAGGTTCTAGCATTAGTAAAATATCTCATAGTTGGATTTTTTATTTATTTATCTATTTTTTTTACTAAGAAAATCAACAAAGTGTACTTTTTGGTTTGTACACAACTGTACTATGTAAGTCTCTTAGGTCTTTCTACTGCCTTTTTACCACATAATATCTAGCTGGTGCTTGATGTTTCCAAATAAATATCCTGCTTAAACATGAAAATGAAATCTGCATTTATTTGCATAATAGCTAGAACCTGTTAGACTTTTTCTCAGTGTAATTTAGTTAGCCTGTCTATGTACGCCCATTTTACTCATAAGAATTATCTAGTACTCTGGAGTTTGTGGCTTACACTTACTCAGTTAATACCTAACTTTGCTAAATTGTCTTGAAACTTGCCATCGCGTCACCCAAAAAAATTACCTAGTACTTTGGAGTTTGTATCGCACTCCTACCTGGTTGATACCTTGAACATGAAGAAAGTGGTACAGATCTCTAGGTCACTAAAACCTTTTAAAAAATAGACTTCCGTTAGTCTCTTAGCTTAGCACAAAGCGAACGAAGCAAACTTCACATTCTAAACATGTCTTGCCCAATTGACTACGATTGATGTAAAATTCTGTAAATTTGATTTTTTGGTGGATCTCTCCTTTAACCCATGAGAATGCCTGCCTTCAAACATATCAGCAAATAAGATGTTAACTACATGAGAATTCACAGTACATAACTAGTAGAGCAGCTAACAGGAGAGATATAGAATCAAGGTAGACCATGGTTGAGATGCTATATTATGTGCTATTGGATAATATCACATTTTAAATGTTTGCCGAAGGGCCCCAATCCAACGCAGTGCAAAAAGAAATCTATGATCCCTCCTGATATGAGTGACATTCAGCATGTATGGTGACATTAACAATTCTCTGAAAGGAAAAACCTTCATTACACATGGACCAACATTTACACATCTAGGCAGCTGAATGCCAACCAAAATAACTTTGGTAACAATATTGCTCAGGAAATCTACTCTGCAATATTACGAAGAGGTTCACAATGAATTTACTGGCAAAGTACTGCTCGAACTACTGTGGTGCACAATTGACGACTCTACTGAAGTGCATACGCAACTGATGTGTGAACTGTGTGCCTTGTTCCCTTACGGTTGGTCACTGTACCATTTGCTTCAGAAGGTTACGTCCTGCAGTGCAGGAGGGAGACTGCATACACATGGAGGTGGGACAGGATGGTTAAACAACTTCAGCGTAGGCGAGCTCCTGCTGGAAGGCCGCGGTCTACGGTACGAGAAGGACAGTGTGGAGAGCAGATCAGTACAGACTCCAAGCCTGATGCAGCTGGGAGGAGAAAGAAGAGGAGGAAGAGGTGGGAGAGAGAGAGGAGGAGTGCAGGGCTGCAGGACCGAGCTGCTTTCCACACACGCACAATCAATCCATCTTCTCCTTCTGCACCAGCTTCGGCGCGTCCACAAACTCCTTCCCGTTGAACAGGATGACTGCGGCCGTGACGGCGCTGGCCGTGCCCCAGAACAACACGTACGCTAGCGTCTCTGTCCAGGTATCACCTGTTGAAAAAAGAGAGAGAGTGTTTAAGTTCAGCCTAAAATCGAATTCACGGTTTCTCGCCTTTGGCCAAACGTAGTCGATCAGACAAGACATGTTCGGTGTCGGAAGTTGGCTTCTTTAGTTTCGGACTGGAGCTACAAGGCTAATGTAGCTAAAAAGTAATGGATGCCCAGGTCATCACCACAAAATGACAGACTTGCTTATGGATAACACACTGGTACTTCAGGGGTGTAATGATTCAGAAAATTGAAGTTCGATTCGATACGATACAGTGGTGTCACAAATCAATTAAAATTTCGATGCGGCAAAAATAAATAGTGGCTGAAAACGTGCCTTACATTAAAACCTTTATTAGTCCATTTTCAGTATATTTCAGTATATTAGTATTCCAGTTATAAAAGTATAATATATGAACCAAAAGCTTATAGTTCCTACAGTTCTCTCACTGTAGCCACAAGCTAATACATAAGCCCAAAGGCAACACTAACCATAAGCCAGGGGTGTCAAACTCAACCAGTACAAGGGCCATATTAAAAAATCTCAACAAATCTGTGGGCCAGATTTAATTTCATTTTTAATTAATGTTGTGCCGTAACCCAAACTGGCCACTGTTGATTCAAAATATGCAAAACTTCAACAGTAAAATATAGACACTTGTAGTAGACCTTTAAATATTACATGCACATTTGAAATATTAAAAATTTAAATGTCCCCAGGTGCTCTGACTGGTGTGGAATTGCATAGAATTGCATAGAATTGTGTAGAATTGCGTAGAATTGAGGTGTAACCCTGTCTCATAGATTGTTGTTGGGGTAGGAGAGTCAGAGCGCACTTACGTTGCAGTGCATGCTGGGGTCTGTAATGCAGCGCATGTAAACCGGGCTAATATTTTGTGGGCCGGAGAGGACTGTCAGGTCAGATCAGGCCTGCTATCCTTGTGTTTGACACATGGGCCATAAGCAATTACAATACAATACACTGTGATACAATTCAAACCAATATGTTGTATTGCTACATCTGTGTGTTATGTCCAAAAGTTTGAAACGCCTTCTCTTTCACGTTAGACCAGAAACATTTTATTTTTGCTGGTCTAAGAGCGGACAATCCGGTTCAATCAACTGTCGGCACAATGGCTATTATACCACTTTGATGTTGTTTCCCTTGTGCAGAATACTGCAATTATAAATAAAGCTAAATCAGCTACAAATCATCATGGGATACAACTGCCATCAGCTAGTCCAATGAAACCCACCCTGCTTTCCCAACTGTGACTATTTGCATCTGTATCTACAAGAAAATAAATGTCATTTTTGATTTTTATTTGTCAAATCTGGACCAAAGTGCGTAGCATAGCTAAAAACATTAACAGCAGCCAGATTAAAGCCTGAGTTTTGTTCATAGTTTTTTATTTTGCCAAAATTAGTTTAATTTTAAGTAAATTAATTTACTTCCAATTACTTGCATTCACAATCATTTATTTAATTAAATTCAAATTAACTTGTATTGTGATTTTTACAAGCAGTGTGATCACAAAGCAGCCTTTCGGAAATCCATGTCCAAGCCCTAAATGAGAAAATCAAGCATGACAGTTGCAAGAAAAAAAGTCCCCAACAGCAAGAGGAAGAACCATGAGAGGAACCAAGACTGAAAAGGGGAACCCATCCTCCTCTGGTCGACACCGGATAGCAGGCAATAACAACAGTAATAGAAGTTGGGGCGCTTTCAGATGATAAGCGCTCATTGGTTTGCACTGCACTGCGAGTGTGTGGACGCACTGCCACTTCGCTCAGCACCGGGTTTGAATGGCACTACGCAGATGGAAAACATGAACCTAGCACAGTGTATTTACATGCAGTTTTGGAAAACATGTATTCAAGTTAAAAACAAAAATAAGGATATGGTTTTGGTCATTAAGTCGAGAAGATGCATTGGGAAAAAAAAGTGGTCATACATAACACTTCTCTCACTTTGTCTCATAGACAAATGAACTCATGCCCTTGTTAAGAACTCTGGGTCTAAGCTGGATTTCTCTATGTTAAAAACCAAGGTGATTTCCGAATACCAATACTGTGTCCTGTGGTTAACAAAACGGGTCAAAACAGTGTTTTGTATACATTTATCCTCCAAATGTCACAGGATCTTCAGAGTTATGACGTCACTACGAGGTCACTGAGTCAAAATATGAATTTTGTTACATTTAAGCTAATACTGCAACCCACTAAACTGACATCATAAGACTGGAAACGACACAAAAATACCCCACACAAACCAGAAAGCTTTATCAAATGTGGTCATCAACTTGTTTTGGCAGTAGTAAAGCACATTAGGTAGATTTAATCAGATTTTTGATTTATTTTTTGATCTATTTTTCTTACACAGAAGTCAAGCTTCCACTTAGAGCTGCTAGCATGGGCACTACAGAATGACAGCACAACATTATAGGTCAGCAAACTGGGTCAAAGTTTAATTGAGTGTTTGAACTTTGGGACAGAGGGGATTCATGAAGCGAGAGCCGCCACGTAGAACACAGTTACCTGGTTTTAGTGAGAGGGCACGGGGACTCATTCTCCCTTTATTTGTCTGTTTTCACACGCATATGAACTTGAGTGACATCCCGTTCTTAATCCATAGGGTTTAATATGATGTCGGCCCACCCTTCGCAGCTGTAACAGCTTCAACTCTTCTGGGAAGGCTTTCCACAAGGTTTAGGAGTGTTTATGGGAGTTTTTGACCATTCTTCCAGAAGCGCACTTGTGAGGTCAGACACTGATGTTAGACGAGAAGGCCTGGGTCGCAGTCTCCACTCTAATTCATCCCATAGGTGTTCTATCGGGTTGAGGCCAGTCATGTTCTTCCACACCAAACTCGCTCATCCATGTCTTTATGGACCTTGCTTTGTGCACTGGTGCGCAGTCATGTTGAAACAGGAAGGGGCCGTCCCCAAACTGTTCCCACAAAGTTGGGAGCATGAAATTGTCCAAAATCTCTTGGTGCTGAAGCATTAAGAGTTCCTTTCACTGGAACTAAGGGGCCGAGCCCAACTCCTGAAAAACAACCCCACACCATAATCCCCCCTCCACCAAACTTTACACTCAGATCAGAGGTCATCTAAAAGAATAAGAATGTAATCCATGATCGCCGTGAGGACCTGCTAGCATGAACAGAAAAGGGACTCAGAATAGTGTGAGGGAGGTGTACAATGTCTAAGACTGAATAGTTTTCTGTACCATCAGCCACTCAAACACAGACCCTAGCAGGAGTTCAAGGTGAAGGAATGATGGACTATTTTTCTTACCAGCCATAAGAAGGCAGATGATGCACATTGAGAAGGCCACCAACATGACAATGGGAAGCTAGAAGAACAGCAGAAACAAACCATATCAGTTATCACTGTCTGATGAAGAACATATCCATCCAACAATTAACTTATGACCTACACTCTACCCTTCCTGTCACTGGGGTGGAACCCTTAAGGGTACATCTCAGTACCTTTAGTCAGGGAACATAATTGTACCATAATCCATTGATATTACATTTTCTAAGTTGTGCTGACTCCACACACCCCGTCTCGTCTCCAGGCTTTTTATTTTATTGCTCTGTATTAAAACATTTGGTTATGAAAAGGTCCAAATATGAACTTTTCACCTGGAAAAACATATTTAAGGTTCATAGTTGGACCTTAAAACCACTGTTGTACCTTTGAGGGAACATTTACATTGTTTGTACCTTAATGAATAAAAAGTGTATCTGCACACACCTTTATTTCTAACAGTGTAGGACTAAACTCTGTAAAGTAACAGCAACTGTATAGTAATGAAATTTGGATCAGAAAAGGGAATAACAAGCTGACCGTGAGGAATTTCCAATCTTTCTGCACTCGAAGAGGTGTCAGGCCTTCCACACTTTCATCCACAGTGTAATTACCGAGGAAGAGGTCAATGGAGTCCTAGGACAGAAAAAAAATATCTGTTCTGATTTACAGTACCCAGAGAGCTGGTTCTTAAGCCTTATGAATGCACAGCAAAGCACTAAATGAACAAATGAATTCACACTTACTTGTCTGAAGCCATCAGAGAAGTTGTTCTTGTAGTAGCGAATCATGGAGTTCCAGCCGTCCATCACCAAACCCCACTGAGTCCTCTTTCCAGTCCTCGAGAAGAACAGTGAGAGTTAGGAGAAGAAGCCCTCACACTTCATAAGCATAAACCTTGCATTTAATTCTTTGCAAGTTTATTACTAACGTTTGTGTGGTTTCCTGCAATTAAAACATTTCATTTTTACATGAACTTAAAATTAAACAGGGTGTCTTTACTACTGTGGACATGTAGATGATCTCTGTTCCGATTAGTTGCACTGCATTATTAAAAAACAAAAAACAAAAAAAAAAGCAGTCCGGGCTGAAAGACTCCTTATGACATTTCAGTGTGAATGGGTGAGGCTGAACCTCAGTGAGCAGAATAGGTGTATAATGTAAATCATGATTTGTGGGAACATGTCTGTAATTTTTAGATCATTTTTATTCATCATGCTTGTATTTAAAAGGAAACCAGCAGCAGCTCTATACCAGTTATTTCTACCCAATAAGTCACTGTGAAACTGCTGCAAGGTAAAACAGGCTAATAAGTCTTCAAGTAAAACACTGAGTGTCTTTTAGATGCTTCAGATATTTGTGCGTAATATAGAATGGCTACAAAAGGTTCACGCAAATTGTTGTTAGCTTAGTGCTAAAAATGTACTAGAACCCCATAGGGACGCTAGCAGAAGTTAGCATTATCAGCATTATCGTAGAGATGTTTTTCCGCCTCACGTTTTGACCGAGTTTTGACATTTATGGCTTGAAGTGAAGGCCTTGCTGTAATAGTCACAGTTCACCACTGATGTAAATATGTTGGTCACAAAAACACAAAATTCTGAACGGACAGCTCTTTTTCCATACATGAGGTGGCGAGCAAATGATATGTTTTACAATATTAATAAAGCTCAGGTACAACTTCAAAGTTTTTTATTTAAAAAATGTGAGGAAAATTTAGTTTTCATAATATGGGCCCTTTAACACAGTAACAGTTGACTAAATAATGAATCTCATCAACTTGCATTGCACAGTTGTGACATCTTTTGGATTAAAATATGATATCTGATGAAATATCAGCTGCTTGTGTCCCCACATTCTCACACTGCATGCTTGGTCTTTTTTTTTTTATGTTAAAATATTGTTATACAAATAAATATGTATTTCAAATTTATTTATATATATTATTTATAACAACAATAACATCATACAAATAAAATAAAAAAAAATATATATTTTTTTATCACAAACTGAAGATGCCTGATCTCTGTATATATGAATGACCACACCCATCGCTAACAAGTACAAGTGCTGATTACCTGGTAAAGTCAGTCTTTAGGGCTCCCGTGCCTGCATACTGTTTAGCACATGCGTTGGCATTGTCAGCCCAGGCTAAGAGACAGAGAGAGACAACAAGATCAATTAAAGCCAGATACAGTGGTCTACTGCACTGATCAAGCTCATTTGATAGTACAGAATATGGCAAAGAGTAGGAGTGTAACAACATAATGTATCGTATCGTTTCATATGAGCCTCTTGATTCAATACACACAAATACGGAATAATGAACAACAGACTGGAGCAAACAAAGCACTCATTGTAATACTGATTATATTGCATGAAGTATAATAAAAATTGAAACAATCAAGCCCACAGTGAGGGCGGACCCTTCTCCCTATTAAGAAAGTATTACTTAATCACTTGAACTCTATGAACAGGTCATGGCAGATGTCATAAAGCTGTCATGCCAGATTTTTGTTCAGCAATATAACAGAGTCATGTTACCGTTACCAAGACAACTGTCATAATGCTTGATGCCACAACATCCATCATGACAATTAATGGTAATGGTAATGTGATGATGCTATATTGACGGACATAACACTATTATAATGTCATCTTAATGTCAGCTTATGGCAGCATTTGACGCTTGCAACCATGTTATGTAGCAGAGTTCAAATAAAACATAACTGCTTCGTCTTTTGTCTGAAAATCGAGAGCACGGAGGAACAGCACACTCCTCAGAAACTTCTACCAGCTTGCAGCTAGCGCATTATCATTAAATACTGAACTTTAACAATGTTGAAAGCTGTAATAAACTGAAAATGAAAATATTAACATATATTACCATAAGGCAAATTTTCAGGCTCTCCTAATTTTTGCTTTTCTAAAAATGGATCAAATCGAGACGCCACTATACTGCAGCTAACTAAATTCTGCATTTACAGTACAGTAAGAGGGTTATAAAGAAGTGAGCACCATTTTTGTAAATCTTCTCAAAATCAGCCTGCTCATCAATCTTCTGGCCAACGTGGAGGACACCCATTCTCTAAAAGGAAACACAACACAAACATGATCAGCTAACAGGGCTATGGAGGGTACAGGACATGTGTACTCACACACAGTGAACACAGCTGAGCTGAAGACCTGAACCAAAAGCTACAGCGTTAAAGTGGCAGAGCACCACTTTACAATAAGACTACCCTTATAAAGGGTTTATGAATGGTTTAGAATTAGTTTACAAATGGTTATTAATTAGGTCACAAACACTTAAAAAATTGTCAATAAGCAGTTATAACAAATAAGTAAAAAGGGCAACAGCTACCTGTTGACTGTCAAATAATGAGCCCACACTCATCTACACTGGTAAACTACAGATTTTTCTGATTACATATCTTACTTTATTTTCTCCATTAGTCAGCATTAAACCTGTCAGTGTTGCAGGACGGCAGGGAGGCGGACCCAAGTGTAGAGGGGAAATCTCGTGAAAAAGGGTCCTAAATGACTTTGAGGTGATGGAGTGTGAATTTGGTAATTGTGCACATTGGAGTTGAGGTGACCCAGAGCCAAGCTCGGAGCTAGCACAGGCAAAAACGGGAAAAACACCTCAACGAATGGGAAATGAAAAGGGCAAACAAAAGGGACGCTGAAAACAGCGTGCTTAAACAAAGACTGAAATAGAAGAGTGAAATAAAAAATAATCAGAAAACAAAAATTACTTTCTCTGTAATTATGAGAGGAAGGCAGACTTCATGTTTCACTTGTTTGCTCTTTGTGGAGCAAATACCTTTTGTATGGCTTGGAGCCGTTTTCTTGCTCAGGGCTTCTTGTGGTTTTTAAGTAGTTTTGAGGAAATTTCTCTCTTTTGTTTTTTCCAGCCCTCTTTCCGTTTCTTTTCTTTTCTTTTTCATTTCCTTTTCTTTTCTTGTTGTTTAAAAACCCACTTGGCCTAAGTACCGTACTGGTCACCCCTCCACAAAGGTGTGACAAAGGGCTACTGTTTGCCACAGCCTTAAGTAGAGGAGTCCACAGGTGTGCCAGGTTGGGCCTAATCAGCTCGAGGGCTTCTGGGAATTGGAGTTCCCTGAAATTATGACACCTCGCCGCAATTGCCCTCTGCTGGTGGCCGGCGGCGCAGGCTGGACCCTTACAGTCAGCTTCATCAGATATTCCTATTCATCAGATATGTATGCTCACAGGTCACTGATGTCCTTTTTATTTATGTTATTATTCTTATTGTGACGTTTATGATCTAATTAACAACAGTTAAAAACTTATTTTAAAATCATTCATAAACTATGAGGGCTCAGCTGTATAAAAAAATTTGAACACTTGGTTGAATGACATGTTCAGTTGATTTTCTAAGTGAAAATAAGGGAACACATTATCAACATAGAACAAACTTAGCTGAGTTTAACATATTGGAAACATACAAAATATAAAAATGTACCATAACCTGCATATTTTAGTTTTTTATTAATTTTTCCCAAATATGTAAAATTCAGCAAATAAATAATAAAAAGTAATCATGCATTTAAAATGTACAGCAGTGTGTTCTCTGTAGTGTATGTCACTTGACTGGGGTGTCCAAACTCGCATACGACTGTAGTCTTATTGTAAAGTGGTACCCATAGTAGTTTGACATAAGACTAATTTAACCCAACTTCCCCTTTACACCAGCTGTGAGCTAATACATATTCGGTGTCTGAAGTTTTCTTCTATACTTTTGCACTGGGGCTACGAGTTGAATGTAGCTAAAAAGCAATGAAAGCATATATTCCACCAGTTAGCGTCATGCTAACTCCAGGCCTAAATCACCACACATTTGCCTCAAACCACGGTGAGTTGTTGGGTCATCTCAAATAGACTTGGTTACGAGGTTTCTGACACTGTAGAACATTCTGTTATTTATAGATATGAACAAAAGTCATACAGTATATTTGAGATTATTCAACACCTTGTTTTAAGGATGTGTATGGCATCAGCCGGCCACCGGCTCTTACCTGGAGCTGGCTCTGCAGAGAGCGTCTGGCTAAAAGGCTCTGAATGACGTTGGTGCGGTCCAGGCAGTCCATGCAGTTACTGCGGAACGTTCCGGACTGCTCAGATACCAACCTGCCGTCCGAGTTCAGCATGAAGTACCTGCAGACATAAACAAGTTATAAAGTATGTAATTAGTTCATTTTAAAGGGGAATTCCACATCCTTTTTACTGAATTGCGCTTCGTAAGATGTAAACAAAGTCTTTCAGAGCTGTTTGATATGAAATTTTCCATTGCTGAGAAACTTTTGCAGAATCGTTCACAGTAGTGGCGATAGGAACCAGATGTCTGAAGAGCTTAATGTCAACTAAAATGTCTCTACAAGAGTTAAATGCCTCTAAAAGCTATTTAACAAAGTTATTACATGAAATAGTTGTGAATATACTGTCTGATGTCCGGACATTGTTCTGTGATAGTTCTGAGAAAGTTTTGGCCTAAAAAGGTGTTTAACATTACATAGAAAAACTCACATGGTTCTTCAAGAGTTCTACAGTAATGAAAATGGTTCTATATATTACCTTAAACATTCAACGAACCCTTTGCATAATTAAAGGGTTTACTGCATCGTGAAAGGGCTCTTCAGATTGATGGCGCATGTGCTGTATATGGTTCTATATAGGACCTTTTTGAATTGTTACAAGCTTCACATCATAACAACAATAGAACATTTTTGGTGCTATATAGAACCCTTTTCAAAAAGGTTTCATTTAGAACCATACAGAACCACATACAGCACTTTCACCATGATGAAGAACCCTTTCATGATGCAAAGAACCCTTTAATCATGCAAAGGGTTCTTTGAGTGTTCATGATTCTATATAGAACCATTTTCTTTACTAACGAAACCTTGAAGAACCATTAATTATAAGTGTGCAGTTGCACTGATGGTTTTTATAGTAAATAAAATGGCTATATTTGTGTTGTAGACATGGTGACCTCTGGTTCCTATCAGCACCACTGTAAAGAAATCTGAGTCTGTAAGTCAACTCAATCACTGAATTACGCAGAAATGTTGATGAAAAGTTGGTGGAATTTCCCATCAACACAACCAAATGTGTTTACTTATTTAACACAGGCAGTGTGTCCTGATTTGTAACACAAAGATATGCTCTAAATACAAAATGTTAAATAAAAACTCAAATTCACACGTTCATATTATTAGAAATTCATTTGTCTTTGTATTAAACTACAAAAATCAAAGAAGTCAATGTGTAATGTGTTTAAACAGTGATAACATAAAAATGTATCATCACTACTACATTTATTAGAATGAAATGCTGCAACTGAGCTGGCTGTCAGTTTTTTGGCTGGTTTGATTAGTGGCTTGTGTCTTGATGTAAATAATCACATAATATCATCATTCCATAACGTCCCATTAACTTTGGGGAACAGTGCTATAGACCTACCCAAACTCATCCTGCATCTCCGCCACAGCATCCACCAAAATCTGCAGGCGATGCCATCTCATCTTACTGCACTCCTTATGGAAGTCAAAGGCTATGTACCTCGAATGAAGAAAGGTCAGTCAATTTACACCCATATGTAATAATATGCAACAAAAGTTCAGGTCAAATGACATGTTTTGTCGATTTTGGAATAATAAGTGAGATGATCAGTGGAAATAAGCACACTTATTTGCACAGGGAGCACACTTCTGCACATTTTAGTGCACTGTTTATGTGCTGAATTTAACATACTGAGGAAGAAATAACATAAAATAATAACATAAAATGTGACCTCTGCAAAAGTAAAAAGCACATGCTTTATTTTTTCCCCCCAATATGTTAACCTAAAAAAAAATGGAAATTGCGTTTTTAAAAATTTCCTGAAAAATTTCTTCCTGTAGAGGATGTGTTAGCCTTTTTTCACTTAAATAAATATTACTGACCTGTTGCCAATTAACCTAATTAATTGTGAGATGTTTTATCAGGTGTGTCTCTTTTAGCATTACACAGTTTTTCTTTTGTTGCCCCCGTCCCAACTTTTCTGAAATACGTTGCTGGCATCAAATTCAAAATGACATATATTTTCCAAAAAACTATTAAATATTAAGTTTTAACATAAGAGATGTTGCCTTTGTGCTACTTTCAATTAAATACAGGTTTTAAATGATTTGCACATCATTGCATTTTGTTTTTATTTACATTTTGCACAGCGTACCAACTTTTTTGGAAACAGGGTTGTATATTACAGATATGAAGCTGCTATATTCACTAAATTAAAACAAACAGAAAGGATAATGGGCATTGTAAATAACAGGCGAGGATACTTACTTGATCATCCCATTTTCCATGCTATTCACCAATTTGGCAAATGCCTGCTCAAGGGGCAACTCTGAACCCTTCTGATTGACCTGAAACACACAAACCAAAACTAAAGACTTTCTAAAGGCTTCCACAACATTCAATATACAAACACAACTGTTTTCAAAGTCCAAAAAGTATGTAAATACATTTTTTTTTTTACCAAATTAAGAATCACTTGCTTCCCATAAATGAGGACCTGGGAGTCAAAATGCCTCTGAAGTCCATCCAGCTATGAGAGATAAACATACATGTTACAGTGCGTTTTGTATAAAAACATGCAGGTCATAGGTTTATAAATAAGGTCTGTTTGAGTTTCCGAGTCTTCACCAGCAGATGGTGCTGTTACTCTGACGAAATGACCCTTGTGCACTTTTCAAAACTCCTGCTGATGATGAAATAAAAGACCATTTTCTGGTCAAAGGACAGACACGAGATTAAGGTGCAAAATAAGTCATCATTTTTATGGACTTTTTTGTCTTGACAACAACCACAGCGGTAAAAAAACTTGTGGAGGATGATAAAACGCTGAGACATGCAAAGATCGTGTAGGTGAACATACATCGGCTGCTTTTAGTCTAATGAGTTATCCAGACAGATTTTGAACAGACAGCCTTAGTTCTGTTTTGTCTGTGGATCACAGGATCTACAGTACTGTGGAAAAGTCAGAGACCACCCTTCATTTATTTCCAGTCCAAATAGCCATTAAATATAAGTTATTAATTTATTTTTTTAGGGGATATTTCTGAGGACATTTGACATAACTTGCATAAAGGAAGTGAAAATCAAGAGAAAACAAGTGGGAAAGTTTGCAAAACTGGAGTTTAAAAACATGATTGAAAACATACGAGAAAATGGGTCTCTGACCATGGCAGGCCACCAAAACTGTCCCCTTCAGATAAACAGCACTTTCAAGCCCGAAATTTGCCCCAGATCTGAAAACATCCACAGGTGTTTCTGTCCATCCTTCCACTGTGAGAAGACCACTCAGCGCTATGAGTCTGAAAGGATGTGTAGCTGTCAAGAAGAACCTCACTGAGAAAAGGAGGCAAACAAAGAAGCTGCTGGTGTTCTCAGAACAATGGACTGACCACCCCAGAGTCCAGACCTCAACATCACTGAATGTGTTTGGGATTATTTGGATTGTGCAAAATCAACTTCTAAGACTGAACTTTGGAGGTGTGGAAAAATATCCCTGCAGGTTTCTTTAAAAGACTGAAAGTGAGTCTCCTAAACAGAGGTAATGTAAGAAAGGTAAAGGGCGGACACACCAAATAGTGAAAAAATGTGACATTATATCTAGTTCTTGAGGCAGCCGAGTATCTTTCTGTCAAATGCAAGTTTTCTGCTTTTTCTTGCTACTTGAAAATTAATAACTTTTGTAAGTAAATTTAATGGCTGTTTTGACTGGAAATGAAATCACTGAAGGGTCGTTTCTGACTTTTGTACAAAGAAAATGTGAAAATGCTTAAATCACTTGTAGAGGACGACAAAATGTAATTTTATCAAACACTGTTTGCAGAATCAAAGGCTCACATGATTGGTGGTGCTACTGATCTGTGGCTTTGGCTTATACTTCAGGTTGGGTCTCTGAGACCAGAAGAACGGCATGGAGCCTCGAGTCTGTTAGAAGAGATGGAGAAAGAGTCAGAGGGAGTTTAATCAAAGCTCCCTAAATATGAAACACAGTGTTGAAACCAGACTGCAAATTTAAGCCAGTTTTGTCCAACCTGTAATAACAAAATGTTCTTAAATCTCAGAGGAACCTTAAAAAGCCTTCATAATACATAATAATATATAAAACTTAAAAGCAATACAAATAAAGTATGTTTCCTTGGGTGCTTATAAGAGTAACACTTTACTGTAGGGAAGTATATATAAAGCTACATGACACCTACATAAGCCCTTCATGACAACTGACACAGACCTACATAAGCATGTGTACTTATGCCTATAGGTGTGATTTGTCAAGAAGGTTGGCCAACACTGGAGTCAAACTGACATAACACCTATGCTATATGTCCAAAAGTATCCAGACAGCCCTTCTCATTAGTGAATACAGCTATTAAAGTGCACTTATTGATGACTCAGGCGTTCAACTGAACACACAGCTTATATAATCTCCATAGAAAAAGCATTGACCAAAAATAGAATGCGAAGCAGACACACATGAGCCTAAGGTCACCATATGTGTTGGCCTGAAGGGTATAAAGCCATAAAACCATTAGGCTGTGGAGCAGTAGAACTATGTTCTCTATATCATCCAACATCAGTAGCTGACCTCACTAATGCTCTTGCGGCTGAATGCAATCAAATCCTCACAGCAATGTTCAACATCTAGTGTAAAGCCTTCCCAGAAGAGTAGAGGCTGTTAATGCAGCAAACGGGGGAACAAGCTATGTAATAAATACCCTTTATTTCAGAAGAAATGAAGCGCAGGTGTCTACAAACGACGGTGATCAGGTGACACTTTTTGCTGACATTATGTTGCGATGACACTTTCTGAGGTGAAATGACAGATTTGTTGTTTAGTGTATGTCATACTGTACAATACTGATATCGCTTGTCAAGTCAGGCTGGTTGAAGAAAAGTGAGCATTTTCTGTGGCCCTCAAGGAAAGTTATTGTTCCATGTATATAATGTAAGTGATGCCACAGCTTCATACAATCAGAATTATATGTCTGATATACACTAAGCTACAAAATCAATTATTATAACATGCTATGTCATTTCACCAAAAAAGTGATCCAAAAACTTGGCATCTAAACTAACAAAAGCAGCCTTTATGTCAGATGCACTGTAAAAAATGGTACCTTGGCAAGGTTGCACCTTGTCTTAAATCTATCTGACATATCTAAATACCTCATGTTAATATTTTTGTCAGCTTATAAGATTGTTCAACTTATTTCAAATCAAAATCATGTTTATTGTCACATCACATTTACACAGGTGGAAAGTGAGTGAATCTTAGGTGCGTAGCCCCCCTATAGAATTTAAATACAATATATATATATATATATACAAGCAAACTTACCTGCCAAAATAGTGAGATAACTTTACTTAATAAAATTACTTTAAACAAGTAAAAACATCTAGAAAGTAGTTACATAATCTTATAACATTTGTACAATGTTATTAGATAACAAATCTAGTCTAAATATTAGATATTTACATTTAAGATGACTTCTCTTGTTAAGATATCATTTTTTGCAGTGTGACATCTACAGACATCTATAGACTTTAGAAAATGTTTATGTAGGTTTGTGTCATTTATCATGACAAGCTTATGTAGGTGTCGTGCAGTCTTATGAGCACTAACCTACAGTAAGGGGTTACTCTTATAAGAGGTTCTTTCATCCAGAACTATGCAACTATGCTTTTGAAAGGGTCCCTTTATTTAGCTCTACAGTAATGTGTCAGGAACTCCACTACACATACATTTAAAACAGCTCCAGAAGCACTTCTATCCTTCTAGGCGAAAAACCTTCTGGAATCATGTAAAACCCTATTCTAGATGTTTCGGAGGCTTAGTACATTGATCCACACTCAGTTCTACCAACCTGCACGAAGGCGGCTCTGGAGTTATTATACTGAACTATCTGCTCTGTTTCGACAAAGTTAGCAGCATGTCCTTCTGAGTCAATCCCTTGGGGAAAAAGGTAAAAAAAAGATAATGAAAAGAAGATGTTATTCAAACCATAACTATACACATAAGACTGTGTGTATATTTGTGTGGGAGATACTCAGGAGGTATCAGCTTACCTCGGACGTAGTATCGTACCCCAGCTCTGAAACAGCTTCTCCTGGAGATGAGGATCCACTCAAATATCTTCCCATTGATACAGCAAGGCTTCATCGCAATAACTGTTCACCACGGTTAAGGCTCAACACCACCCACTCACTAACAACTTACACCTTATACACCTTCTATATAACTTACAGCAGAACTAGGGGCAAAAATATAACATCACTATATGCATCATTATGTTTCACTTTTTCTGAGGCTTGATGAGTTGGAAAACATACAATGCACCAAATAGTGCCACATTTAAAAATGCCCATCAAAAACGTACCCTTCTATGGAGGGACATTAGACAGGCAACTTATAATTAAAGTTCATTTAGTTACACAAAGCCTTGCTGACCAATACGATTGTCAGTTCCCAATTAAAGCGAAAAAATATATATATACATACACACACACACACACACACACACATACACACACACACACACACACGTTTGTCTTGCTATACATATGAGGACATACAAAGGTTTTGATTTTTGTGTTACTGTAGCTAATAATACTACACCTAAACCTAACCCTAACCTTAACCTCAATCTCCAAAAGGAATTTGCTCTTTTAGTTTTCAAATAAAAAAAGTAATTGTGGTGAAAACAACACATGCTCAAGTGAGGACCAGTGAAATGTCCTCACTTGAGCAAAAATTTCATGTAGTCCTATCATAGTAAGGACATGGGGTCCTCACAAGTATAACAATACAAATACACACACACACTCACACAAATATATACATATATACATATATATCGCTGATGTCAGAGGAAAACCTCGTATCACTATTTTTGAGTTTTTGACATAATTTGAAAATACCTGTTACCCTTCACATCATATGTAAGTTTCATGATGAATGGACGAAAAGAAACTACCCAAAAAAGTAAAGTAGGTTTTTTCCTTCTCCTGTAAAGTTACCATTTTGGAGATACGAGGTTTTGTTCTGACAACAATGCTATACACATTTATATACACACACTACAGAAAGTCATATTCTTAAATAGCACAAATATTGCAACACTGGGAATCTACCCAGATTTCTTCGTGGTTTTGGTTTCTGCTGACATCTTACTTTCACCTGTTCTTTCAACATTTTTTTAATATGTTATTCACACAGTAAAGGTCTGGATATACTTCACATGTTTTTGTTATTAGAATCAAGATAGTGTTTTCCGAAGTGGCACATCTGTCTAAGGCTTCAGCCTTTCGTCAAGAGATCATGAGTTCAAATCGAGAAGCATCTGTAATTATCAATGCATTATCAGCAACGTTATTAGCCAGCTAACAGGCTCATATTCAAACACGTGATCTGACAAAAGAGAGAAACCTTACACATCTTAAAAATGCCTGGCTAAATCACTTTAATGACACTCAGTTAGTCGGTGAGCATTTTTCAAAGAAGATTCCCTCAATATGAATAAGAAAACATACCCACAGGTTACTATGAGGTAATTTATCATAATAACCATATCACACTGGTATATCACCCATCCCGATCGACCACACAATTCTCAGTCTTGATAACGGACACTGAGAAACACATTTAACAGCTCAGTGCTGCCCCCTAATGTATAATCACATTACTGAAGATTACCAAGTGTCCTCAAACCTGGCAAATAAACCTACACAGCAGACTCAAAGGATACAGCCATGGACTACCGGAAAAGCGAACTTCTGAAGCTAAAAGAGAGAAAACATACAAGTTATAATGTACATGGCCAAAAGTATGTGGACACCCCTCCTAATTATTGAATTCAGGTGTGTCGGCCACACCCATTGCTACCAGGTGTATAAAATCAAGCACATAGTCATGCAATCTCCATAGACAAACACTGGCAGTAGAATGGGTCGTACAAAGAGCTGACTAAACGTTGCACATCATGGGAAGCCACCTTCTCCACAAGTCAGTCTGTGAAATGTCTGCCCTTCTAGATCTGCCCCGATCAACTGCAAGTGCTATTATTGTGAAATGGAAGCATCTAGGGGAACAACAGCTCTGCCACAAAGCGGTAGACCACACCAACTCACAGAGAGGGACGCCGAATGCTAAAGTGCACAGAACATAAAAATCGCCTATCTTCTACTGCATCACCCACGTTCCAAACCGCCTCTGGAAGCAACATCAGCACAAGAAACTGGACACAAGCCCAAGATCACTATGCACAATGCCAAGTGTCGGCTGGAGTGGTGTGAAGCATGTCGCCAACGGACACTGGAGCAGTAGAATCATGTTTTCTGGAGTGATGAATCACACTTCATTATCCGCCAGTCTGATGGATGAATCTGGGTTTACCATATGCCAGGAGAACGCTACCTACCGGAATGCATAGTGCCAAGAGTAAAGTTTGGTGGAGGAGGGATAATGGTCTGGGGCTGTTTTTCAGGCTTTGGGTCCCTCAGTTCCAGTGAAGGCTAATATTAATACTACAGCAAACATTTTAGACAATTATATGCCTCCAACTTTGTGGGAACAGTTTGGGGAAGACCTTTGGAACACCTTTGGAATGAATTGGAACTTGAACTGTGAGCCAGACCTTGTCATTCAACATCAATGCCGGACCTTACAAATGCTCTTTTGACTGAAGGGGCAGAAATTTACAAAGACACACTCCAAAATCTTGCGGAAAGCTTCCCAGAAGAGTGGAGGCTATTATGCCCACAAAGGCAGGCAACTCTATAATAAAGCCCATGGTTTTGGAAAAAGATGTCCAACAATTTCACACAGGTGTGGCGGTCAGGTGTCCACATACTTTTGGCCGTGTAGTGAATCTGTATTTGTGGCGCTTAAACTCATAGTGTATGACATATGTTATAGTAAAGTCAAGCGCAAATCTGCTCACCTCTGGTTGTGCAAAGAAATCCCTCAAAAGATATCCATTCCACACAAACCTCTGATCTGCCTGTAAGGAGAAGAAACCAAACAGTGAAGACATCTTCCTCACTAAGTATGAAAACAGTTTAACGCTGGTTCTAAAATATGACTGTATTGATGCACCAAGGTATTATAGAGCACTGTGTTGTTCACTGAAAAATCTTGTGTTTGTAGGCAAGTATGGCCCAATGTTGGCGAACAGTGTCAGCAGATTTGTTTATTTAGAATATATACGGTAGTGTGTTCCTGTGAGTAACATCACGACTGTGATTTAGTCGCGGGCAATGAGACGAAGGCGTCTTCAGTGGATCATTACAGGACGTTATTTGCAGTAACACACAATCGTGAGTGTTCTATTGCTTTTATGCAACAGTTCTGCAAAATAAGAGATAAAAGTAAAGCAAAGCGAGTCCAAAATGAATGGGTTAAGATGCAGCGTTTGAGTAAAATGCTTAAACATTTTAAAATAAAAGAATGCATTCATATCCTGAACACAGAATACCATAAAACATTTTGACACCGCTGTTATATTTTCAAGTGCTTTCAAACTCGAGTCATAGAAGTTTTTTACAGTTTGCTGTAGAAAAAGGAAACATACAGGGAAGTTTTCTTTGCTTATTTAGTAAAATACATCCTTCTACTTTCTAAAATTAAAGGAAAGTTCTGGGCGAGTGATTAGAAACTATTTTAACTTTTTGTTTTTAGCCGTTTAGCTCCATTCTCCCCCATTCATTGAGGACTCGCTCGCGGGCACCCTCTGCTGTTTAGCAGTCCTGTTTTTGATATAACAGGGGAAATAGGAAGAGACCACGCTCCTCATAAACCAGCTCTGCTAGCACCTAAATGCTCCCTCTCTTTCAATGGGGGAAAAAAAGCATCAAAATAAGGTTTCATTTTCGACATCCATGTTGTTTTATCTGCTGCCAATAAATGACTAGAAGCTTATTATTTTGGACCTCTGTAGACCCAAGAACTGCAGCAACACCAAAAGGTCTTAAGAAAAGTATGAACTGTCTAAGCTTGGCTTGATTTTAGCTCGCCCAAGCTGTAGATTCACTCAGCCAACCTGTGACTCCATGTGAAGCGCGTTGCAAAGTATTACAAGTGAAAAGCACCCTGAATTTGTTATCCGCTTGGGATCATTTTTTAAAGCCAATGATGTCCAGCTCCCCCTTGTCACAGGCTTTAGTCAGTACTAGTTGTGTGGATACTGAGGCTTGTAAAATAGTTTGTTTACACAGAGTCAGACACAGTCAAACTGTGAACGTCATTACATGGCAATGTTTAGCACAGAAGCCTGTATTTATTTGATTTACACCACTGCAACAATGCTAATTTCCAAAAGGCACTTTATAGGTTAACAGGAGTGCAATAGCAGCTGTACACAAACCTTTAAAGCTTAAAACACGGACATTTGAAGCTTATATCTGTTTGTAACAGACGTTCAGGTAAGATATGCCTCATTCAGTGATGAACTGAAACCTCTAGCCCGTTGAATCCAGGCCATTAATGTAAAAACATAAGGAAAAAGCCCACTTCTACAATAACGCGAGCATCCCTATGGGAATCTAGCGCTAAGCTACACACATGAACAATTTTTAGCAGATTAAACACAGACATTTAAAGTTTTTAAAAGACTTTCTGTTTTCTGAAGTTTGTGGCACGTGTTTGCATAAATTTGACCTTGTATCAGTTTTACATGCACTCTTTCAGTAGAGAGGCCTGGCATAGCTGCCACTGTTTTCCGTTTACGCTTTTTTTTTTTTAAAAATGGTCTGCCGCTGGCACAGTTAGTGACGTATCTAGGGCTTCTAGAAGGTCTAGAGTGATGTTATCAAAAACGTGAGTGGTTGATTCCTCTGCCACTTCCTAATTATGCTGGTGGTTGATCTCACGCATTAGGCCTTCTCTTCAGCTAGACACCAGTTAGATAATACAGATACCGCTGAGAAAAACAATTCCTGAGAGGCCAATTTTGAAGAATTTTATCTTTTCGCTTCTACCCAAAATTTAACAATGACACAAGAATAGTATTGTAATGCTACATGTTTAAATGCAAACTGAAAAACAGTTAATAAATTATACGTGTGAATTTTTTTTAGTTCTCAGAAAACATTAGGCCTTCTCTGAGGGCCCTGAAGGCCCTGAGGGTTCCCCTGTGGAAATTTGACATACTCCTGTCATCTCTCTCTTCTTCAGAATTTGACCAAACAGTCTGCAGATCAAATACTATCTTGCAGATGTTATCTAATGTAACCACTTTCTGTTTTTGTATTTGCTGAAGTAGAAACCTGGTAACATATCTGCAGCATCAAGCGAGTTACTTGGCAACCGGTGCTCAGTGGTTTGATACAGTTATCGGGGGAAAAAACATCACAAATGACAGAACGCTCCTCACCACCTCCGATCGTGTGGTCGGAACTAACTGTGGTAAAATATTAGTAATAATGTTTTAGTGATAAATAAAATTATTCATTTACCGTTACTGTATTCTAACGTATTGCATTCTGTCACTGTTTTATAAAAACAATCAGCCACTTGAGGCTGTGAGTTACGGTGGATTTACCACAAACTATTGTAACACACAACTTCCTGGGGCTTTTTGCCTTATTAAATGCTTTTCTCACTTAAAATACATTAAAAGCTTATGATGTTAACAACTCAACTAAACAGGTGTTTCGTCCTGACCAAACCGGTCCACCACACTAAGGGACTTCACATGGGTAAAGACAAAGGAAAAGAAAAGGGAGATGTAGCAACAGAGAATGTGCAACAAAAAGAACAAGAGCGGGAGATGAGTAATAGATAGACAGATAAACAGAAATAGAAATGGGGGAATTAAAGAAAGGTGAAAAAAAAAAATGGTGGTAGAGGTGTTAAAGGTTATAAGGTCATATCTACCACCTGATAACCACCAAACAACTGACACAGCAGACAAATTTCAACAAGGTTATAGTACAGAAACAAACCACGAGAGAAGAAATAAAAAGCCCCAGAGCAGAACTGGAGAGGAGTTTTGATGTCTTAACACTGCACAACACACAGAGACAGAAAGAAAAAGACCAGGAAACAGAGAGAGGGCTAAAGACTTAGACAGCGAGAGACAAAGGAAGGGTTAAGGGAAGGAAGATAAAAGGATGAAGAGACGATGTTAGAAAATGTGTTTGAGGTTTTGGTGCAGGGTGCAAGATTCCTCGCAAGATAACCATCACCTTTCTTATTCTTACACAAAGCAGAACACAGCAGGCAGCGTCTGAACACATCATAATAAAGGTCCTGTTATAAGAAAACTCCATTGTTTTCAGGTTTTTTTTTATTTATTTTTACACTACTTGAAAATGTCAGTTGCCTTTTATATTGTGTAATATTATTAAAATTATATTGGATGTTCATTTAAGAAAGCTTTTTTTCCTTCTTTTCGTTATATATATATATATACACACACACACACACACACACACACATATATATATATATATATCTCGCTGCTGTCGGAACAAAACCTTGCATCTCCATTTTTCGCTGTTGTTCACTTTTTCAAACAAATTGAAAATGCTTGTTTTTCCTTACATAGTGTGTTAATTTCACAATGAATAGACCAAAAGAAGTGGCCCAGAATAACTTGAAAAAGTCCCATTGACTAACATTTAAAGTATGTTATATACACAAACATGTACACATATACACACTGTACATATATATAGGTTTACTGGTTGTTATGGACGGCAAATAAAACGACTCCTGGTTTCTATCACCACCACTTTAAATAAATTCTGAAAAATTGCTGGAGTTCCCCTTAAAGATACTTTAATGGGTTAGAGAGGAAGTACATGTGTTTTTGTAAGATGAGCTAATTGGGCTAATTTAAGCGCACCTAAGCCGTAGATTCACTAAGCCAATCTGTGATTCCCTGTCAAATGCGTTGTATTACACAGAGTGAAACAGCCTAAATTTGTTATCCGTTAGGGGTCATTTTAATACACAACGTCAAGTGTGAGCACCTCTCAGAACAAATTCCTTTCTATGAGAAGATGTACTTGATTTACAAAAAAATTGAATTCTGATTGTGATATTCATTCTTCTCTAATATTCATATCTTCTCTCCCTGTCCCCGTCCCCTTCCCGTCTGTCTCTCACCCTCTCGAGCAGGCTCATCTCCTGGAAGTCAGGGCTGGTGTTTGCGAGCCGCTGCTGGGTGTGAGTCAGGTCATAGTCGGTGCAGAAGTAGAAGCCGTCTGTGTTCAGAACGCTGTTGATCATCGACAGGAATGTTTTGTTGTCCTGCATCTGTGTAAAAATAAATAATAGTGAAGTTATAAATACTAGCATAACTGTAGTAAAAGAACATACAATGGCCATCAAAACTTTGGGGACACCTAGCTAAAATACTGTTTACAAATGAGTATGTTTTAATTGCTGGTTTGCAATGAGTAAACATATTAAAGGACTGCTCAGTGTTATTTTATTTATCAAACATGTAAATATTAGTAATCATGCTACGTTGGGAATAATAGATCCCACTTTAAATGCTTGCTATGACCCCAAATCAGTAACAGATTATTGCCATGCTTCATAGGGAATTTCAGAGGCTTAAAAATAATTCTGCATCATCAAATGAGGTGTCTGGCAGCCTAGTGGCAGGAGAGGTGAGTCATTAACCAGATGTCTGCAGGTTCAAATACCAAGACTGACTGGGTAAACCTGGTTGTGTGCTTGGGAAAGGCACCTAACTCCCCCCCCCCGCCGCTGGCAATGCTGCCCTGTTGGTGACGCTGTGCTGCTCCCAGACTGGGCACAGTTAGGCAGCAAAATGACCAATTTCCCTTGTAGGATCAATAAAGTGCAACATAATAGAAAACTACTTTTCTCATGTTCGGATGGTGTTGATCTTTGTGCAGAGTTTTGTGCAGCTCTGGGTGTTGTAAAATAGCCAAAACTAGCCTTTTCTCTGTTGGGGACTAGAGAGAGAGGGCATTATTGATTTTGACTGACCAGCTGTGGATCTTGTATAGTGCTTTTTCATGCCCCCCAGCAGAAAAGTGGATGGTTTTTCAAATTAAACACACGGTTAAGGGAGTGCCTATGTTTCTCCATATACTACAATGAAAATAAGCACACTTCAGAGAGTCTGAAACGGTGCAGCCTGAACGCCACCTTACAGTAACGTTTCCTTCATTACTACACTAATAAATGAATAGTAAAATTAAAGCATTAACACGAGGTGCTCCCAAACTTTTGACGGGCAGTGTACAATACAAACTCATGCACGACACACCAGGAACGTAGCAGGTATCTGTATGTAGAGGCAACTGTTTTGAAACACAAGACAGAAAGGTCATGTTGAGGTAAGGGCTTTGTAGGTGCACGATGAGACCCAATCAAATACATCATAAAAAACATTCACATGCTAATCCTGCTCTAAAATATCTCCGATTCACTCTGGACAAAGAGGAACCAGCCCATGCATTTAGCAGCCTGACAGCTAATCCCTCCAACCAATACCAGCAGGCCCTGGGGACCTCTCCTCTGTCTGAGGTAAGAGGATCTAAACGCTAAGCTAGTTAGCTCTGAGAGATGAGAGAGGCTGTACAGACCTGACAGGACGGCCATTCACAGCATGCACAGAGCACTCAACGCTACTCGCTCCACTCAACAACAGCTGTGGCCCATCTCTTGCTAACATGTTGCAGCAGCCACACAATTCATAATGCAAGCAGGAGCGTTTTGTTAAATGTTTATCAGTTCACTACACAGTGTGGGGAGGCACAGATGGAATTAAGCTAAACTCGAAATACCACAATAAGGGTGCGCCGATGCAATGATATCGGAATCATACTGGTATTGAAAGATACAATAAGAATCAGCATAGGACAGATGTTTAGATTTGACCAGTATTTCAAACTTATGCAGTACAGTGCAAAAGTCAGCACCCATTCTTTATTTCATTTTCAGTCAAAATGACCATTAGATCACATTATCATTGGTGCATCTTAGACCACAACGCAAATGGCTTATTACAAGGGGTTTAAAATGTATCGATGCATCAATATTCAATAAAATGTATGCTCACTTTTTGGCCAAGATAAAAATTGTCATGGCACTTAGCAGATACCCTTGTACCAGGGGTCGGCAACATGCGGCTCTTTTACCGCCCTGTTGCGGCTCCACAGCAGAATCAGATTTTCAGGTAAAAATAAAATAATCCTCCTTTGCAGTAAAATAAAGCTCTGCTGGTCGTTCAACACAGTTTTAACAATAAATGGTCTTAAATTCTGAATTTAATGTAGAACTGCTAATTCACCCTTTAACCCTGAAGGTTGGCGCGCAGAGTGCTGGTCACCATAGCAACTCAGACAACAATCTCACCTAGCTAGTAGCTAACAAAACGGCAAAGAGAGAGATTTAAGACGAACATTGATCATTTATAGACGACTTATTTGCATTTATAATCACTCCAGCTGGTGTCCTGATACACTTAATCTCCAATGAGAAACTGTCCAACACTAAAAAGTCACGAAGCTGAAGTCAGTTTCTCGTTCACCAGATTCTTGTCTCAAATTTCATTTCAATGCTGCAGCAGTCCTCAGCCTCATAAGAAGTCGAACATTAAGAGATGTTTTACAAGAAACTGTTCTACTTTTGTGGAAAAGTTTCCTGCCAGAGATGTGAGAAAAGCAGCTATAGCTGAGCTAAAGCTTAAAGCAGAGCAAAGTAAGTCTGCCATTAGCACATACTGAGACATATTTACAGCAAAGATGGTAAAACATTACTTAAAATGGACATAAAATATTGTGGCTCCCAAGGTGGATTGATTTTTGTTGAAAGGACAAAATAGCTCTTCTTAACATTTGGGATGCCGACCCCACCTTATACATAGCAACAGACAGGCTAATTGTGTTACATGTAGCATTAAGAGTCTTGCCCAAGGACTCTTATTGGTATAGGGTGGTGCGTTTTGCCTGGCTGGGGAAGTGAACCTTGGTCTCCCGCATGACCACCCAGAGTTTAGTCGTAGCCAATTCCCACCCAGAAGGTGGATCCCCGAACTACTACAAGTTGCTACTATCTGAGTCACATTAGATTAGCACATCTGAGACACATGAGTCTCACCACAACTTTTCAAAACGCTGCCAACGCAACGTCACGGAAGACCAGCATGCCTGGAAGAGGGCACTAACTTCTAATTCTGTTACGTCAGCTAACAGATGCTGGCATTGGCTAACATCGCGCTGAGTGATAGGGGCGAGGGAGGACCACACTGCCCACCCAGAAAGACAGAGGATTATGCTCTCTTGGTCTCCTGGCTATGGATGACTACGTCATTGCCAGGGAATTGAAGTTGTGACCTCCCAACCATTGCACCACTAGGGAGCAGCCAACCACTATTTTCACTTGTAAAAAACGAAAAAAATATATATAAAAATAAATGACAAAAGTGTATTATTGTCTACATTTTAGTACTGTGTGGTTTCTCCAGCAACATTTATACAGACAATGTATCTTTTTTAAATAATTCTGTTTAATTTCAATTCAAACAGATTTAAATCTAATCAATGATTCATGCACTGAAGCATTTCCGAGGCAATCATAATCAAACCGCATTGTTATGAGGTCAGGATATACACCCTGCTGATTAGTCAAGCTTCACACAGTGGTCATTAACACTTCTCCTTCATGCCCTTACACTGAACCCTTTGGCTTTGCCGGTCTGTCTGGAGCCAGGCCCCACTCTTCAGCTCCTGTGGGAGAAACACCCTTTCACTCAACTCACTGCAGCCATAGCTGGCATTTCAATTAAAGCCTTTGGTTTGATAAATAATGCACCACGTCTGCTTGACTGTAATGAGATATGGTTGTCATGGGCTCCAATAAAAGTGTGCTACTGCTGCATCTTCCTCCAGCAATGCACACATCTAAAAACAAGACTGCTAAGCAAAACAGACGTAAAGTGGAAAGCAGAAAACTCTTCAGCGTTTAGATTATACAACAGTGAAACGCTCAGTCGTAACATTTGGACTATTAATCTGCTGACCTACAAGGCTCATACACTCACAAAGACAATGTGAAGCAGTGTTCACATCATCACAGTAAAAGGATTTGTGAGTATGTTGTTCATTTGTTTGAATGGAGCTGGGTTTTTTTTTTTACACTAGCTTTCAAAAGTTTGGAATCATTTCTCATATGAATAATTTTTGTCATTTTATATTCTACAGTAACAATCCAGATTTAAATGTTATAAAACAGATATTATACAACAGTTAGTTCCACCCGCGCAAGCTGATTGGTTGAGAGGCGTTCTAACCGTGCTGTTATTTTGCCATAACATCACAGGTTTTTCGCAAACACTGTCACTCTGCTGAGACGCTGTTGCTAAGCAACGACTTTGACAGCTGTAAGAGACACTCAAGCCATTTGAACGTTTTTACTTCTTACACTGCCACAAACAGAAAATAGATACTTTTAAGATCACATTTGACCAACAGTCGATTTGGTCAGACTCAGAAGATTACAGACTACACTAAATTCCCAAACTGTCAGTTTGTCTGTGTGGAGCTGGAGAACGAACTGCCGGCTGTGCAGTGAGTGAGAAGAGTCCGTTACTCTGAAGCAGCAACAAGCTGCTTGTTAAGAAACTATAATTTGGTGGAAGGAGCTGCGAACATTAAAACATATTAAACGCTGCGTTCACGGCCCAGTTTATTAATTTCTTACTTTATTTATTTAACTGTTGTATAAAAGCAACAGAACACGAGGTCACGTTATCACTATAACATCACGGCTGTGACGATCACACTCCCTCTCGTGTTCTATTGCTTAACTGAAAAATGTTCACATGAACCTGAACAAGTAAAACACATGAATGCAGGGTGAACATGACAATGTTCTAATTTGATCATGATGTCTTGTCAGAGCAACAGTGTCTGCATGTTCCAACAAATGAGTGAATGTCATATGTATGATATATACAGACAATGGCTCAACACTACCCTAATTATAGTCTCTCTCTTTGCTTTTGCTTTGTTGCTTTTGCTAGTTTCTCTACCGAGAGCACTGTTCGGTGCAGCCAACAGGGTTCCTGATACTGCTGGCATCAGTGGTGTGCCCTGCTTGTAAGTGATAGACATTCACGGTGTGGCAGTAGCTGGAAATAACTTACAACTTAATAACTTCACTTACTCATATCAAGAGAGCCATAATGGAACTTGCCATATAAAAGCTGTATCTGAATGAGACGACTAGTGACTAAGTCATAGCAACGGTGCGGTGGGAAATAAACAAAATGAAAAACACAGCATGCAATCAAGTGGGCTGCCGGGCTGGATGATTAAATTAATGCGTTAACAAAGTTTTTTAAAAAAATCTATTAATCAATCATGTTCATGTAACTTTGACACCACTAGTAATTTTCAGTTAACACAAATTTTTAGTCAATTTAACCAAGATTTGATCGCCACTTCTGAAATACGAGGCATTCTGATTAATTTTATTATTCATTCTCAGTGTTATACAGCTTTCTCAGTAATTTTAGAATCTTCTACAGATCTGTTATGCTTTCATGGACACATCTAAAAGTGGTTTTAACAACTTCCTAATAATTATCTGAACCAGAAAGACTACATTAGAAACTATTCGTACAATAATCTGCAACCAAACTTTTATATTACTTGAAACTTCTGAACTGTGGTGCACACGACTCATCGAAAGCAACATCAGCAAAAGTTGGAACTTACTCAACACCGGCACCACCGTGTGCTGAGCTTGAAACACTAATGATGGTAATGATGGCTATCTTTTCTGAAATCCTGCTGCTGCATTACAGGTCTGCATTACCACTGCAGTACTAGGGGTACCGGGGATACCAGTTGTACCGCAGGGCCTGCAGGACCAACCACAGTATCTTGCGGCACTGGGTGAATTTTCAGGAGCATTCATTTAACCAGCTCAGTGCAGGAGGGAGACGTGTAGAAAAATCCAACAAATTAACAAACAGCCAAAATAAAATTATAACTATCACTTCATTATTGGCATATATAAATAATAACTTACAGCTATATAACAAAAAGTAATAAACTCATTCTAAATAGAAGAGATATCTAAACATCTGTACATCTATGTGTATATATACACATATCTACCATCTATCCATCCATGTATCCTTCCATCTATGTAAATACACACACACTATATTGACAAAAGTATTGGGACATCTCTTAATCATTGAATTCAGGTGTTTTATTCAGTCCTATTGCCACAGGTGTCTAAAATCTCTTAGCCATGCAGCCTGCCTTTACAAACATTTGTGAATGAACGGGTCGTTTTAAAGAGCTCAGTAAATTCGAGCATGGTAATGTAATAGGATGCCATCATTGCAAGCCAGTTCACGAAATTTCTTACCACCTAGATATTCCATGAGCAACTGTGAGTGGTATTACTGAAACATGGAGGTGTTTATGTGGCTGTGGTTCTTAAAGTTACAGAGTGGGTCACTGAGCGCTGAGGTATATGGTGCATAAAATTTGCCAAAACACTCTGCTGACTCAATAACCGCAGAGCTCGTCTGGCATTAACATCATCACAAAAAATGTGTGCCAGGAGCTTGATGGTATGGGTTTCCATGGCTGAGCAGCTGCATGCAAGCCTTACATCACCAATTACAATGCCAAGGGCCAGATAGAGTGGTGTAAAGCATGACAACACTGGACTCTAGAGCAGTGGAAACGTATTCTGAGGAGAAGAGAATCACATTTCTCTATCTGGCAGTCTGATAGACGAGTCTCGGACGAATGCCAGGAGAACGTTACCTGCCTGGCTGCATTGTGCCAACTGTAATGCTTCAGCAGACCAAGACATTTTGCACAACTGTATGCTTCCAACTTTGTAGGAACAGTTTGGGGAAGAACCTTTTCAGTTCCAGCATGACTGAGCCCCAGTGCACAAAGCAAGGTCCATAAAGTCATGGCTGGGTGAGTTTGGTGTGGAACAACTTGACTGGCCCTCACAGAGCCCTGACCTCAACCCCATCAAACACCTTTGGGATGATTCAGAACGGAGATTGCAAGCCAGGCCCTCTCGTTCAACATCATTGTCTGACCTCACAAACGCTCTTTTGGATGAATGACCAGAAATACCCACAGACACTCTCCAACATCTTGTAGAAAGCTTCCAGAAGAGTGGAAGCTGTTATTGCTGTAAGGGGGGACCAACTCCATATTAATGCCTATGGATTTAGAATGGGACGTCATAAAATCTGCTGTGGGTGTAATGTGCAGGTGTCCTAATACTTTTGTCCATACAGGAAATATATTATATACATAGATATTTTCTCACTGCGTTATTCAAACATCGTTCGTCAAACATCTGAAGAGCAAAAATGGTTAAAATGCCACTCCCTAGTGCTGTGCATCATCTGTGGTTCTACACTGATAGAAGTAAAATGTTTACCTGGCTGTCTGTGAGGTGTAATATGGTCTTCTTGTAGGAGATCATGTCAAACTCCACTGCCTTCCACACTGTGTGACCGAACAGGCTACCCACTTTCCTCTTCCTAGTGATGACTATGAGGTACATCCCTGCACACACAGAAGCAAGTCAGTGCACCACAATGGAACAGTTTTATACCAACCATCTTATGTACCTGGACTTAAACTGATAGCCTGGTGAAAAATCTAGTATATGCAGTTTCCCCCTTTACACCAAATGTATTTAATCAACCAAGAAATGTGTGTCCTTTTTAATAGATAACAGTGATACAGAGCCAGAAACCACATAAGCTAATCTGTATCAGATGTATACTTAACAACACAATGTGGTCTGAGGTCAGTGTGGGATGATTTAGACATGTAAGTTTACACAGTGCTAATTGGTGGGGCTATATTGTATTAATCTCTTAGCTGCACTAGAGCTATAAGGCTATATACTTAGCTACATTAGCCTTATAGCTCTAGTGCAACAGTGACAAAGGAAATTTCAGACACTAAACAAGTCTAGGCTAATCGACTGCATTGTGGTGTCAGGGAGAAACTGTGTAAATGGGTTATTCTCACAAACATAGTAAATACTGGGACCCAACTAGAAAAGAAGTAAAATGACTAAAATGTAATGTTCTTTTTTTTGTTATACAAACAATCGTTGAATAGTTAAAAATAAACCCAAATGATTTCAATGACTTTAAATTAATTTTTCGTGACATTTTTCAATTAATATAGCGCTACGAACAAGTATTTGCCCCCCACCCAATTTCTTCCTTTTTACTAAATTGTCACATTGAAATGTTTCAGATCATCCAGCTAATTTTAAGACATCACAAGTAAACTTAAAGGAGGCTTTTAAATGATCGTTCCATTTATTGAAGATAAAGATTGATTCAAAACCTCTATCACCCATGTGAAAAAGCAACTGCCCCCCTAAACCTAATAACTGATTGTGCCACCTTGGCAGTAACAACTGCATTCAAACATTCGTGAAGACTTGCGATGAGTCTTTTACATCACTGTGTAGGAATTTTGACCCACTCTTCTTTGCAGAGTTGTTTTAATTCAGGTACACTGGAGGTCTTTTGAGCATGAACTGCCCGTTTAGGGTCTTGCCACAGCATCTCAATGGGATTTAAGTCAGGACTTTGACTCGGCCACTCCAAAATCTTAATTTTGTTTCTTTTGAGCCATTCAGAGGTGGACTTGCTTGTGTGCTTCGGATCATTGTCCTGCTGCATAACCCAATTGCGCTTGAGCTTCAGGTCACAAACTGATGGCCAGATATTCTCCTTCAGGATTTTCTGATGGAGAGCAGAACTCATGGTTACATCAGTTATGACAAGTCGTCCAGGTCCTGCAGAAGCAAAGCAGCCCCAGACCATCACACTACCACCACCATGTCTGACGGCTGGTATGATCTTTACACCAGATGTAACATGACCCAGGTCTTCCAAAAAGTTTCACTTTCAACTAATCAGTCCACAGAATATTATCCCAAAAGTCTTGGGGGCCACCTAGATCTTTTTTGGCAAATGCGAGACGAGCCTTCTTGTTCTTTTTGGTCAGCAGTGCTTTGAGCCTTGCAGCTCTCCCATGGATGCTATTTTTGCCCAGTGTCTTTCTTTTAGCGGAATCATGTACACTGACCTTAACTGAGGCAAGTGAGGCCTGCAGTTCTTTAGATGTTTGTCTGGGTTCTCCTGTGACCTCCTGGACGAGACGTCGATGCACTCTTGGTGAAATTTTATTAGGCCGGCCCCTCCTGGGAAGGTTCACTACTGTACCAAGTTTTCTCCATTTGTTGATAACGGCTCTCACTGAGGTTCGCTGGAGTCCCAGAGCCTTAGCAATCAATGGCTTTGTAACCCTTTCCAGACTGACAGATTTCAATCGCTTTGTTTCATATCTGTATTTGAATCTCTTTAGGACGTGGCATCATGTGCTGCTTTTTGAGACCTACTAGCCTGCTTCACATTACCAGACAGGTTCTATTCAAGCAGATTCAAGAGGACTGGCAGTGATCATGCGTGGGTGTGGCTGGTAAAATTGAACTCAACAGTTAATTGAATTTGGTTAACTGGTTGATTTAGTAGATAAGGGGGCAATTGCTTTTTCACACAGGGCCAGATAGGACTGAACAGCATTTTTCCTTCAACAAAGGAAATCATTTAAAAACAGCATTTTGTGTTTATTTGGGTCATCTTTGCCTAATATCAGAAGTAGTTTGATGTGAAACATTCAAGTGTGACAAATATGCCAAAATAAAAAAAGTTGAGAAGGGGGCAGATATTTTTTCACAGCAGTGTGTATATACATATATATAGATAGACAGATACATAAACATATACATACATTCATACATACATGGTAATGAGAAATGGGATAAAAAAAACACTAAAATAATAAATAATAAATAAATAATTAAATAATTATAATAATAATAATTAAATAAATAATAATAAATAAATAATAAATAATAAAGAAAAATAAACTACATTTTTTTCTGTACCATATAGAACTCCAAATGACTCAATAAATGATATGAATAAATGTTAATCTGTGCGATGCTTATAACAATCAAAGATTTATAAACATGTTCTGAAGTGGTTTCGTGAGAACGACCCAAATTTGATTTCTGTCAAACTATTGTTTTACTATTCATTTATACTCCTGATAACCTGGATAAATTTCATGAGATTAGGGTTGGAATTACACTCCAGAGGAACCTCTGAACCTCCTTCTACAACAACGGTGTGGGACCTACCAGCCACCAGGCGAATGGTTCCCATGATCCCACAGATCGGTCTGGTTACTCCTGATGGAGGAATGTCCTTAATGCCTTTGGAAGATAAAGACATGTCAGTACGTTTCAAATGAAAGCAGCCAATCTTGCAGCCTTTAGTCTCATTAAATATAACTCGCTATGCCTAAGGCCGAGAGTAGCACGGCTTTTTTTGTTAATAAGTAAAAGAAAATGCTAAAAATTCACAAACTTGATGGAGCCACTGCTAAATATATCTAGCTACACTTATGCTATAGAAAATACTGAAAACTGCCACCTTCACACAACTGTTCATCAAATGTCACACAAGCAGAGGAAATAAAAAACTTTTTAAAGAGGCTATTATGAGAGCAGGTCACTGACTACTAATCACCAGACATTCATATTGTCACTGTCATATCTTAGAACTCCAAATAAAAAACGCCACAAAATTCACTGGAATAAAAAGAACTAAATGCATAAAAATGCATAAAAAAATGTCACATTCAGTAAACAAACATTACGAAAATGCGAGTTCGATCCCTGGTGATGCTACAGCCATCTATGGCCAGGAGTCAAAGAGAGCACAATTGGCCTTGCTTTCTGAGCGGGTAGGGCGGCCCCCCCGCCTCTCCCCCATCACTCAGCGCGATGCCAGCCAGTGCAGGCGTTTGTTAGCTGACATAACAGAACTGGCGGTTAGTGTTCTGCATGAGCAGCAGTTCGAAAAGATGCGGTGGCACTTCACAGGTCTCGGAGGACGGCCGTGCTAGCCTTCGCCCTTCTACCACTGGTGGTACGTGTGACTGGGGAGAGTCCTAACTATTGGGTGGAACTGGATATGACCAAATTGGGGAGAAAACTGGGGGAAAAAATGTGCAGAATTGTGTTCTTTGTAGAGGAGGTGGCCAAACTTTTGCATATGACTGTATTAAGTTAAGGATAGAGGTCTGCACAAGGCGTGTTCACCTGTGCGTGAAATAATATTTGGACAGGATTCATTTTGAGGTATCACAGTCATTACAGGTAAACAGCCAACAGGTTGTGGGCTTGTGCATTGGGGCGTTATGGCTGGCTGGGGTGGGATGGGCTTGAACAATCATTGTGCAATTTCCCACGGCTTTGTTTAACCTATAAAAAACACAAAATGCTTCCTTCTGTTGAGCAACACCGAAACTGTTATTTTTGCGGCTGGGTGTGCGGAGGTACAATGGGTCTGGAGGCTGTTCCACAGTGTCGCGGGGGTTGGGTGGACATCCCCTACAACAACGGAGCAGGATGAGGGCAAACAGGTGGGAGTGGATATGGACTATAGGCATGCGGGTGGGCAGGGCATGTGGTTGAATTAAATAAGGTCAGCTGATGGTCGATTTGAACAATACTATGTGATGGCTGGGGTCACTGAGCTCAGGAGGATATCAGCTACTTTTCTGAAAACAAGAAATTCTTTTTTTACTGCATTAATATCTGCTTGTATTTATTCTAATATATATGGTGTTTTTACAAGCAAAAACACTGTCATTGTCCAGATAAACAGGTTTAAACAACTTGCTCTGGTGCCTAAGACTGGTGCACAGTGCTGTACGTTCTCTCTTTGTTTATAGGCTTATATGTGCAGCTCAGTTTGCTTTCAAAACAAAGCCCATTCTGTGCACCACCTCTGAACACAAATCAGCAGAATCTTTCCCTGGTTCTGTTCTCAGGACCCACCTGTAAGAGTCATCTCTGTGGAAACCCGGTCGATGACCAGGACGTCATTAGATCCATCATCGCAGGCCTCGATGTAGAACTTTTCAGGGGTTGCATGCCTATGGAAGGGAAACAGAGAGGATGCAAATGTGAATCTGCATCTCTGACATGCAAAAACTGCCCTGAAAGGATTTCAGAACTATTCTGTGAGATATTTGATATGCTAACCATTTCCGTTCCGGCTAATTAAATCTGTATATAGTGCCTCAATTCTCAGTGTGGTCAATCTAAGCGCTTGCAGAACTGAACTTCCTTGCATCACTTGCATTCTGAGAAGCAGAAACTGCTGCAGCTGGCAGCTCTGATTTTGGAACTGCAATAGCAGAAGCTTTTGCACAGTAATAATGAAAAGTAGCTTTGGGGAACTTGTAGATAAAGAGTCGGGCAATGTGGCAGTATGTTATTGTTGTGGGAAACTACGTCACAATGCTGTTTTCTGACTATATGATGGTTATGATCAGTTTTTCTACCTCACTGTACAATATAATTATAATTCTCCCACAATTACACAATTCCTACATTAGACCAATTATGGGGAGCATGTAAACAACAGCATCTAGTGTACAGCAACTGCACTGGATGTCAACTCTTCATGCCATCATCTTAATTTTATTCAATTTATTTTTACCAGTTGTTTAATGTTTCCTCCTGTGGCTTCTTAAACAGTTTACTCCTGCAAACACTGGATTAAAGGGCCCATATCCTACATTTTTCTTGTATTTTTCTTCTCCCAAGGTTCACTTATATCATTTGTGTTGGTTTATGTAGCAAAAACAGTTATGATTATCTTTTACATGATCATTTCTAACCTCTCTTTATGCATCAGAATTAAACTTTATTTATGTTACTTTGAATTTAAAGGGAAATTCCACCAACTATTCAAGACTTCAGCATAATTAAATCTTTAAGATGTAAACAAAGTCATTCTGAGTGCTTTGGTGTGAAATGCTGTGTTCTAGAGAAACTTTGTGAGTCAGAATTGTTCACACTGATGGTGATAAGAACTAGACATCTAAAGAGTTTAAAGCCTCTAAAAGCTCCCTCACAGAAAGTTCTTACATGAAATGATTACTAATGCCCTGTCTGAGGTCTCAGACATTGTTTTATGGTAGTTTTGACATAAGCTTTGAATGATAACAGATATGTAACCACTCCTAGGGCCTTGTTTCACAACAGTTTTTAAAAACCTTCTGTTTTAAACCCCTAAAAAGCCAAGGGCCGGTGGTGAAGTTTTATAGAAGTGTGTAAAGTTTTATTACACACTTCTATAACCTGAGAAAAGCTCAGTTAGTTTGCAATGAAGCCCCTTTAGTTGCTAAATAATAAGCCTTTGTATGAAATAAACCTGGAATGTTGAGGGACTAAACAAATTTTAAAAGCATTTCATGGTTCAGTGTTAAATGCAGCGTGATATACAGCAAAATAGCAATGTTTTCCCCCCAGATCCACCACTATTTTACCATCATCAACATTACAAACAAAAGCTCAGAGGACACAATTAGGTTCACTGGTGGTTTAGGGTAGTAAATAAAATGACTATAATTGTGTTGTACACATCTCAAGTTTAACACGACATCATAAAAACAATTCATTTCAAAAGGCTGTTTAATTTTACTGTTTTAATGTACTGCATCTCGGTTGTGGAGTGAATGGTACGTTTTGGAATGCTGTTTACGCAACGAAGGCGTGGGGATCTCCCTGCACTTCCCTCCCATTACGTAGGGGTGGGAAACTGTGCTGGACTCTGGCCCTCAGCTCCACACCTCTGATGTAATGTATTTAAAAAAAAGTAAATAAAATAAAAATAGCTTTTCAATGTTGGAGGTCCACCAAATAAAATGTTTAAAACTGTAGCAATACTGTCCAGTGTTTTACTTTGTCTGTTCCAGTTTGTTTTAAGAAAACCTACATACGGTGATGATACGTAGGATGAACAGGTGTTCAAGTGATGTCACATTATGTCAAATCGCCCACGCTTATTTGTGGCTGATCATTACCTTGGCTGGTTGCCTTCGGTGAACTCTCAGAGAGACTGATTCAGTCCTGACCGAGGCTTTAAATCAATACTTCTCAAGGTCAAACATATTTAAACATGTCAAACACACAGCAGAGCAGAGCTACACTGATACCGCCAAACCGACTGCATGGGCCACATCTGGTTAAGTCTTCCTTCCTTGCGAAAGTGCTGATCAGCACATTTCCTGTTCACTTAAAATCGCTCCTGACCACAACCTACACTCAAAAAGAAGTGCAAGCATACCCCCTGCTTCAGCATTAGCCTACATAATAAACATGAGCCAATCCTTCCCTTGTGATACTAGTATTGGCCTAGTGCTGTTCTACATGCTTATGACAGTCACACAAAGGACCACTGTTTAAGGATTACATGACCTCAAATAAAATGCATACAGGCCTAAGAAGGGAAAATTGTCTTTATAGTGATTAAATGGCTGAAACCTAATATTATAGGTCAAAATCTGTGTCTTTTCTCTGGCTTGACAACACATAACTTGCAGCTATTTAAAAAATTCTAATATCTTTTGGCTGACGGATCGAGTGTAGATCAATCACATCCCACCTTGCCTCAAGAATACACATATCACCAGCACTGCAGTGAGAAGCAATATGCTCCCTATGCAAGAGACATCCTCGGCAAGGGCTACATATCCTATATTTTCTTCCCCTGAAGACACTTAGAAACATTCGGCTTGTTTTATGCAACAAAAACAGTTATAATTCATTTTTACATGACAATTTTCCAACCTCTCTTTATCCCTTAGAACTGAACAGGCTGCGCTCGTTACCATGCCTTTAAGTCTGACACAGTGGTATGCAAAAGTCTGAACACCTCCCATTCAAATGACATTAAATAAAACATCATAATATTTCAAGCAACAGAAAATAAAGTTTGCATATTCCACATTTTATCTTTATTTATACAGCCCCCCACCCCCCCACAAAATATGTTACAATGAGCAAATAAACAGTAATTGAGCATTAAAATGTGCAGAGGTGAATTAGGATGTCTTAAGTTATTTTCACTTAGAAAATCAACAGTCAGTTGATCTTGAGCACCCAAGCTTTTGCATATGACTGTATAAGTAAATGATCTCTGTCTGCCTTGTGTTGTGCAGTCTGGGATGAAACAGGCCATGCAGGCTCAGTGTGAATAGCGGCTCAACTGCTGTAGGCTGAATAGGGGGACGTGTACAAATGTGATGATCTTTGTGACGTCACAAAAACAAAATATTCGAAAGAGGCTGTTTCCCACATATGGCCTGCACGGACTCTGAAGTATGCCATGCATTTTAAACCTTAACAATGTTTACATACCACATTAAATGCTTACAGTTTTGAAAACGAACAAATAAAAAAAAAACAAACATTTTTGCCGTTTTTGGGCCGTTTAAATGCACACATTAGTTTGAGGACCACAAGTTAAAGCCTGCAATATATCAGCACTAAAATTTGACCAATTTCTGACATGCCTCAGAAATAAACTTCTTAATTTAATTTAATTACACCGATGGGGGAGCACTGGAAAACCCTTTACTACACAATGTAGCATGACTAGTGATGACTAGTAATAGCCAAATAATTTCAACACAGTATATTAAATCTAAAAAAATTGCATTTCCATTTTGAACCATATTGCTGATACTCCCCTCTGCCTCACCCAGGTGTCTCTCATTTACTGCAGAGTTGGGAGTTGGTCCCAAAAAGAGATGATTCTCTGATTGAGGAATTTTCGGAAATTGGGAGTCGACTAAAAAGCTTTGGACTCAATAGTGACCACAGTGATGGTCATGTTTGCCCAAAATGGTGCAAGCAGAGTGTGAGACATTCTACCGTGACTGTATAAACAGCATGCCTGAAAAATGCATCCTTCCAGAACTCACATATCTGTTAGCTATATTTTGCTTTTAACAAAGTTTGAACTGAACTGCACTGTGGCTTACAACAAACCTGCAGGCGCTGAAAATGTACCTACCTGTTCAAGGGAGTTGACAGAGGAATCAGATACAGTTTAGCTAGCCCTCTGACAGTCAGCCAAGGCAGCCAGTCAAGCAAATAATCTGGCTAGAGTTAGATTAGATCTCCAAACTGCCTTACTAGGATCTAGTTAATGCAAGTGGTATGTCATTCATACCACTATAAAATGTATGATGTACTTGATTAATTTACTTTTCATGTTGCCAGATCTCCTTCCCTGTGCTTCAGTTTTCAGAACAGAGAAAATTGAATCAAAATGGAATCAACTCTTGAGAATGATTCTCGTGACTCAGAATCAGGAATCAAACAGCCCCAGTTGTTTTTTTGTGTAAACTATTGTTGATTATTAAAACTAGACATCTTGGTGTGTCACTTGGAATGGACCTTTTTTTTTTCCTCAGTCGCTTATAAATTTAAGAGAATTTGGGTTTTTTGGGGCGTATTTTGTTAGAGGACAGCATGCAAGGTGTTGAAAACGTTTTATTTGAGGACTTGTGTTACTGTCATTTATATGGCCATCCAATATATATCCAATATTTCAGTTTTTCTTTTGTATTTAAATGGGTATTCAAATAAGACATATGGTTTGGAATTAAAAAAGAAACAAGTCGTGCACCATCATGAAATTCTGTTATGTAAGTTTTTACAGAGCGTGCTGCACTGAACCACAGAACTGCAGCTCTTTCACTGTTTCAGTTTATACAAATTGCCCCCTTGACTATTCATAACAATATAAAATATTTTGAAATTTGGTAAAAGAGAGCAAAATATACCAAGTATAGCCTGTGTGTGGGAAACTTTATTTACCAAGCCAATCTGTGCAGTATATAATCAGAGCTCAGATATTTTTAACACATAAAATATTGAAAATCAAATCAAACCCTAATCTCAAAAAAAAAAAAAAATCCCATCGAACCTGAAAATGTGTATTTTTATATCTACAGATGACACAATACCACTCTGTCCTTCTCTAATACTGATATTAAAACTTTGAGTATCAGGCAATACCACTACAGATCTGAGATTTTCTCACTCCACAGCTCACAGCATTACATCACAAAGTGTGAGCGAGAGCTATTTCAGGACAGATTTGTTACAGGACTGGGTCACATTCATTCTTTTTCCCCTCTGATATCCCATCCAGCATTTTCTGCTGATATCAGCCTGATATGACAATTTGAAGGCACGCAACAGTTTGATGACTACAGGCTTTGGCCATCCACTCTGAGTGGGAGGCAAAGGGGGTGACAACTCTATTACACAGTGCAGCAACAGTAATGACCACATGTCTAATGTCATGCTTCAGAAATGACCAAACAGTCAGCACTTACGAAAATCTGGAATAGTGCAATAGTGTAATACATAATAGATACATATGGGTGACAGATAGAAGGGATGTGTGTATAAATCCAGTATAAAAGTACGGGAACACAGACTGCAATAAGGATACTTGTTATTTAATTAATATATTAATTTTTCTTGGTAAATATTTCATCCATAAAATGAAACTTACAAATAAAACCCTCAACTCACTTTAAAAAGATTTACAACTATGTCTGCCCAGTTCAACATACGTATTGCAAAAAAGCAGCTAAACTGAGAAAAGTATTAACAAAATTTAAATTTGTTTAAAGTCATCTGGAATTGATCTCATGCAAGACATGATGTCTGTCTTGTTTACATGTTTATGTGCTTGAATTGTGTTACTTTTTGTGAAATACTATTATACTGTTACCTTGTTATCTGATTCCCCTAGTGTTACTTATATTCTACAGTCTAAAGCAGTGTTTCTCAATCTTAATACTGGAGGCCTCCAGCATCAGGGTTGAGAAACACTGATCTGAATCACTCTATCAAGTGAACATAGATCAATAAAAAAAGATACAGGAAACACAAACGCAGGCCTGGTTTCCCGTCCAGCTGACCGCAGCAGCAAAACCGTGCACAACCACACTGACCGCCACTGTTAGCATCCAGCCTGGAAATAAAGCTGAAGTCAGCTTCTTCGAATTTTCCCGTTCCACCTTAAATGGCGCAGCAGTTCCATTCTGGCGCCTGAGGCTGCACCGTGTGTCTGCACTGCTTAAGGTGGAACGGAAAAATTCGAACAAGAAGCTGGCGGTGAGACAGCCAATTTCAGTCTCGTAGCCTGACAAGCCAGAGACTGATAATATCTGTTCAGATTGGAGTCCAGAAAAGTGGAAATGTGAGGAATGTTTGTGAAATGAAGAGACCAAACGTCTTTAAGGGTCTCAGCACTGATCAGCTGAGTAACAGCCCTCACCCAGGCAGACCTACAGCTAAAGAAACAGCACAAAGCAGCGCTTCAGCTAAAAGACACGCAGCGGGTCATATGTAGAGCGAACACGACAGGCTATCTGAGGATGTCTCGGTCTGAGAAAAAGTCAAATTCAGTTCAAACTCACAGGTTGAATCTCTCGTAGGCGGTCGCCATCTTCACTTCCTGCACTGCACAGACCTCCAGTGACGTTGCCGAACGTGACGTAAGACGTCAGAGCTCGGAGGCCTCCGAAGGTTTACGACTAGGTTTAAATATACATACACATTTAAAATTAATATACATTAATTTTATTTGAATGCTGATTAAAATATGTGTTACCCTTATTTTCTTAAATTAAGTAAAACTATATCATTTCTAATTGTCGCTAAGATGGCTGTGCTGTTTTTGGCTTCTTATTGCATTTCTGATCACTTTTATTTTTATTTATTTATTTATTTATTTTGGGGTAATATTTTTGATGTACATTGGCAGGCTTGCAGATTCTTTCATTCTATATATAAACACATTAGTAAAAAAAATAAAAAGGAAGAAAAATAAGCAAATGAACGCAATTATTTATTTGCTTTTTAAATGGATGTTGACAAACAAAAAGTACAAAGTTACCAAAATTACAGACAATTAAAAGAGCGAAACAGAAAACTATCTACAGATGGGCAAACTGTATATTGCCCGTTATAAATATAATGTAAACTATTTAAATTAAGTAAACAGCTTTACAATTATAATGTGTGCCCTTTTATACAATTCTGTTTCAGTTATGAATTGCCTACTTTGCCCTTCTACAATTATGAATGCGAATTTACCTTAGATAGTAATAAAAAGGCTCATGCCAAATCTGTGACCTTCTTTAAAAATAAGTGTATGATGTATTTAGTCAGAAACTTTTACCCATTTTCATCATGAATCATCAGAAGAAACATTACTACAAATGCAACAAGGCCCCTTCTGAGGTCCTGCTAAAATGATTTTGAGTCTTTATTTGATTTAAGAATCAAGCTTTATTGGCCAGGTATGATTACACATGCAATGAAATTGGTTTTGGTTACAGGAGCTCATGGTGCACAGTACCAGACAGACATGTAGTGAATAAAATAAAATAAAATAACAAAATAAAATAAAACATGCATTCCTACCTACCTCACCCACACACACACACACACACACACACACACAGAGTAATACCTGTAAACCTTACAATGTGCAAAGAATTTGGTCAGCACACTGCTGATAGAGGAGCTGGCAACAGGTCTGTCTACTGAGAAGGGACTGAGGCCATCTAACCAAGCGCCAAGTCCCATTTTTGAAGACAGTCTAGATGTAGCTTTTCCTCGGCCAAGACGTCTCACAATCGTGTGCAGCCTGTAGGTGTAAACGATGGCGAGTGAAGGCCCTGGCAGCAACACAGACAAGAGACATCAGTTAGAGCCTAAGTGCAATGTTTTAATCATTTTAAATTAAGAATTGTTCTACTGAGAAACAGGCAGTGTAGGCACTGAATATTTGCTCTGTTGTCTTCGGCACTGTCAGTCTCTTGGCAACGCTGTGCCATCGCTGCCTTGGGAACTCAAATGAAATTCCTTTTTAGAACAACCTTCACACAAAAATGCTGCCTGCTGGGACACTGATTCTCTCGACAGAATCAGATGCACTGTTTTCTCAACAGACTTCTGCTTAACTTACCTTTCCTATATTTCACTGCCCACCTCCACAGACCTCTGAGGCTATGCAGCATTTTGTTGTAGTCAGCGGCACGGCGGGTCTAAGCTTTTTTTTGAAAATTGTCTGTATCACAACCTGTGGAAAATTAAAATGTTCCAAAACTGCTACGTTCTGCTCTATTTGCATTCTTCTCTTGAATATCACACACACACACACACACACACACACACACACACACACATATCTTCTAAGCTGCTTATCCTTCTGGGTCATGGAGGGAGCTGGAGCCTATCCCAGCAGTCATTGGGTGGAAGGCAGGATACACCCTGGACAGGTCACCAGTCCATCGCAGGGCAGACAGACATTCATATACATTCACACCCACACTTAGGGGCAATTTAGCATGTCCAGTTAGCCTGACTGCATGTCTTTGGACTGTGGGAGGAAACCAGGGCACCCAGAGGAAACCCACGCAGACACAGGGAGAACATGCAAACTCCACACAGAAAGGACCCCGGAAAGCGAAGCAGGCCCTTCTTGCTGTGAGGCGACAGTGCTACCCACTGCGCCACTGTGCCGCCTGGCTTGAATATCACTGAATCCTTTAAATTCTAAGATCTGTAAAGCTGCACTATGTTAGTTTTGGGATTTGGAGACCTCTCTGGTGGACATGTGTAATTGCATGCAACAGGCAGAAGAGCCTTCTCTGACGTGTGTTGTGTTTCAGAGCCCCCACTCAAGCAGATGAATCTGATGACTGATGAGTGTTTTGACAGACAATTCAAAGAGAACTCTTGGTGAAGGATGTGTTTTCTGAGAATGTGAGTACATTATCTAATGTCTAATGTAATCTTCATCAGTATAATGTTGATTTTGCAGGATTTGAGACTTAAATATCAAGCTTATAAATATATAACCTTTTTAACTCTTTTTGCATGTGATGTTAAAGGCTCTATGTATGACATTTTAAACATTAATATAACAACAAACAACTATTTTCCATGTAAAGATAGTGGACTAATGAAGTCACACCGCCTCTGTGTGTGTTGTCACAGTGGTTTGATGTATTATTAAATTCAGTAGATGGGTAGCTATTCTTACAATGCACTCTAATGTAAATAGATGTCAGATCAGCTAAACAATTTAACCCCTTAAAATCTCAGGCTTATTGTATACTAAGGCTTATTATTCAGTAACTACAGGGACTTCAATGCAAACTGGTTAAGATATTCTTAGGTTATAGAGGTGTGTAATAAAACTTTGGGGTGTGGCCTTTTAAGGGGTTAAAGAGCCTGTATCATGGAAATCCAAATTTACCTCACTATTTTAAATTATATAGAAAGAAAACATTACATACAGCCCATATACAGAAACTAAGCTGCAAAAACAGCACAACTTGAATTTCACTGCAAAATTGTGAGGTCATTAGAAACCTATTCAGCCTACAGCAGTTTAGCTCCACCCATTCACACTTAAGTTATGAGGAGTGTTTCAGTCCCGACAGCCCTTTAAGGCCTAACTAAGAGAGGTTGCAGAATGGTCATGTAAAAAATTATGACTTTTTATGAATTAGGAAAAATGTTATAAGTGGACCTCAGGGTAAAAATATAATATACAAGAAAGATGTAAGATATGGGCCCTTTAATCTTCTCAGTTATTTGAATGTAGTGCTGCCTTGTGCCTAAATGTCACCAACAGTGCACATTTTTGTGTCCAGGAATGGAATTCATTCTTTCCTGGATAGACAACCAAAAATGCTGGATGGCTGGCAACGCTGCCAGTGGATATGAACCCCAGTGGTCACCAGTACTTTACCTGGAAATCTAGAATAACAAAGATTATATGGCATAAAGCTTAACATATTGGCCTTTGGGAACTTCAGTGGTATTTTTGATGGGGAAGTAGCCACTGTTCTACCGTCCTGAGTCGTTGCCAGATTTGCAGCAATTTGGGAACAACACAACTAAATGACTAGCATTCTCCCTTTACAAGTGCCTAGACTTCAATAATGCTATTTGGACCAACATTATGGAGTATACAATTTATATATATATATATACACACACACATACACACATAAATATATATATATATATATATATATATATATATATATATACACACAGAGTACATCTCTAACAGCAGGATTTATCTCCTATATGTTATGACCTAAACAGTCTAGCATGCATCAGTTATTTTCTGTTTACCAGGCCTTTTGCCTTATCTGCTGTAACTCTACAGTGTGTATGATGCCTTTATGATTGACATTATTAATTGCTGTTTATGTGTCATCTCTAAAGTACACTTTTAATTGATTGCAAGTTCAAAATATCATACTTTTTGCATCCTTACACAACATACTGATCTGAGTGATACAAAATCAAATACTAGGACATTAAGTGAATTAACTATTACGTAGTTTCATTTTGCTCACGCACATGAAATCAACCTGAAATTCTGGCAAATTTGAAGAGAAACTGATTGTGGTTTGTAGCAGGTCTGTGCTCAATATGTTGTGAGAAGCGGAACAGATAGTGACAGATAGCGATTCCTAATGACTGATTGTCATTCAAGATAAATCACAGCTGGAAAAATATCATTGCAGAGTATTTGAGAGATGTCTGGAGGTAACGGAGAAGGACTGGCATTGGGACTTTTTGATTGACAGATAAATGAATTCTCTCATGTCATGTTTAAGCTCAAGGTGATATTTTGTCATCCAGAAACGATGAATGTTGTTGAGACATGCAAAGATGCTGAAATTAATTAATTCCTAACTCTGGAGAAAAGTAAATAGCTGGCTCTCGTCCCTGTAGCAATGGCACGAGAAGTGATGATCTCTAATGATTAGCTTGAGGGGCTTGTACTTATCCCAGAGCAAAAACTCCTGCGGGCCAAATACCGAACCTTGTGGAACTCCATTTGCCCATAGTACAACAAGAGGTTTTCCACAGATAATGAAGGCACTGTAAATATCTAATTATAAGATTTTCTCATTAACTTATCTGCATTTTAGAAACATCCACAGCTCTTTTGGTCGTTCTAGACACATCTAACATTTATTCATTTTTTATTTCTAAATTTGAAATTTGTAATTAAATACTCCTTTTCTTTTTCAGTGTAAATGGGCGGGGCTAAACTACTGTAGGTCTGATGAGTGGATTTCTGGACATGAGTTGTTTTTTGCAACATGACAAAAAGAATGAATTCAAAATGGTTTTTGGCAGCTTAGTTTTTGTATATGAAACTCTTTTATTTAACAAAAGCAAGGAACATTCAGTTTTTCATGATATGGGACCTTTAACAATCATAATGTTAAACATAGTTTTTGTTTTCAAGTGTAAATAATAAGGACATATCTGATGCATGATTTATCCTTTGATAAATACTCTAATTTGACCATAAAATAAGCGGCTTGGCCACTATTTCAAATAAATCAAATCAATTTTTAAAAATCTACAGAACATATAGCATCAGTTTAACAGAAGTTTACAGTATTACATCTGAGAATTTGGAGGTCTGACAGGTGAAGCACTGGCTGACGTGCA